CAGGGAAAGCCTCTTTAATAAATTGTGCTGGCAAAACTGGACGGCTACATGCAAAAAAGTGGGCTCAGATCTCTGCCTAATGCCATGCACAAAAGTAAGATTGAAATGGATTTATGACCTCAACATCAGACCGGAATCCATAATGCTTATTGAAGACAAAGTTGGCAAAACTCTCCACGATATTGAAGTTAGTGGTATCTTCAAAGATGTCACGCCACTGGCCGAGCAAGTGAAAACAGAGATAGACAAATGGGACTATCTTAAACTAAGAAGATTCTGCACCTCAAAAGAAACAGTGACCAAAATACAAAGACAGTCTACAGAATGGGAAAGAATATTCACCAAATACACACCCGACAAGGGCTTGATATCAAGGATATACAAGGTACTGGTTAAACTCCACAAGAAGAAATCACCCAACCCCATCAAAAAATGGGGCGAGGAAATGAACAGAAACTTTCGCAAAGAAGAAATCCGAATGGCAAAAAGGCACATGAGAAAATGCTCTACATCACTAATCATCAGAGAGATGCAGGTCAAAACCACAATGAGATATCATTTCACACCACAGAGACTGGCCCACATCCACAAGAACAAAAGCAACAGGTGCTGGCGCGGATGTGGCGAGAAAGGGACCCTCCTTCACTGCTGGTGGGAATGCAGGCTGGTCCAACCCTTTTGGAAAACAGTATGGACGATTCTCAAAAAATTAGAATTTGATCTCCCATTTGACCCAGCTATAGCACTCCTGGGAATATATCCCAGAGAGGCAAAAAGATATAGTCGAAGTGACATCTGCAATTGTTTGTTCATGGCAGCACTCTTTACAATAGCCAGAATCTGGAAAAAACCTGAGTGCCCGAGAACAGATGACTGGTTAAAGAAACTTTGGTACATTTACACAATGGAGTACTATGTGGCTGTTAGAAAAGATGAAGTTATGAAATTTACATACAAGTGGTACTACATGGAAAGTATCATGTTAAGCGAAATGAGTCAGAAAGAGCGGGATAGACACAGAAGGATTGCATTCATCTGGGGAACATAAAGCAACAAAACGGGGGACTAACACCCAGGAATGGCTCAGATTAGTACCAGGAATTTTGCTCCATGACTTGAAGGCCAGCCACATGTGCTAGGTGAAAAGGAAGCTCAGATAGAGAAGAGAGCACCAAATAAAGGGTGTTGTGAAGACCCTCCCAGGGTGGGAGAGACATGCTAAAAGTAGTCTATAGACCAAACATGATTGCCACTCAATGCCTCTCTGGCAAAACACAGTACCCAAAAGAAGAGAGAGAGAACAAGGGGGAATGCCCTGCCACTGCGGCAGGGTGGGATGGGGGGGGGGGGGGGGATGGGGGGGGGAGGGATGCTAGGACCTGTGGTGGGGGAGGATGGGCACTGGTGGAGGGATGGGTACTTGATCATTGTATAACTAAAACCCAAGCACAAAAATTTATAAGTCTATAAATGTACTTCATGGTGTTTCACTAATAAAAAAAATGATTAAATAAAAAAAAAAACATGGAATATAAAAAAAAAAATCTGCAACCGAAGCAATGGTACAGCAGGTAGGTTAGAGTGTTGTGTGCATGTGGACAACCTGGGTTTGATCCCTGACATCTCATATGGTGCTGAGTATAGAGCCAGGAATAAATCCTGAGCATCATTGGGAGTGTTCCATCATACACTCCCATCTGCAACAAACAAACAAACAAACAAACAAAAAACCATATTCCAAAAAATTAAAAAGGGAAATTCAATACATTACCAAGTTGAGACAGTAAACTGATGATACTTAAGATCAATGGAGCACTTATGTTGGGGTCTTCAAGTAGCTCTACAAGGCAACTCAAGCATTCACCAGGTAATATTTGATTTGATGTAAACAATCGTGTGAGCTTCTGATTAGAAATTACCTACAAAATAGTAATTAAAACATTTAGTTAAGAGATTAATCTCTTCTCCATTTCAAATGACTCAGTTTGACTTGTTCTTCAAGCCTATGTCCAATGAATACGTATCTTGCTTGCTTGTCTGTATGTTTCTTTGCTTGCCTATTTCCAAGACAGAGAAGTCCGTGTTCTCTCTTCAACACATACTTCTCCCTCTCTCTCCCCTCACATCTTTTTAAATACATTTCAATAAAAATTATCTTTGCTTCACAACACAGAAAAATAATATATAAAATAACTCAGGTCTTCCAAGATGCATTAATACTGCTTTAGTATTTACTCTTGTCTACGCATAATTTTAGACGCACTATAAATGGTTTTTCTTTTCAGCTTTATAATAAGTCACAGGTAGATGTTAGCTAGTTTGCAAATTAGTAAACTGAGACAAACACAAAAATAGCATAACTGGATTCATTATTTATTAATTCATGCTCATGAATAAAAAAATCAGTTACAAAAACCAAGGATGAGAAGGTTTAGCTCTGCCAATCAAAAAATTTTCAAAACTCAGCTACTATTTGGAGCTATTAAAAAAAAACTGCAGAAATGAAGCAGATTATCAGAATGAATAATCTTTTTTCACATGGCAACAATCTCTCTTTGTGTCCTTGGACATAGCTCTTCTAAGGTCTGCATGAAAATATTCTCCATTATTCTTACCAAAATGGTTAAAATTTAATAAAATCTGAAGACATGTTAAGCCTATTAAGTTCTTAAAATTAATGAACCTTACCTGATTTATACATGCTCTCTCTCTAAATGATGGAGAAGTATTAGGTAACTTCAGAGTTTAGAACACAGCCTCAATTTTCTTTCTTTCTTTCCTTTTTATTTTTGGCATTTTGAGACACCAGGCGCTCAGAAGTCCCTACAGGCTCTGCACTCAGAATCACTCCTGGCAGGAGTCGGGGACCATATAGGATGCTGAAGATTGAAACTGGGCGGGTACCACACAAGGCAAATGCTCTACTGGCTGCACTATTGCTCTGGCCCCTCAGTTTTCTTTTAAGCCTCTTTCAACTCACAATCACAATGTACTAAGTACTATCTGTTCATTCTCAAAGAAAGGTACTCTGCTCCAGACTAGTGAATAAAATACTTAACTGTTAATTATTAAAAACTGACAGGCCACCTTACTTACAGGCTCCTGAAATTCACAGACCCACAGTTTAATCCCAAGAAGCAATGCAACTGCATTTAACTGTAAACTCCTTTATAACTAATTATGCAGGGATTGTTAAAGTAGTGAAAAAGAAAAGGTACTTAGGATATGGGCATCTGAAGTTGTTAAGTGAAACCAGGTAAGCTCATAAGAAAGACACACAACTGTACTGCAATTCAACCAAAGGATGATCTTGCTATACCATTCATAACTGTTTTATAGTATTTAAAATCGTTGGTAACTTAATCTTTTATATAGGATTAAGAGAACAGAATATTAAAACTACTACATTCCCTTCTATGAGAACATAAGGAAGCCACCACAGAGTTAAGCTATGTTTGAACTTTAATCGTTTACATTAAGCTATAATCAAGGTTGAAGTCAACCAATGCACAACACATGACGGATCATTAAACTGGGATCCGTAGTGGTGGGAAATGGGCACTGGTGGAGGGATGGGTATTTGATCCCTGTGTAAGTGAAACCCAAGCACAAAATTTGTAAGTCTACAACTGTACCTCATGGTGTCTCACTAGTAAAAATTTAAAAGAAAAAAAAAAGTCCAAAGAGAAACAGGTAGGAAACATAGAAACAGATCACCCAAAAACCAACAGAAAAAAAAATGAAAGCAATTCTGCATTTTAGGAACTGAAAAACTGTGAGCAGCCTCATTTTACTAAAGGAAAAAAAAAAGCAATGACTAGCCAAGTCGATTGCTGCTCAATTCAAGAGCAAGTTGGCGTAAGTTCCCAAGTTGCAGCTCCGACTAGATAGTAAGTCACAGTTTCAAGACGGTAAACTCTCTAAGGAAGAAGGGTTTAACAAAACCAGCTATAATTACCCTCCAAGTTACCCTCTAAAGGTCGCATCCCTAAAGAATATAGACTAAAACAAGTTTTTCACCATTCTCCATCTTCTCCACCCGATGAATTATCAGGATGGTGTGAGACCACTTCCGATAAACAAACCTCACCGTCCCCACCCCCACCCCCGCCCAATCTTAAGGTCTCCCATCCCCTCTTATTTAGGGCTTTCAAAGAGCGCTTCCCTCCCTCTCCAAGCAGCGAAAAATCGCGGAGGGACTTTGGGCAAGGACGCGGGGTCCTGCAAGATGACAACTGACTGGGACCTACAAGAATGATGGGGGGGGGGGGGTGGCGAGGGTTTCCTTCTTTCCCCATCTGTGCCGGCTGGATCCGAGGCGCTGAGGGATCTTAAGAATTTAATCACTTCGGGGAGGAATCTACCCCGACCTCACCTCCAGGTGCCGCAAGAGCTGAGTTGCATTCGCTTCCGACTTAACGGCTTTATACTGACTGACGGTGAGGAGCAAGGACTTCAAGCAGGCTGTAGAATCCATCGGGTTTTTTACCCAGCGCCAGCCAGCCGCCCGCCCCGGTGCAAGGCACTCGCCGCGCTTTTTTTGAGTTTTTGGCTCCGCCCCGGCTCGGTCCCAGCAGCTTCCGGTTCCGGTCGCGCCGCGGAAGTGCCGAGGAAGCCTGGGGGACGGCTCGCCGAGATGGGCGGGGAGGGTCGGGCTTGGCGGAGGGACACGGAGCGCTGGGAGGTCTGCGAAGGGGTCGAGGAGCTGTCTTCCCAGACCAGCCTTATCTGAGAAACCGCGAGGGTTTTGTTCCGAGATCTTGTGGCGAGGAAGAATCTCGCGAGAAAAGGCGATTGCGGCTCCTCCTGGGCAGGGGCGGTTGCGCTCGAGGGCGAGCTCGATCGTCAGCGCGCTGTCTTTTGGGGGGCTTCACATGCCTCACAGTGGATGACCAGTTGTTATTCTTATTTTTTTCTTTTTTGTGTGTGCTTTTTTTTTTCCCCGCATTCTTGATCCTTTTGTGGAGAGAAATGGTCGCGTCCCTTTAGTCTAGCCCTGGTGAGGAGCTCTGAGGAGAGAATCTTGGGCTCTAATCTCTTCTTGGACTAGCGGCCTGGGAGTGGCCTCCTGAAATCTCTCTTAGGTCCACCCCTTCTCCCCGTGAATGTTTGTTTCTCGAGGACTAAACTTAAAGGCCATTGGTCATCCGTGGCAAGTTAGGCAGACTCCTCGGAGTCGTTGTCAAACTTAACTCGAGAACGCGACTTTTGTGACGCGGGCCAGGTATTGCTGCGGAGGGTGTTCTCGTTAGCATCCAATTTTGTAAGTTGAAAAAAAGGTGTTTCTTTAATCTGGCATGATTAATTTATGAATCTCGGTAGTCTGGAAACGGTACTTCGCGTTTTTGTTTTTTGTTTTTTTCTTTTTAAAAATTAGGCGTGGTTCTGTGTGTGTAATGATTCCGTGGACGTTTGTGTTAAATAAAGCTACAAAGACCAATTCGGAGAAAATTGTAAAAAGCGGGGGGGGGTGTTGCATATTTAATCAAAGCGCTTATCAAAGTTTTGTCAGATCAGACATTTTTTTAAGATAGGATTTGTGTTTATGTTAAAGAACAAGGTAAAATTAAATCTGAAAGTTTAGTTAAGAAATAGACGTGAGATAGCCATTGGCTAGTTAATGTATTTATGCGTTGATTGCATGCAGATATTGAGTGTTGCACATGGAATTGGCGATACCAGTTGAAACGAAAATCATGAAGTATCCCTGACGGGGAACTGTCTAATGAGGGAAATCTACTAAACGTAGTACGTGAGGAATCCATCACAAAAATTAGAGGCATCTTGCAGTGAAGATAGAGTAGAACTAGGATGACTGTTTACAAATCGTAGTTTCACCTTTTGCTGTATGATCATAAGCAGATCACATTGTTTTAGTCTCTTCACAAGGTAAAATTGGCTAATTGTAGTACCACTTTCATGAACAGCTGATCATTTCAGTCAGTACATTGAGCCTAATGTGCAAGTTTAGGCATTAGAAATCCAATGAAAAAAAGCACTCCTGTGTTGCAGATTGCATTCTGATGGTCCATGGGGTCATCAAGAACACAGTAAGAGATAAATTATAGAGAAGAGCTCATTTGTCTAGGATAATAAAAGTGTAGAGGGAAATGCTCTTCAGGGGAAATGTTTCTCAGGAAGATATCTAAAGGAAGTACAGTCTGTCAGAAGGGCGAGGCTGCCAGTGGAACTGGAATAGATTAAGGGTGAAAATAGTTGAGATGATGTCATTGTACAGGCCACTATAAAATAAAGAATTTAGAACAGTTGCTTGGTGTAATTAAGTTCTCAGCAACTGTCAGTAACATTTCTGTTGACAAATGTAGTGAGATAAGTTTGGTGGTGTTAAGCTTTGTATGAATAATGCATCATCATTCTCATTAAAAGCTAAGGGACAGGGTCAAAACTGCTTGTGACTTATTTTTTTTTAGAAATGTTGCATTTTAATGTAAAAAGACATATGATTTTTGTATTTTCTCCCATCAAGTATTCACTTTAACATCTTTCTCAAATATCCTTCAAAATTGAAACAGTTTTACTATGATGTAACATGTTGAGTTGTAGCTCTGACTTTTTTTAGCCAGAGATACATATACAACATAAGAAACATAGAGTTCCATTTCTTTTCTTTTTCTTTTTTTTTTCTTTTTTTGGTTACGCGCGTGTGTGTAGTTGGGCTGTACTTGACAGTGCTCAGATTCTACTCCTGCCTCTCTGCTTGGGGTTCATGTGGTAACAGTTCAACTCAGCAGGCATCCTCAAGGCTAGGGCCTTATCCCTATATTATCTTTCTGACCCTAGAACCTTATTTTTAACATTAAAAAAGAAAAAGGAGGAGATGAAGAAGTTGGTTTCAGATAACTGAAGGTTTATTTGTTAGTTGAGCTTAGACTTCATCCTGATACCACAGGTGATCTCTGGTTTTAAACTGGTATCTATTATAGTTTTGTGTTTAGATGGTTGCTGGATAGCCTGTGATACTGAAGAGGTTAAAACTAGGAGGAGGAACACTTCTTAATATGTTAACATCTGTAACCAGGATAATGAAATGATTATAACAAAGAGGTAACAAAGTTGAGAAATAAATAAAGTGAGCAGGACTCAGTGACTGATTTCTAATGTGAAGGATCAGGATAGTGATAAAATTAGAACATAGTACAAGTTTTCAGTTTGGGTAAGTAAAAGATACTATCAAGTTTTAAATAGAAAGTATTCAGTTGTATGTTTAGCGAAATTTTGATATTGGGCTGGAGCGATAGCACAGCGGGTAGGGCGTTCGCCTTACAAGCGGCCAACATGGCCAACCCGAGTTCGATTCCTCCGCCCCTCTCGGAGAGCCCGGCAAGCTACCGAGAGTATTTGATATGCCAAACACAGTAACAACAAAAGTCTCCAATGGAGACGTTACTGGGCCCGCTCGAGCAAATCGACGATCAACGGGAGGGCCTTTACCTTACCTTACCTTACCTTACCTTTGATATCATAAATTCCTGTGCTGTTTAAATGTATTCTTCAGTGTTCTCTCTATATATTTTATTACTGAGAGTGGACTCTTTTCTCTACATTTTTAATTTGTTGCTGCTTTTGTTAGAAAAAGATACTGACTTTTGGTATCTTTTTTCCAGCTTACTAAAATCTCAGTAATTTGAATAGTTTGGCTTACTTCCCTATTCCCTAGACTTTTAGTTTTATATAATATGCAAATGACTTTATCTCTTCTAATATTTGTTATCTATTTCAGTATTGCTTGCTTGAGGAAATTAATATACTGTAGGTTTGCTGTGCAAAGCCATAAGTAACTGATAGGATAGATTGGAGAGAATTAACTTGTTTCTGACAAGAAACTAGTCCTGGCAAATTTATTAGGATGGGGCAGTGTATGTATTAAATTCTTGCTTCTTTGTATAAGCTATATCCCTGGTAATGACTCTGTCTCTCCACTCCCCCTCCTTTCCTGAGCACTAAGAAATGTGACCAATATTTTTAAGAAAAGAAACAGTGTCCCTCTTTATAGTTTCCATAAGGATTAAGGTCTACAAAGGTAACAATTGAAGAGTCTTAAGAATAGATGACTGCATAAAGAAACTGTGGTATATATACATAATGGAATATTACTAGGCCACAGAAAAGATAAAATCATGTAGTTTGCTGCTATGTTGATGAGTCATACTGAGTGAAATTTTGAGAGGGGAGAGATACTTCAGAATGATTTCTCTCTTTTGTGGGATATAGAAAAACTTAATAGTGGAATAACAAGTGCCCAAAGGCAGTGGAAACAGAGCTTGAGAACTGGCATTTGGTCAAAAGTTTGTCAAGGGCTGGGGGTAGGGTGGGGCATGGTGGTGGCCTAGGGATAGGACTATGGTAGTGGTAGAGGGAAGTGTTCAACTGAGGGAAGGAGGGGAAATTGAAAAGTAGTAAAGTTATGTATGAAACCCATCAGCAACAGTACTATAAACTACAGTGTCAAAAATTATAGAACAAATGCCCTCATACAGGCATTCTGGTAGGTTGGAGGGAAAAGGTGGAGCATTGGTGGAGAGAAGTAGACACTGGTGAAGGGATTATCATTGAAATATTTTATGCCTATAAGCCAATCATGAATAACTTTGTAATTCATGGTTACTTAATAAAATAATTTCAGGAGCAGTACATATTTAAGGAATAATTAAAAAGTTAAACCAAGAGCTGTTCTTTGTTTTTTAAATTTTTTTTCTTTTTTGCATTTATTCATAATGTAGGAGTACTGCTATTTATTCAGCCATTAATTATGCTGGTTGAATTGGGCATGAACTCCACATTTTTTTATTCTGAATGTTAATTTAGTTTTATTATTTTATTATTATTCCCCCCCTTTTTTGATTCACATGAGATAGTTACAAAGCTTTCATGTTTGAGCCTCAGTCATCACCATATTATTGTATCACTGTCATCCCGTTGTTCCTCGATTTACTTGAGCAGGTGCCAGTAACATCTCTATTTGTCCCATCCCTGAGATTTTAGCAGCCCCTCCTTACTCGTCTTTCCCAATGATTGGAGGCTCTTTCAGGGTCAGGGAAATGAAACCTGTTATAGTAACCAGTTTTGGCATATTGAATACACCACAGGGAGCTTGCCAGGCTCTGCCTGTGCAGGCGGGATACTCTCAGTAGCTTGTTGGACTCTCCAAGAGGCCTATGTATATATAATATATATATATATAGAGAGAGAGAGGCATATATATATATATTCAGAGAGGCATATATATATATATCCAAATAATGATTTGTTGCCTACTGTCTGAATGCCATCAAACATGCTGTGGTAATTATGGAAAATGGGTAGGAAGTGTCTTATGATGTGTCTGGAAAGTGACCTGGAACATGGAGGCGATTGGGTAGTGGAGGTTGGCTGATGGGGTTGGGTCCCTTGGGGCGGGGAGGGCTCTTGCCAGCTCCCCTCTGGGGCACTCTTGAGTGAAAACAGCCTGGCACGGAGTCCCAAACCTTGGTCATACAATCATCAAACATCCATCATCATCCATCACTAATGTGCCTTCATCAGTGCACATTTTCCGCCACCAAAATCCCCAGTATTCTCTCCCTCCCTGACATGCCCATTCCAACCCTTTCAACCCTTCCCCTGCCTGTGTGGCATACGATTTCCCCCATGCTCTCTCTCTACTTTGGTTACATTTGATATTTGAACACCAGTCTCACCACAACTCAAACCTGCTGAAAGGCAATGTTAGACAATTTGTTTTGTATTGCTTGTTATGGATAGAATATAATGTCCAGGAAATTCTGTGTCTTTCTCTTCAAAGATCTTTAGTTTATAGTCACTGAGTCTTGACTGTTGATGAGATTACATGGTTGTGTGTGTGTGTGTGTGTGTGTGTGTGTGTGTGTGTGTGTTGGGGGGGTGATTGTGGGTGTGACTGTCAAGCTACTGGAAACCTGTGGACCTGAGAGGCCCATTCCTTATTCAAGCAGGCCTGGAGATCTCAGCCAAGGGTTCCTACCTCCGTGCTACAGGACCTAACTGCTGCTTTTGCTCTCTTTAAAGATTTATGGGTCTCTGAAATATGGCCAATAAATGAGATTATATAGCTGAGCCCGAGGTGATTTGTGGCTGTGTCTCCCACTTACCTAACTTTGGCCATTTAATTTCTTGGTAAACTTGGCCCCAAGTTGTTGGGGTCTGGCCAAAGGCACAGCAGTAATTTTTTGGTATCTGGAAGTCTGAAGGCACCATCAGGCTGCTGATTCACTTGCTCCACAAGTATAGGTTGACCTGCTGGCCTAACCATACCCCCTCTGTTCTTACTTTGATTCTAATAAAGCTCTGTAGCACTGTCTTCCCATTGTTCATAGATTTGCTCGAGCGGGCCCAGTAATGTTTCCATTGTGAGACTTGTTGTTACTGTGTTTGGCATATCGAATACGTCACGGGTAGCTTGCCAGACTTTGCCATGTGGTGAAAGAAATACTCTTGGTAGCTTGCCGGGCTCTCTGAGAGGGGTGGAGGAATCGAACCCGGCTTGGCCGGGCTGGTGGCTTGCAAGGCGAACGCCCTACTGGTGTGCTATCACTCCAGCCCTATATCTAATAAAAATAGTGGAAAAACCTTTGTAATTTAAAGAAGGTATTTTGTTATTATTAGGAGTTGATCTTATTTTTCAATCTGAATAACTTTAAGAAAAATAATTTTGATGGATAAAAGTGCTGCCAATTAATGTTGAACTTTAGCCTACTTTCTGATCAACCAATTAGAACTTGAATTAGACTCCCAGAAACGTACATTCTCTCAGTTCCAGGAAGACAGGAAAAAAATTAATTTCCTACTGACAAGGAAGGTTTGTTGAAATGAATACATCACCAAAATCTAAATATATGCTTTCGTGTTAACCCTGATTTTGGAGATTTCCTTCAGCCTCTTTTAGAATGCTAAGAATGCTTGGATTATTTTAGAACCAATGTGATAATGTTTCAAGCTGGCTACTTTCCTTCAGTTGCAAACTGTAGGCACTAACACGTTCCTTCCCAACAGATGAGAAGTACTATTGGGCTGGTAATGTTTAACCCATGTATCTCTGCTCAGCTACTGGGAAATGATGGGATAATGATCCTCTCCCCTAGAAAACCTTTCATGAGAGAGTCATTTTAGATTATATGTTTAAGAAGGCTGAAAAATCATTATTAGCTGTTCTTAATTCAATTTAGGATCCAAATATCTTTTGGTTTATTGATTAATCACCCCCACCACCTTTAATTTTAAGCTGAACACTGAATAGTTTTTAGAGGTCTTCCATCTTGTCTGTCTTGTTGCCAGAGAATTTTTTTCTTGTCGTCACCTGCCATTCTGTGCAAATAGATTTTGACTGACAGAAACACTTAGCAGTGAGGGAGGTAGGCATCTGAGTTTTTAAATTCTGGGAATGAGGGAATTGTTTTATCTAGAGAAAGCTTAGGTCTGACTAATAAATAATGTACTGCTCTCTACTTTTTACTAAAACATTAAAAATCATAAAAAGAAGACCAGTTTGATTATGATCTGAAAATTTTCCAAACTGTTCTTATCTATACAGACTTATTAAAGAAATGAAGCAGATGTGATATAGTGTGAAAGAAAAATAAATCTTATCCAATATCTGCTTCATATTAGCTCTAAGTTCTATCTCTATGTATTTGAACAGACCATGCAAATTAAAGTCTTATGAATTTGCCTAAGTTTTTTTTAAAATAAAACCAGAAAATGAAAAATGATAACTTAGGGGAACTGGGTTTTACATAGGTGAAACAAGAATGTTAGGAATGGCCTAGAACTAAAAGGTATTAAAAGGGCTTTTATTTTCAAATGAGGAAGTTTAGATTAAAAGGACCTGTGAGTTTGTATCCTTGTGTTTTAAAAGTATCAGCTTTGAATTGCTGGAGAATTACTTTTGTCTCAAAATTTTCTGTGCCAGATGTGAGTACTTTTTTCCTTCCTTGCACCAGCAACTGAGTTATTCTCTTGCCTGTTAATCTGATTTAATGACTGTTACTTCCTCCTGTCTGTTTTTTGTTGCCTATTTCTGGCATCATGAGAGTCAACATCATAAGAAACAGTTGTTTCCTTGCGTAAATTCAACTTAAATTCTTACATAGGTAAATTATGAAGGAGCTTGTAAAACATATTTTCTTGATTTGGGAATTGTTTATTCTGTTACCTTTTAGTAAGGAGCCTCAGAAAGTTCTGTCATTCTAATTTATGAGTGTATATTAAGTAATTACCATTAGAGAAACTACCTTACAGAAATAATTAAGATATTTAAGTTGTCCAGAGTCAACAAATGATGAAGTACCTTTGCAGCAATGAACATTAGGTCTGTTTTAGTTACGATTGCTACAACTTTCTTTCTCTTTTTTTTCTCATTTCTTTCTTTGCCCACAAACATTGAGCACGAGTTTTACCTAAGCTTTTCCTGTGCGTATATTCATTGGGATTGGAAAGAAAAATCAGTTTAGAAAAGACAATTGCGTTTGGAGACTTGAATTCTTAATAAAAGAGATCATGAAACTAATTTTAGAAGTGTTATTTTTGGGACAGAGAACCTTTTATCTGTAAACATCCATACTAATAATAGACTTCTCTTTTTTTGCACTGCCTCAAATTTATTTCAGGATATAAGTATCCACAGTGTTCACTAATATACTTGAACTATAAGTATATAAAAGAGTTTTAAATTTACAAATTTAGAAAAGGCTATGTAGATAGTGGGCTTTCTCACAAAATTATAATTAAAGTGGGAAACTAGTTCAGTTATAAAGAAATGGTCAAAGAAATCCCAATCAATGAGATGTTATCTTATCCTTTACAAGCAGCATAAGATAAAAGTGTTCTTGATACAGCGTTCAGGGGCGGAAAAGGTGGTAATTGTCTATTCAGTATAACTACAAATTGGAAAATATGCCTTTGCTTAAAGAGATTTTTTTGAAATATAGCATTGATTCATTTATTTAATGGTGAAAGTTGTGTCAAAATTTTCTTTAATGATCATGTACTATGTTTAAGGTGGAGAGAAGGAATGTAAGTTTTCAACCTTACTACTAAAAATATTACTTTTCTTACAGCTGTAAACAGCAATAATAAAAGTCTGCAACTTTTTGCAAAAGAGCTGTGCTACATGGATTCTCTACCAGAATTTTTTGTGAGGTAAGAGATGCCTTGATTAAAACCAGCTGTGTTTGTTGCTTCCCAAAGGCACATTTTCCTTTTGCATTTAATCTTGGGAAGTTGGTGTGAATAATATACCCTTATGTTTCAAGACTGTTTGGCAGCTTTGACTTGTGGCAGATAGGTACTAGGTAAGCCTGATTCTAGAAAAATTTTCTAAGGAACACACCATATCTAAAGCCTAAGGATTAAAAAATGTATCACATGTGCCAGAGAGACAGCTCAAATTGCTGGAGCACATTCTTTGCACATGGGAGTCCCATGATCCTCAGAACAGTATGTTCTCCAGAAGCAGACCCAGGAACCACCCTGAGCAGAGAATGGGAGTGTTGTTCAAGCATACACAGATGTAGGTCCAGAGCAAACAAACAAAAACTGTTTGGAACATTCTCAAGAAATGTTTGATTTATTACTACTACTCTCAGTATCAATCTTCTGTGCCAAATAGTACTTTAAATGTCAACTTACATAATTATACCTCATAACAACTTAAAGAGTATAAGCTATTATTTTTCCTATTTCATAAAAGGTAGGTAAACCTTTCACAGAGGACTCATTTTAGTGTTTCTACTGAGCCTGAGTGAAAATCATCTCTCCTTTCCAATCAGGGCAAGATCATATTGTACTAAACAACTGAATAGTGGATCACTGTTGCAACTCTTTCTCTTACCATTTGCCTCTCTTATTCCTCTTGTACCTCTCATATAAGAAGCAGTGTTATCTATTAATTTATTTTACTACAGTTAGTAATGTCTTTAATATTTTGGGAATAAAAACATACAGATTCTATATACTTAGAATTTTATAGTAGGAAAATAGGAAGTATCTTAAGTAGGGAGTAGTGTAATATAGAAGTAGTAGTTCAATGTAGTAGTAGAAAGTATTAGGAAGTAGTATAATATAGTACTATTGAATAATGTAGGAAGATAAAAATTCTGTCTTTAGGAAAAATATTTGCATAATATTAGAGATTTTGTGACTGCATGTAGAATTATTGACAGCATGAATGAATTTCCACAAAGTGACACAGAAGCTAACCTTAAATGACATTTTGACTCTAAGCATAGTGTAGTAACAGGACAAGTATAAAATGGTAATAGCAATACTACTGTAAAAAATTTTAGTATTATAGACAAAAATGTTTTTTAAAATTAAAAAAATTAGATATGTATTTTGATGGCTGTTGAAGCAGATGCTATAAATAAGATTCAATGGCCATTTGACTGAGTAAGTAATAACATGAAGTACCTAAGATTAATTCTTGGGGAGAACTAGTGACATTTTGAGAAAGGATATTTTCCCCTGTTTTGCAAAGAGTACCTTTGTTAATAGTGACAAGATGGGTTGACAGGGTTTGGGACTTATAATATTCACCTACTCTCCAAAAGTAGAATGTTCTTTTAGGTTCTTTTAGGTGTAGGCTATTTGGAGTATTATTATTGTATATAGTAAAAAAAAATAGGGTTGTAAAGATAATAAAACAAGTAGAGCACTTGCTTTGCCATTGGCTTCCTGGTTTTGATCCCCAGCATCACATCTGATCCCACAAACCTCTCCAGGAAGCCCCAAGTACTGCTTGGTGTGACCCCATTCCCCCTCTCCCCACCCCTCAAAAATCTTTAGCATTCTTAGAGCTTTGCAGATAACCCATCATACTAGATAGGAATGCTCTACTTTCTGATAACAAGGCATATCTGCAACTTAGAAAACAGTTATAAAAGATGAGTTTATGGAAATAGAATAAACAGAATTCTATGACTATTTACTTATTGAACCATAAATAAATGTAGCCAGGGGCCACTCCTGGCTAAGTGTTTGGGGGTCACTCATGGCAGTGCTGGGGGATATCTAGTGCTGAATATTGGACCTAGGCCTTCAGTATGCAAAGTAGGTGCTTAGCTCTTTTAGCCATCTTTCTACCTCTGACTTTTAAGTATGAAAAAAGGGGCAAGGAGGAAGTATACACATTAATATGGGTTTAAAAACTGATATGTTTAATGTATAATTGAGGAAGAAAGAAAAGGGGAAGGAAGGAGGAGAAAAGGAAAAGGAAAGGCAACAAATTCACTTCAGGAATACAAGAGTTTGAGGTGCTGCTAAAATACGGTTTGGGAGATTGGTTTTGGGGGAGATTGCAAGTGGTTATAAATGTATAGTATCATAGAACAAGTGAGATTGAAGATAGTGTCAGTGGAACAGAAGATGGGTGTCAGAATAGCGTGCTTTTTGAATTCATTGAAGTTTTTGTTTGGTTTTATGTTTATATTTTTATGTTTGTACATTTATTATGTTGAATCAATGTTTGACTATGTAGATGTTGGATTAAATATTTGAGTTAAGCTAGTGAATCTAAGAGACTGATCCCCTAGGAAGTGTTCATATGCTCCCAAGAAGCAAATGTTTAGTAAGAGGGTAGAAACTGTAACTTTTTAAATGTATTTTATAATACAGCAAAACTTCAGTCTCTCTCAGCAGCCAACTATACAGGTGATTTCAAAAAAAAAAACAGAATGCCAAAAAGAATAGTATTGTGTCTAATTGTGTCTGATTTTTGTGTCTAATTGTGTAGTATTATGTCTAATTTTTGTTTGCCACTTTCTATGTATCTAACTTACTTAAAATGTGAGGTGATCATTGTTGAAATTGATTTATGTTGCAGAATAAAGTGACTACTATACATGACTGCTGATGGATCTTTACCTTTTCTAATACACAGCATGCCATTAGTGCTCACAGTTTTATATTAAATAGCAGTAGCACAGCAGATAGGGCATTTGCCTTGCAGGCAGCTGACCCAGCCAACCCGAGTTCTACTCCTCTGCCCCTCTTGGAGAGCCCGGCAAGTTACCGAGAGTATCTCACCTGCATGGCAAAGCCTGGCAAGCTACCTGTGATGTATTCCATATGTTTCAACAGTGCTACTATTGAAGTAATTGCAAGATAGATGAGAGAAAGTTAGCCATTGAAACCAAGAAGTGTTTATCTGAGAGGACTGGGAGGAGAACCCACAGTAAAGAATTCAGATACTCTCAGGGAGAGTTGGAAGATATGATGGACAATGTTAAAATAGAGAGAAAGGCCAGGCAAAATGAAGGGGAAAACGAAACTGTTGGAATAGCAAATAGGATTTATTTGGAAAGCACTGTAGCACCATCATCCTGTTCATCAATTTGCTCCAGCAGGCACCAGTAACGTCCCACAACACATTGTGAGACCTTGTTGTTACTGTTTTGGCATATCGAATAAGTCACAGGGAGCTTGCCAGGCTTTGCCATGAGGGTGAGATACTCTGGGTAGCTTGCTGGGCTCTCCGAAAGGGGTGAAGGAATCAAACCCGGGTCTAACTGCTGTGCTATCGCTCCAGCCCAACTTTTAAATACAAATTTTTATGCTGGGAGGGAGTAATGATTATATTCACAACATCAAGAGTTTGCTGTGTAAAATATAGCAGTTCACATCCCACACTCACTTCTGATGAAGAAGTTCTAAAGTAGGGTTTGGGTATCTGGGTGTTTCAGAGGATTTGTGGGTGATTTCAATATGCATCGGAGATTGAGAACTATTTAAAGGAGAAGTTATTAAATGGAGTTAGCAAGTAGACCTTATATTTGAGAATATATCTTATTCCTTCTTAAACTTTCAGAGGCTTCAGAATACTGCATTATTTTCCATTTCTTGATCTTTTTTTTGGTTTGTTTTTTGAAGTAAAAACATTTTATATGTAATTCCAAGGAAGGGAATAAAAGGTATAAGAGTGAGAGAAGGGTGAGAAGAGGCTCAAGAGAGAATGCAGGTTTCCCCACAGGCAAAGAGCTCCTGTACACATCCCAGTGTTAAAGTATTAAAGTACACGTCTTTAGGGAGATGCGGGTGACATGTATTCTGCCACCATGTTCCTAGCACCATGAGTCTGGGCAGCACATGTGCCTTGAGTTCCTTTTTGGAGTGAGGCTTATAAGTGGAAGAAAATACAACATGAATTCATCATATTGCGAATTATTGCTTTTGTGTGTAATTTATTTGTTGTTTTTCTAATTTCCTTTAGTAAAATCAGGTAACACAAAGATAATACATGATTATCAAATATGAAGTAAAATAGGATAATATTTATAAATTATTGATCACTTAGAATAATTCTGAGTAAATTGGCAAAAATTTGTAACTTTGTTATTGTCTCTGCTAGTGATAAAATTAAGATCATATCATTTATGTATGATCCTAGATTATGATTCTTATATGATTGCTAAGGTTTTTTAAGCAAAAAAAATTTGTAAGTACATTTTAAGTTTAGTATATAATTGTATGTACTACATTCACATTTTTTTGCTTTTTTGGGCCACACCCAGCGATGCATGGGGTTACTCCTGGCTCTGCATCCAGGAATCACTCCTGGTAGTGGTTAGGGGACCATATGGGATGCTGGGAATCAAACCTGGGTTGGCTGCGTGCAAGGCAAACGCCCTACTCGCTGTGCTATCTCTCCAGCCCCTATAATTCACATTTTAAGCCAGTGTCTAAAAGCTAATTTTTATATGAATAGTTAATAATTAAACTTAAAAATTACCTGTCAAGATGGCAGGCTGCTCTCCGGGTGGGAGTGGGGTAGGAGAGGGAACCTGGAAACACTGGTGGAGTTGACACCAGTGTTGGGATCAGTGATGAAATAGTATATGTCAAAAACCCAATTATGGATAACTTTGTAACTCATGATGCTTTAATAAAATAAAATCTGGGGGGGGCGTGGAAAGAATAGTTAATAATTTAAAAGGATAGTATTCTGCCTAAATTTATTTTGTCATTGTTGTTATTGTCATAGGGGCCACACTGGCAGTGTTCAGGTCTAATGTCTATCTTCCCAAGTTAAAAAAAAATCTTTTGGGAAATTATCAGCTACAAGGCTAGAAAACTGAAACAAAAATGAAATGATCTTTGCAATCATAAGTGCACATACATGGGTGTGTGTACTTTTAAATCATAAGTACACATACATGAATACATTCATACAAAATAACACCCTTTTCAAGACCTTCTTTCTTGAAAAAGTGCTGTAAATTTGGTTTTCCCCATTATTTTGGTTTCCTGTGTTTGTATTTAAAGTTTTCTATTTCATTGTGTTCTAATATCTACTAAAGTTATAACATAATGATTTCTTTAATGAGTCACTAAATATATTGTGACTGGAGATAGAATGCAATGCAATGTCAGGCATTTATTTGCCTTGTATGTGGCCAGTTGGCTCCTCATACCAGTGTGCCTCTCTGAGTACCTCTAGGGGTCATTGCTAAGCCTGAAATAGCCTCTGAGCACTGCCGGATATGGTGTCCAAATCCAAATATTTTTTAAAAAGAAAGAGATAGACTTAGTACCTTTATTAATCATTTATATACTTTTTAAAATACTTAGGAAACTGTTGGACAAAAATGTAATATATTCTCACTACTGTGATCTAATTTTGATGTATTCTTTGTGAGGAGATGCTTTGAATATAATCTTTTTTAATTTAAAATAGTGATCCTGATTTGGAAGATGAGACTAAGGAAGAAACTGAGTATAACTTAGAGAAATCAATTGATCAACTGGTAAGAGATTTAATTTTCATTAAACTGTTAGTTAATAATGACTATATCTTTACTTATCTCTTCTCTCCTGTCCTCCTATCCTTCTTCCCCTCCTTCCCCCTCTCTCCCCTCATTATATATTTCTAAAAGGCATGAAACTTTCCACTTAAATCATACAGTCACATACAGTTACATGATATAATCTCCATAAAATTTTTTAAAATCCATCATTTTTCTTTTAAAGGAAAAAAATCAAACAATATTAAAACTATGTGTGCAAAGAAATTACACACTCAGAATTTTACTTCTGGATAATTTCACTTATTTTTGAAGTTAATTTTCTTGCCTTTTTTCTCATCTTTTCTGTTAAAACTTTCAGTTCTAAATGAAATAAAATAATTGAATTATGTATTCATATCAGACTCATAGCCAGTGGCATTTGTACTTAGTGATTGATTAAGTTATACACACATATGTGAATATTGTATGTGCTTATTTTTAGTATAGGATGGATGCAAAAGTTTACTTGTTAGGTTCTTATTAATTCAATTTTTACTTCCAATGTAGTATTATGTAATGAATTATGCATACTTGTTATTATGGTATTTTTGGCATATATTGAATATGTCACGGGGAGCTTGCCAGGCTTTACTGTGTGAGCAGGATACTTTCGGTAGCTTGCCAGGCTCTCTGAGAGGGGCGAAGGAATCGAACCTGGATTGGCCATGTCTGCCGCATGCAAGGCATATACCCTACCCACTGTGCTATTGTTCCAGCCCAATAAAAAGAGAGAGGAAAAAAAAGTTTGTCAATTGAATGTGAAAAAAATTGTTTTTGAGAGTTGGAAATATCTTCTCTGAATTTGGATTGCATTACTTCTCTTTACTATAATTCGTTTTGTTTAGAAATGCCATGGATTTTTATGTTTATTTTGTATCCTGCCACCTTACTGTAATCATTTACAATATCTAGTAGATTTTTTTTCTTTTTGGGTCACACCTGGCGATGCGCAGGGGTTACTCCTGGCTCTTCACTCAGGAATTACCTCGGGCAGTGATCAGGGGACCGTGTGGGATACTGGGAATTGAACCCAGGTCAGCCGCATGCAAGGCAAATGCCCTACCTGCTGTGCTATTGCTCCAGCCCCAATATCTAGTAGATTTTTATTTTTGTAAAAGCTATAGGATCTTCTATTTTTTTATCATGTCATATTCAAATAATGATAGTATTGCTTAATCTTTTTCAATTTGGATTTCTTTTGTAGCTTTTTCTTGCCCAATCAGCCTCGCTAGGACTTCCAAAACTTTAATAGTGGGTGAAAAGGGATGGTGAGGGAAAAAAAGTTGTTTTTCAGATAACTGATATTAGTAGACAACCTAAAGAAAAGTTGCAAGAATTATGCAAATGATTGAGTGCTGAAAATAGGTAAAGGGATCAACTTGATAATCATTCAGTACCTATATTGCAAACCATAATGCCCAAAAGGAAAGAGAGAAAGACGTTCCTGCCATAGAGGCAGACTTGGGAGGGGAGGGATGTGCTGTAGGGAAACTTAGGATATTGGTGATGGAAAAATTCCACTGGTAAAGGGACGGATATTAGAAAATTGTATAACTGAAATCCAATCGTGAACAACTTTGTAACTGTACCTCATGGTTATTCAATAATAATAAAGAATTATATAAATATATCTTTCACTGAAATTTGGCAAACTGATATTTTCTTCATTTTGGATATACTTTTCATATAAGGTAATATAAAATATAAGGTATTTGTTGAGTATTAATGGGAATTGAAGAATCTTAGTTGATGCCTATATCTAAAGTAGGCCAGTAGTTCTACAATGACCTTTATTGTAGGTCTCTTATTACTTTCTTGGGTAGTGGACATCTGACTATACCACCAGTACATTTTGATTGACTCAAATTCTACAGAGCTGCTGCGATTTGAAGCTATTTGTTCTGATTTTTAAAATGTCAGGAGCATCATTTAACATTTCAATTTTTCAATATAGAATAGATGCTAGGGCATATTGCTAAGGTAAGAAGGCAACCATTCATCTGTTCCAGACTCTTCATCTATCTGTAATACCCACATATTCCTGACAACTGATATTAGTAGACAATTCTTCAGGATTTGGGCTAGAGCGATAACACAGCGGTAGGGCGTTTGCCTTACAAGCGGCAAACATGACCGAGCCGAGTTTGATTCCTCTGCCCCTCTCGGAGACCCTGGCAAGCTATCGAGAGTATCTCGCCCACACGGCAGAGCCTGGCAAGCTACTCGTGACATGTTCGATATGCCAAACATAGCAACAAGTCTCATGATGGAGACGTTACTGGGCCCGCTCGAGCAAATCGATGAACAACAGGAGGACCATGACCGTGATCATCAGGATTTGACTATAGAACTATCAGTTAACCATTAATGATGGTTTTATTAAGTTATCACAAATCAGTTATAATCCTAAGATAATGACCTCTTTCTCAGCTCTGACTGACATGAATTAATTACAGTTATTAAAACTCTTGCAACTTTAGGGGCCAGAGAAAGAACAGGTGTTAAAGTACTTGCTTTGCATGAGGTCGACTCCAGTTTAACCCTAATTTGATCCTGGTCCTGGCACTGTTTTAACATTTTTCTTTCAAATGGCTCATTCAGTAGCTTAATTATGAGTAATAAAATGTGAAAACACTCTAAGATATACTTTTCTTTACTGTTTCAGGGTGTGCATAATTTTTAAGCTCAAATTTTTATGCCTTAAATTACTTCAATAATGCTATATACATATCTCAAAGGCAATGTTTTTTTTAAGGCCTAATTCACATTTAAACCTAATATTGTCTATATTTTTCATTCTGCCTTCTTGCCAGTATAACCATTTTCATCTTTGAGTCTTTACTTACAAGTTGCTCATTTGTGTGTACTTAAAAATGAACGATGCTCTTTCTGTATCAGAGCTTTTGATTTTTGGTCTTGCTTATTGTAAATTCTTTGAGAGTGAGGAGACTGTGTAGTTATTTAGATAATCTTCAGTCCTATTTGTGCAGTCCTATTTGATCTATATATAATATTAAAAGGCACTTTAGGAATATATTATATTATATTTTTATATTAGAACAAATAAGAACATGTGCAGTTTTGTAAATTTTTAATACATAATGTGTTCTAGGACAAATCTGAAAAGGATGCACTTACTGAACTTGTCCCTGTTAACCTACTGTTAGAAGTGAAAAAGTTACTTAATGCTATTAGTACTCTACCACAAGGTGTGGTTCCTCATATTGAGAAGTTCTTAGAAGAAGATTTTTCCTTCCAGACTATGCAGGTAAGATCATAATTTTTCTTTGGGACAGAAGTACATTTTTGTCATCTAACTATCTAGGAAAAACTTGTTATTACTTTATTCTCACACAATTATCACAGTTACAGCACTTCTGACACTAGATTTGGGTTTATTTTTACAGGAACCATTTGTTTGACATTAATGTATCATAGGAGTCATTTCAGTTGTATTTACTGAGAATTAGCATCAGATCCTAGTCAATCTCATCCTCTGGCCTTTCCTTTAGACCCCAGTCACAAGTCCTGTTTTCCCTGATACTTCTGACAGACTTGGTATAAATTCGAGTCCCTTTTGAACCATGAGTACCTTTTCCTTTCTATAATTTGCTAGAACAGCTCGCAGAACTTAGAGAACCACTTAAATTTATCGGTTTATTATTTAATGACAGATTTGATGAAAGATGAACAGCAGATAAAATGGTACATGCAGCATGGTCTGGAAGGGTGCTAGATCAGAATCTTCTGTTCCATGAAGTTTAACTATTTCCACCCAATTTGGAAACTCTCTGAACCCCATACATTTATGATATCTGTGGAGGCTTCATTATGCAGGCATGAACTGGTGTTAATTCAATTTCCAGTCCTGCTTTCCACTGGGAATGGAATTGACAATTGTAAATTCTAAATTTCTCATCATAGCTTTGTCTTTTTGATGAGCATCTTCCTTCTAAGAGCCCACTATAGGAACTTTATTAGAACAAAAGACACTTCTGTCACACAGGAAATTCCAAGAACTTTAGGAACTCTGTATGAGGAATCAAGATCAGAGGCCAAATAACAGCAGCAACTAGGGGTAGAGATTAATAACTTTATTTCTCCCTTCCTTTTCTCTCCTTTTCTTCCCTATCCTCTTTCTTTATCCTCTTCTTACTTCCTCTTCTCTTCTCCATTCCTTTTACCATCCTGTTTCGATCACTTCTTTTACGCTTCCTTTCAGTAAAATGAGGGAATTAAAGTCTTCATTTTCCTGTTGAAAGGCTTTGGTATAAGTCACAATTATCGAGTTTTATTAGATAAATAAAGATAGCTACCTTTTCAAGAATAATGGTAGAAATATGAGTTTGCTGTTTGTAGTTTGTAAACTATTGACTGTCAGGTTTAGTGTTTGTTGTAATTCTGATAATCTTTTTGCTACTCTGGGGAACTCTTTACTACATTTTCCTAAATTGTAAATGTTGACACATTTTATTCAGAAATATTTTTATCTCTCAAAATATTAACCAAAGCTTTTCATTTTATGAGTATCATAAATGTTTTAGGGAATATATTGAAAATTTCCATCTTTTAGATAGTTTTTCTGGATAATATTTTGTGTACTTTCACTACAAGATAGGCATCAGTTATTACATTACAGGAGTTTTTCAGAGTTTTACAAAAGTAAGCTGCTTTCTTCTTTGGACAATCACTTGAGACCATGGGGGCCCAGTACTGTCACAGATTTCTCAAAATGGCCATATTTTCTTTTTTTTCCCTTATATTTATTTATTGAATCACTGTGGGAAAAGTTACAAAGCTTTCAGGTTTGAGTCTTGGTCATGCAGTGATCAAACACCGTATTTTTTTTTTGTAAAATAATGTATCATTTAACTATGTGAACTAAATGTCATTAGAATCACTGTGACTGTCACTGTCCTTCCCTTGTTCATTGATTTACTCGAGCGGGCCCAGTAACATCGTGAGACTTGTTACTGTGTTTGGCATATCGAATACGTCATGGGTAGCTTGCCAGGCTTTGCTATGGGGGCAAGATACTCTTGGTAGCTTGCCAGGCTTTCTGAGAGGGGCAAAAGAATCGAGCTTTGGTTGGCCATGTCAGCCGTATGCAAGGCAAACACCCTACCTGCTGTGCTATCGCTCCAGCCTGAACTCAGAATAGCCAAATAATTTACCACAGTGTTAATTCTGATTAAAATAGAAGAATAATTGAATTATTTTCTTATTTTAGAAATTGCTCACAAACACTGAATAGAAGCCAGTATGTTCATATTATGTTGTATAAAAACAATAGGTAAATTGGAGAAAATTTAGTTATGATATAGCAATAAAAAATAAAAATATCCTCAAGATGGTACTTTTGAAATTTATAGAAACTTCTATTTAAAACAATACATATGGGGCTATCTTAACTCCTGTATTAATTCTAAAGAAGAAATCAGTATTTCTCAAAATAAGTCACTATAATAAGACAAGTTGATGTCTCTTCACTTTACATTTAGAAATCAGCTATCAGTAATTCCAATGTGAAATTAATATAGATCCTAATAAAACAAAATTAGTATATCAGTGGTAGATTATATAATTTTATATCTAATATATATTCACACTGTGTATATGGATCTGCATATATACATACTTATATATATAGCATAAGGCACTTGTGTATATTGTAATATAGGCGACACTTACCATGAAGTATGCATTCTTTTAAAAGTACACAGAACACTTATAAAAACTGAGTATAATCAATGTCATAAAATCTCATCAGATTTCAAAATATCTAAACGTGCAAAGCATGTCTCCTCAGTATAGGAAAATTAATCTATAAATCAGTGAAAGATAAACTAGAAAATTATTTTTGTAAGTTATTATATACCTCTGTAGTCTAAGACATGAATAAAAAAAGAAGTCAGTAAAACTTGGATGGATTTTTGAATGAACCAAAATTTATACATCAAGACTAGTATGATCCTGGAGTCTAGAGAGATAGTATAGCAGGTAGGGCATTTTGTCTGGCATGGGCTGGAGTGGTAGCAGAGCGGGTAAGGCGTTTGCCTTGCACATGGCCAACCTGGGTTTGATTCCTCCGCCCCTCTCGGAGAGCCTGGCAAACTATCAAGAGTATTTCGCCTGCATGGCAAAGCCTCGCAAGCTCCCCGTGACGTATTTGTTATGCCAAAAACAGTAAGAACATGTCTCACAATTTGTTGTGAGATATTACTGGCTCGATCAAATTGATGAACAATGGGAGGACAATGCTACAGTGCTACAGTTCTCCCAGGTTTGATTCCTGGCACTTCATGTGGTCACCTGAACACTGCCAGGAGTATCTCCAAGTGCAGAGCAAGGAATAAGTCATGATACTGCCAAGTGATGTCCCCCAAAATAGAAACAAAAGAACTAGTATTAGTAGACAAAAAGCTATGCTTCAAAGAATAAAGGAAGAAAAGTTGAGTATTGGTTCTCTAAAATGAAATGTAAGAGATAATGGAAGATCAACAAATTAAAGCAAAGACAAAGAAAGAAATTATGATATCTAAAATTAGTGAAAGTAGTATGGAACATCATTGAATCAAAAATTGGTATTTTTAGAACGTCAATAATATAGGTAAATGCTTCCTGAGAATATGTTTTAGAAAAGCACAAATAACAAAATTAAGACTAAGTTAAAAATGCAAAGTATATAATCATTAAAGACAATATTCTATTACTTGCTGTCACTACCTAAATTGGTTTAATTCAATCTTCATTTCAATAGAACTAGAAAAATTGGACAAACTTTTTTTAGTAATGCTTTTAAGTTTTTAATTGTGCTTTTTTGGGGAAGGTTACTTATTTGAAGAAGAATTAGGATAGTTCAGAACTTAGCGTCAGTTCCTTGCTAACACTTGTGGACTTTTATCATTTTATCATTATCAGAGTGACCTGGACAGCTTTTAATATCTATGCCCATTTTCCTCACACTCCTTTTTTGAATTTTTTCCTGGAACTGCAGTTAGCTATATTTCTCCTGGCAATTCAGAGGACCCTTAGGACTTAATACTTCTTTATCCCAAAATTTATTTAATGAGTTGAGAGTTACTAGGTAAATACATAAATATCCCACTTCTCACTCCCCTTAGGATGGAACTACCAGTGCTTACATTTTCAGTGTTTTCTATTATTTTCTTGTACCAGTATCCTATTATGGGTAACTATCTTAGTAACACATTTGTTAACTTAATCACACTTTCTTATTTTTGGGTCATTTGTCTACTCTCCTACCAATGTACTCCTCCCCACATTACTGACTTTCAGATCGTTGTGTTCTCCCCTCTTTTCTCCCCCTGCCTCCACTAATAGAACCAAAATTAGTACTCTTTCACCCTAGAGTGTATTTCTCAATGTCCCAACCAACAAAATGAAGTATTAACCATGACCCCTTTTCCTTTATAGGTTCAATTCATGTTTTTCCAAATTTGCTGAAAGCCCTGCCTTGTTAATCAGTCTTTCAGGCACAGCTTACATATGCTAGTTGCTTTAAAGGACACAGTGCCTTTAAAAGCCAGTCTTAGATTTCTGGCCTTTCCTTTTACAGGTTGGCCACAGAGATTTTTATTACTTTGATAATTTTACATTGCTTTCAGGCTAATGATTTTATATTTTTGCCTCACTTTCTTTTCTCCTGGTGGCTGTTCTTATTGAGAGGATTGGTATAAACCTACGTGGATGGATTGGCAGAAGTGGAACTTATATATTATATTTTATGTGCCTATCTATACAAATTCAAGACATACTGTTGGCTAGATGATTGATTACGTGGGTCTGGGATTAAGGGTTGATAGTTTTTGAGCTTGAAGTATACATTTGTAAATAATGTAGATTATTTAAAAACATGGGAGTAGATTGCTTCATTTTGGGATTGTGTGTTATTGGTGAAGCAGTTTATTGAATTGAGTGCTAGGAAGATTGAAATGAAGCATGTAATACTTTGCTGGGAGAGAAATGGGAAAATTAAGTTAAAAAGTGCAGATTAAACATCCTACACAGATAATAGTGTCATTAAAGCTTAGATACGAGTTAGACATAAGATACAAGGGGCCTAGATACAAGGCATCATGTAATGGACCAAAAAAAGATAAAGTTGTTTTCCTTTCACTCATTTAAGTAACGGACTGGAGTGGTAGCACAGCAGGTAGGGCACTTGCCTTGCATGTAGCCGATCAGAGTTCTATTCCTCCGCCCCTCTTGGAGAGCCCAGCAAGCTAGATACCAAAAATATCTAGATACCAAAAGTATCTAGCCCAATTGGCAAAACCTGGCAAGCTACCCATGAGGTATTCAATATGCCAAAAACAGTAACAAGAAGTCTCACAATTTGTTGTGAGACGTTACTGGTGCCTGCTTGAGCAAATTGAACAACGGGAGGACAGTGCTACAGTGCTACATTTAAGTAACAAATTATGACATATAATAAATCATGTGTGTCCATTTCCAGTCTGATTGAGGTATAAGATGCCTTTCTTGAGTTGGTATCAATTCCTTTTTTACCACAGGTTTAGGAATGGTTGGAAACTTTTGGCCATGTTAAGGAAATAGCAGGAAGGAAATAAAATGGCATTAATATTTTCCCCTCAAGTAGAAGTGGATTTCTGGTCTTTTTGTAGACATAGTGATGATCCTTTTTTTAAGGCTTTGAGGAAATCTTTACAAAGATTATTTGTCACAGTACTTAAAAATACATAATGAAAACAGTGATATCTGAGTGATGTGGATTTTCTCAAACATCTTTTTAATTCTCCAAGTCTTCTGCAGTGGAAATTGTTGCATAATAAAATGTAGGTAATTTTTTTGCTTACTAACATTTTAAATTGAATTTTCCACAGAGAGAACTTGCAGCTAGCAGCCAGAATGAGGAAGAAATTGTTCCTGTTTTGACTTTACACTTTCTGATAACACAACTGGAAGTAGCACTTAGGAACATTCAGGCTACTAATTATAGAGTAAGTTGGTTTTTTTTTTATCACTGTCACTGTCCTCCCGTTGTTTATCGATTTGCTCGAGCAGGCCCAGTAACGCCTCCTTTGGAGACTTTGTTGTTACTGTGTTTGGCATATTGAATACATCACGGGTAGCTTGCCAGGCTCTGCCGTGTGGGTGAGATACTCTCGGTAGCTTGCCTGGCTCTCCGAGAGGGGTGGAGGAATCGAACTCGGGTCGGCCACGTTGGCTGTGTGCAAGGCATATAAGTTTGAAATCATGATCTTCAACAGTAGTTTTTAATGAGAAGATAGCTAATGAATGCTTATTCTAAGGTGTGAGCTAGTAAGTACTTTTCTTTTTCTTTTGTTTTTAACCTCTAGAGAAAGGTACATGTACGTTTCATTGCTGTATTTTTTATTTTTTTTAGTGTTTTTGTTTCTCTTTATTCTACTGTAGACTCTTGCCTACCATAAAATTATTCAGGAGCATTAAACTTGTGAAAAAAGGCTTTCCTAGTTGTAAACAATTAAACAGAAATGGTTTTTGTTTATTTTGAGACCACAGCCAGCAGTGTCCTGACTGCTCAGGATTCACTCCTGGAAGTGCTCAGGGGACCATAATGAATGTCAGGGGTCCAACCTAGGTTAGCCACATGCAAGCTTACCCTATCTGCTGTGCTATCTTTCCAGCCCCTAGAAACAATTATGAACTTAAAGAATTCTTTTCACCCTAATTATGGAACAACTCTTTCTGTGTTTTTTTTTAATTTGTAAAATTAGTACTTCTGTGATCTATTTCTACAGTCATGCAAACTAAAGCTGACAAATTTATGTGTTCAAAGCACAGTAAGAATTTGTAAATGTTAATAAATTAAGGTAGGGCGTTCGCCTTACACGTGACCAACATGGCCGACCCGAGTTCGATTCCTCCGCCCCTCTCGGAGAGCCCGGCAAGCTACCGAGAGTATTCGATATGCCAGACACAGTAACAACAAAGTCTCCAATGGAGACGTTACTGGGCCCGCTCGAGCAAATCAACGATCAACGGGAGGGCCTTTACCTTTACCTTTAATAAATTATTAATAGTTGATAAATTGGTAAACATAAATATCTAAATTATGTTTAAATAAATCATAATACTAAATTACTATTCAATTATTTCAAGAATTATCTTCCCACTAAGATCTCTTGAAGCTTCTTTTTTTTCATTTTTTTTTTTTATTAGTGAAACACCATGAGGTACAGTTGTAGATTTACAGTTTTTTGTGCTTGGCTTTCGATTTTACAATGATCAGATACCCATCCCTCTACCAGTGCCCATTTTCCACCACCATGGATAATATCCCCCCACCCTCATCCCCCCATCCCCGCTGCCTCTGTGGCAGGGCAATCCCCTGTGTTCTCTCTCTCCTTTTGGCTGTTGTGGTCTGCAAAAGAGGCATTGAGTGGCAAACATGTTCAGTCCATAGTCTACTTTCGACATGCATCTCCCCTCCTGGGAGGATCCTCCAAACACCCTTTATTTGGTGCTCCCTTCTCTATCTGAGCTGCCCTTTCCTCTAGAATGCCCGGCTGGCCACTAAGCTATGGAGTAATCCTCCTGGTGCTGATCTCAGCTATTCTTGGGTGTTAGTCTCCTATTTTGTTACTTTATATCCCCCAGATGAATGCAGTCTTTCTATGTCTATCCCTCTCTTTCTGACTCATTTCGCTTAGCATGATACATTCCATGTTGTACCACTTGTATGTAAATTTCATGACTTCATCTTTTCTAAAAGCTACGTAGTACTCCATTGTGTAGATGTACCAAAGTTTCTTTAACCAGTCATCTGTTCTTGGGCATTCAGGTTTCTTCTAGTTTCTGGCTATTGTAAAGAGTGCTGCAATGAACAAACAAGTGCAGATGTCACTTCGACTATACTTTTTGGCCTCTCTGGGGTATATTCCCAGGAGTGATGTTGCTGGGTCAAATGGGAGCTCAATTTCTAATTTTTTGAGAATCGTCCATACTGTTTTCCAGAAGGGCTGAACCAGTCAACATTCCCACCAACAGTGAAGGAGTGTCCCTTTCTCTCCACATCTGCGCCACCATCGGTTGCTTTTGTTGAAGCTTCTTTTTTTAAATTCACATGTACTCCTGCCTTTCTTACTCTAATCCTTTCCCTGTTCTCCATCTTGTTAATTTGTTAGAGACCATTTTTAAGTGAAGGAAATATTTATATACTTTAATTTTCCAACTGATCAGATTTCATATTTAGAATGTTACAGTAAAGCCTTCCAGGGATGATAAAAGATTTTGGTGTTAATTTATTATTAAATTTATAAACTGGATGATAGGTCCTTTGGGCATTTATTGTATTATAAACATTTCTTGATGCTTAAATTATTATCTAATAAGAGACAGAGACCCAAACCTAGGTCCTCTCACATCCAAGGAATATATTCCCCTCTGCTACTGAGCTGTATCACAGGTTCTAATATAAAAGATCCGAATAGCATTTGCTTTCATTTTCTTTAATCAAACTCTAATTATTGACTATACTCAGTTTTGGATAAAATTATCAAGTAAACATCTCAATATATTCACTCTGGTTATTAGATGTTAATAGTAAGTTTTACTCTTACAATGCTCGAGGCCCTCCCATTGTTTGTCGATTTGTTCGAGCAGGCCCAGTAATGTCTCCATTGGAGACTTTGTTGTTACTGTGTTTGGCATATCGAATAGTTCACGAGGAGCTTGCCAGGCTCTGCCGTGCGGACGAGATATTCTCGGTAGTTTGCCTGGCTCTCCGAGAGGGGCGGAGGAATCGAACTCAGGTCGGCCATGTTGGCTGCGTGCAAGGCAAACGCCTTACCGCTGTGCTATTGCTCCATCCCGCTTACAATAATACTTCTTTGTTGTTAGTTTTTGGCCATACCCAGTGGTGCTCAGGACTTACTACTGTCTTAGGAGTAAGACAGTACTCCTAAGTACTTGGGAGACTTTTGAAGTCAAGTGCCTTAAACCCAGTACTATGTTTCTGATCCCAGTAATAATAACTTTTAGTTATTATTGTTATATGATAATTGCTGAGTAATTCGGGATATTTATTTAAGCTTGATACAGTAAAAAGTAAATTAAAAAATAAAATACATTTTATCTTTTAGGCACATCAGATTAATATTGGATATTATTTGACATTGCTATTTTTGTATGGAGTTGCACTCACCGAAAGAGGAAAGAAGGAGGTTTGTAGCATGTTTTCTTTTCCCATTACAAAGCTTTGCACATGTTCTAACTTCGTTTCAACCAAATAAAAATGTGCTTAAGAAGTTAAAAATTAGAAGCATTCGGGCTGGAGAGACAATACTGCAGGTAAGCACTTGCCTTGCATGAAGGTGATCCAGGTTTGATCCTTTGCACATATATAGTTTCTCAAACACTTCCATGAAGGATTCCTGAGTGTGGAACCAGAAGTAAGCCCTGAGCAGAGGCAGGTGTGGCCTCCACTCTGCCAAAAAAGGCTCTCAGTTACTTTCTGTTGCATATTTATAATACTAGGGAATTATGTGTGAAACTAATAGAGGAAAACCTGTTTTTGCTTAGTTATGTTTTAAATGATTAATATTTATATTAAAAATTGTTATCCTATTTTACTTACATGTATTTATTTTATTGAACTTTGGGCCCATACCCAGCAGTACTCAGGGGACCATATGCCTGCCAGGAATTGAACCAGAGTTGACCTTGAGCAAGGCAAATATCTTAACCCTTTCATTACTTTTACCTATGTGTGCCTACCTTTCCTTGCTTGGGATCTATCCAGGCCACAACCAGTGATGCTGTTTAAAGTATAATGTTTGCTGTGGACTTGTGGTACATGGCATTGAGTGGAGAAAAGTTCTTCCATTTGCATTTTGTGGAGAATAATTTTTATCATGAATGGTTGTTGGATGTTGTCAGGTGATTTTTCTGTGTCTGTTGATGAGATCATATGATTTTTATTTTTTCTTTTATTGATATTATATTATTTTTGTATTATATTGAATGACTTCTGTATGTTGTCATCCTTGCAGCCCCAGGATGAAATCCATTTGGTCACAGTGCATAATCTTTTAGGTGAATTGTGGGAATCTATTTGCTAGTTTTTGTTGAGCATCTTTGCATCTTGTGTTCATTATGGATATCAGTATGTAATTCCCTTTTTTAAAATTTTTATTGTATGATTCAGTTATCAGAGTGTTATTTGCTTCATGGAGACTGGAATTTTTCTATTGTGTCCTGAAAAAGCCTGAAGATATCTTGCAGTAATTCTTCTTTAAAGGTTTGAAAGAACACACCATGAAATCCATCTAGGCCTGTCTTTTGTTTTAGGGAAGACTTGATTATTATTCTGATTTTTAAAAAAATAATAGTTCTATTCTGTTCAGGTTTCTATGCCTTAGTTCAGCCTTTGCAAGTTATAGGAGCCCAAGAATTTATCAGTTTCTTCTAGGTTCTCTCATTTTGTGGCATAAAGATTCTCAAAGTAATCTCTGATCCTTTGAATTTCTGTGGTATCTGTTGTGACTTCCCCACTTTCATATCTTGTTTTGTTTTTTCACACTCTCTTTTTTTGTGAGTCTTGTTAATGGTTTATCAATTTTAATTTTTCAGAGAACTAGCTCTTGATTTCATTGATCTTTTAAATTTTTTTTGTATTTTGGTTTATTAATTTTTGCTCTTAGTTTTATTATTTTGTTCCTCCTGCCTGCTTTGGGCTACTTTTGTTGGTCATTTTCCTGTTTCTTAAGTTGTGCAGTCAAGTTATTTATGTGGGCCCTACCTTCCTGATGAATGCTAGCATAAGGTATGGACTTTACTCTTAACACTGCTTTTGCTGTCCAGGTTTTCATAGGTTTTATCCTCATTCTCATTTGTTTCCAGGAATCTTTTTATTTTTCTCTTTGATTTCCTCTCTGACTCACTGGTTATTCAGTAATAAGCTATTTAGTTTTCAGGTGTTCGAGTTGTTTCTCTGGTTTTTTTTTTCAAGATTAATTTCTATTTACAGTACATCATGGTCTGAGAAGAAAGTTTGTATGATTTTTATCCTCTTGACTTTGTGGAAATATGTTTTGTCTCCACTTTGGGAAGAATGTATATTTTGGGGGATGGGAAGTCATTTATATCATTATATATGTATCCAAGTATTTCCTTACTGAGCTTTAGCCTAATCTATTGAGTGGTGTTGAAGTCTCCAACTACTATTACGTTGTTATCAATGTCTTTCTTCAAGTTTATTAGTAGTTGTTTAAAGTATTTTACTGGTTCCTTATTAGGTGCATATATGTCTAGGAGTAAGTTTTTCCTGATGTACATATCCTTTGAATCATTAAGACATGACCTCTGCTCTTATAACCTTTTTCAGTCTAAAGTCGATGTCGTCTGTTACTAGAATAGTCAACCTGATCTTTTTGAGGGAGTTGTTTGCTTAAGAATTATCTTCCAACCTTTGACATTGAGTCTGTGTTTGCTCTATTTAAATGTGTTTATTCAGAAAGCAGAATATTGGGTTCAATTATCTAACCATGCTGCCACTCTGTGTCTCTTAATTGGTGCATTCAACCCACATACACTGAGATTTTTGTCATGGAGTTTTGTGCCATCTTTCAGAAGGAGATTGGCTTGTTTGTGGGATTCATCTTATCTTAAACTTGCCCCTTTAATTCTTGTAAAAATGTTTTTAATTACATGAAATTCCTGAGTTGTTTATCTGTGAAGTTGTGCATTGTCCCCTCACATCAAATGAGAATCTGTCTCATCTGGGTAAAATATTCTTGGTGAGGCTTTCAGTTTATTGAGTTTTTTTTTCCCCCACTATATCCACTACTGTGTTCAGTTCTGGAGGATTTTGTTTGGTAAATCTGTAAATTTTAAGTACACTCCTTTGTATATAATTCCCTTCTTTGATCTTGCTGCTTTCAGTATTCTCTTATCTATGGTTTTCGTCATTCTGATTAGTATGTGTCTTAGAGTATTTTTATTTGGATTTTTTCTGTTTCCCTGTAGGCCTCCTTGATCTGGATACATTCTCTAGCTCTGGGAACTTCTCAGCAATGATGTCTTTGTTAGGGTTGCCTTACTGACTTCTGAGATCCCATGATTCTTATGTTGTCTCTTTAATTTGTCCCATAGTTCTCCTGTCAGCTGTTTGTTTATTTTCAGGCTCTCTTCCCATCTTCTGTTGTTGTCTGGAGGTTTTCTGCAACTCATCTTGGAGCTCATTGGTTCTGTCCTTAGCTACTGTTACTTTGCTGGTAAGCCTTCCTGTGAATTTTTCATTTTGCCTATCAAGTTTTTTTGTTCTGTCACTTCTGTTTGTAGTTTTTTCATTTCTGCTCACAAGTTGTCTTGTGTTTTATTGGCTATCCCTATCATTATATTTTTGAGTGCATTAAATATCCTAAGCATTTCCACTCTGAAGTTCTTTTCAGACTGTTTGTAGTTTTTTCATTTCTGCTCTCAAGTTGTCTTGTGTTTTATTGGCTATCCCTATCATCATATTTTTGAGTGCATTAAATATCCTAAGCATTTCCACTCTGGAGTTCTTTTCAGAGATACTATATAGGTGGTTATTACTGATTAGTCCTCAGGATTATAATCTTTGCCCATTCCCATATTTTTGGGGATCTTCACTGCTTTACCATGGTACCTTTTGTAGTCTCAAGGTGCGTCTTTTCCACTTCACTCGCAGTGCCCTCCCCCATTGCCAGAGAGAACTCTGGGGAGTTCTATTGAAGGAGGGAGATAATTTTGGCCCTACGGTGTCTGCTACTTTGGGAAATGGCACAAATTTTTTACTTTCGTGTGGAGCCAGTGTGTCTGCTCTGTATTTGGCAGGCCTCTCAGGTGCTCTCCTGGGCTGTGGGGGAGACTGCGACCTCAGCCCATGATTGGGGAACTGCCTTGGGAAAGGAGATTGTATTTCTTAGTGTAGGAATTTCTTGCTCTGAATTTTTCTTTATAACTACATTACTTTCATCCCATAAGTTTTGATAAATTATAATTTCATTTTTCTCAAGACTTAAAACCTTTCTTTTTTGATTTTTTCCATTACCCTTTAACCAGTGGGTAATTCAAAAATAGTTGGTTGCTCTGGAGCATGCTGTTTAATTTCTACAATAATTGTGAAATTTTAAATTTCTTTTCTTTTTTTTTAAATTTAAAATTTCTTAGCAATTATTTTCTTTTTTTGGAGTCAGTAAAGATGGTTGGCATGATTTTTGTCTTCTAAAATTTATTGACCTCTTTTTCTTCATCATATATCCAATAACTTGATATCAAAAATGTGTGAGGAAATCACACAGTGCAACATATAAACGACTCACTACATTGGGCAAACAACATGAATAGATAGTGTTACTAATAGGTATATATAAAACAATTGGAACATGAAGCATGTTTGTCAGCACTTATTTTTAGGAACATGCAAAGCCAAGCCACTATGAGATATTAAATTTATACCGCTGAGAATGGTTTTCATCAAAAGGATATAAACAACAAGTGTTGGCAAGAATAAAGGAACTTTTGTGCACTGTTGGTGGGAATGTAAATTAGTGCATTTTCTTTGGAAATGGATCTGGAAATACCCTTGCAAAATCAGCTCATCTCAAGATCTTTGATCCGCATTGAGTTGATCTTCATATAGGATGTGAAATACTTATCCAGCTTCATTTTTTTTTATATGTGACTGTCCAGTTTTCCCAATACCATTGGTGGTGAGATGAGTGTTGGAACATTTTATGCCTGAAACCCAGCTAAATATATAAATCACAGTGCCTTACTTCACTTCACTTAATCACTTAACTTCCCGTTAGTCGTCGATTTGCTCGAGTGGGCGCCAGTAACGTCTCCATTTGTCCCTGTCGCGTGCTAGTGTAGCCCAATGCCATCTGTTCGCTCTGGGAACATGAAGAGCCTCAAACCGATCTTTCATGATCTTGACGAAGAAGTCTGACCATCTGGTAGGTGGGCGGCCACGCGGTCTTTTGACATCCCATGGAATCCAGTCGGTAACAGCTCTAGTCCAGCGGTCGTCTTTAAATCTCACTATGTGACCAACCCATCTGATTTTTGACACCTTGGCAAACGAGACAGCGTCCCTGGTTCTTGATCGTCGACGGATGTCGGAACTCCGGATTCTTTCTCTCATTTGAGTGAAACGTGATATTCCAAGCATAGCTCTTTCTATTCTTCTTTGGGAGACCTGAATAGCGTTCTAATCTTGTTTGCGTAGGGCCCAGGTCTCTGAGGCATATGTTAATGCAGGAAGAACAGTGGAATCAAAGAGATGTGCCCGAAGCTGGAGGTTAGCTATTTCTTCGACATTCTTGAAGGCGTTCCAAGCTGCTCTCTTCCTCCTGCGCAGCTCGGATGCCAAGTCATTTGGTGTTGACTTCTCGACCTAGGTACGCAAAGCTGTTGCATTCGGAGATGGTCGTTCAGTTGAGAGCGAATGGGGCATCAGGAACGAGGCTGTTTCTCATAAACATTGTCGTAAGATTCAGCTGTAGTCCTACCTTTCCACACTCACGGACAAAGTCAGCCAGCATTTGTGCCGCTTGGCTGATGTTTGGTGTTATTAAAACAATGTCATCAGCAAAGCGGAGGTGGTGTAGTTGCCGACCATTGATCTTCACTCCCATTCCTTCCCATTCCAGTTGTCGCATGATGTTCTTGAGGGTGGCACTGAAGAGTTTCGGTGAAATGGTATCACCCTGCCGCACCCCTCTCTTGACATCAACGATCACTTCTTTGTAGAATGGTGAGATCCTGGTAGTGAATCTGCAATACAGCTCATGAAGGATCTTGATGTACTGGGCTTGAATACCCTGATTGGCTAGGGCTTCTCAATGACCGCTTCCGTCTCAACAGAATCAAAGGCCTTCTTTAAATCAATGAACGTTAAACAGAGCGGCATCTTGAACTCCCGAGAAACCTCAGTGAGCTTGGTTATCATGTGGATATGGTCGATGGTGCTGAATCCTTTGCGGAACCCGGCTTGCTCGCATGGTTGTCCTTCATCTAGTGTTCTGCCAATCCTATTTAGGATGACTCAAGTGAACAACTTGTAGATGACAGACAATAGGCAGATCGGGCGATAGTTGCCAATGTCATGGATATCTCCCTTCTTGAACAGTAGTATGGTCCTGCTGGTTTTCCATTGGGACAGAACCTTGCATTCAGACAGGTAGCGAGTGAAGAGCCAAGCCAGTGTATTGATGAGTACTGACGGCAGGTTCTTCAGGTGTTCAGGTCTGACCTTGTCTGGGCCGGGTGCTGTTTGTTTTTTTACCGACGAAATGGTGTGTTGGATTTCGGAAGGGAGAACATTGGGAACGACATATCCATCCTGTGGAATTTGGTATGTCGGCAAGTGGACATGGCTATCGAAGAGATTTGAGTAGAAGTCATGGATAATCTTCTCCATTGCCGTTCTGGAGGATGTGATGGATCCATCAGGACGTCGGAGGGCAGTCATCTTGGTCTTATAGTTGGTGAAGGACAAGCGGGCATTACGAATACTTTTCCCAGCTTCTGCCACATCTACCAGTACTTCTGCTCTTCTCTCTTTGAGGTCTTCCTTGTTCGCATCTCTGCACTGCTTTGCGAGCTCGGACGTTAGCTTGTGGTTGCCTGAGGCATGCGCCAAACCACGCTGGCGAATTAGCTCAAGAGTTTTCGAAGACAGGCGATTTTTTGTGGCTATCTCTCTCTTGGCGTTCCTCGCACATTCATGGAGGTGCTGAACCAGTCTCACCATGTCGTTTTCGACACTGGAGAAGAATTGTTCCTCGGAACATGCGATAAAAGAGGTGTCGGAGGTGTCGGTGTCCTTGTTAACACAAACTTGGCCATGAGCATTGATTCATTCGAATGCCTAACAACCTGAATCGGACGTTTACATTTGAATAGATGTGGCTCACTGCCTGCAGTTTCTATCTTCGTTGTCTAAGCACCAACATCTCATTATGATGAAAGAGAAATCGAGAAGTTCTACTTGGAGCTGGAGCAGTTCTATAAAGAAGACCACACCTTCTACAAGATCATTGTGGATGATTTTAATGCCAAGATAGGACCCAGAAGATCAGCTGAAGAACTTCACATCTGCACCCATGGCCTAGAATGGAACGAACAGGGTGAGAGGCTGTCTGAGTTCATCATGTCGACCAAGACCATCCATGGTAACTCACAGTTCCAGAAGGCAGAATCTAAACGTTGGACATGGGAGTCTCCTGGTGGACGATTCCACAATGAAATAGACCACATCATATTCAATCGACGGTTTTGCCTGACCGATGTCGCTGTTGTTCCAAAATTTCGAACGGGATCGGACCACCGTCTCCTTCGTGCAAAATTCTACTTCACAGAGCGGGGAGAAAGGGCTGCAAAGTTCAAAAAGAGAACTCCCAGAACAACCATCAACTGGGAACTCTTTGGCACTATTGCGGCAATTTGGGAAGATGCCATTGTTGACAACATTGACGAGGAATATGATCGACTGATTCAGTGCCTTACTACCTTTAGAAAAATGGAAAAATTATATAATATAGCAGTTATCACTATTAGGAATTTATTTGAGGGATATGAATACACTCATTCAAAATGGTATTTATATCTTTTTTAATATCCAGAGTAGTATTACTAATAGCCAAAACATGGAGTCAGCCTAAAGGCTAATTGGCAGATGATTGGATTAAGAAGTGCAGTATGAGTGCTCAATGGAATACTACATAGTTATTTTAAAAAAGATGAAAACATGTATACTTGAGAAGAATGTGTATTCTGGATGTTTTAGATGACATGCATTGCAAATATCTACTAAATCCATCTTATCTGATTATGCTATTTAAGGCCTGAATTCTTATGATTTTGTCTGAATGATCCAATTATGATTGAAAGTAGAATTTGAAATCTCTGCTATTATTGTAATACTATGTATTCTCTTCCTAGATCTGTCAATAGTTTTCTTATATATTTAATTGTTCCTACAGATGTGCATATATTTTTAGAAATGTGCTATCTTCTGGCTGAATTGGCCCTTTTATCATTATATAGCTTCTATCTTAAAGTCTATTTCATCTGATACTAGGAGAGCTATTTTAGGTTCTTTTAGTTCCCACCTGGAATTTACATATTTTAGTTCCCCCTTCACTTTCAATATGTGTGTTTCTTTATATCTGAAATGAATCAACTATGGACAATTTATGGCTGATTCTTGTCGTTTAAATCTATTTAGTCACTCTGTATCTTTTGGTTGAGAACTGTGGTCATTTACATTTAAGCTAATTATAGATTTGTACTACTGGAATTTTGTTTTCCAAAGCAGGCATTTTACCTCAAGTATTTTATTAAGATAAACTGCAACAAAAGAAAATCTGACAGTTAACTAGGTTATTTTTTTTGTAACTAGGTTATTTCTAAACAGTCTAAAACTTTTAAAAATGATTTCTCATTTTTTCTTTGCAGCTTTCTTTTTTCTCGTTTTTTCTTAGAAATTTATACTTGTTTCAGAAATTGCATACCTATATGTGACTTAATGAGGCAGAATTTATAAGTAGCAAATTGAAACATTGTCAGTAATTTCAATTTTTCTTATTTGAGATGAAGCATACCCAGAAGTGCTACTCAGGTCTTACTCCTTGCTCTGTGCTGGGGCTCAGGGACCATTGATATGCTAGGGATGGAAATAGGGACTACCATGCACAAGGAAAGCACCTTAGCCCCTTCTATGTCTATAGCCCTCAAACATTTTAATGTTAAATCATTTCACATAGTTACTGCTTAGTATTATGCTATAAATTGTAAGCAAGGCCACTTTTACCCCATTCTGCCTAAGATCAGTATGTCTCCTTTGATAGAGTTTAAACATTAATTAGAACTTTCCTTGATATTTATTTTCAAATTCTTAATGCCTTTGATATAGTGCTTCCCAAATAGATGCTGTATGTATGGTCAAAAATCATTTATTAAATGAGGGAAGAGACACTCACACTTGGAAATTAAAAAATGAAATAAGAATTGAAAAGAAATGAAATAATTTATTTTTAACTTGAAGAATTTGGAAGGTATGTGTTCTAATGAGATAGAAAATCTAGGAAGAATTGCAAAGCATTGTATTTTCACAAGCATTACATTAACATAAATGCATTTCTTTTGACTTGTAATATTTGTTATTTTAGGTAGGTGTTTTTCCCAAAGTAGAACATACCATACCCTACTACCCTACCCGGTGCTGGAACAATGGGGAGGGTGGTGGTAACCTGGGATAGTACAGCTGGGTACTTTTCTCTTTGTTCCTTAAAGAAGGTATGTTTCTGGGTGATGTATAATTCCCCACTCCTAAAAATAAAATAACAAAACAAATTTTTTGATTTCCAGGAGAATGCAGAGTTGTTTTGTGTTTTTTATCTGAAAAAAGAGCGTATAAGCCAAATAAATTATGAAAACTCTCTTAGATTTTTTTAAAGAAGTGATCGTGGTTTAGTGTACTTTTCAAAACATTGAAGACTATATATTAAGTTTTGTATTTGTAGGGACTGGAGTGATAGCACAGCGGGGAGGGAGTTTTGCCTTGCATGTGGCTGACCCGGGTTCGATTCCCAGCATCCCATATGGTCCCCTTAGCACCGCCAGGGGTAATTCCTGATTGCAGAACCAGGAGTAATCTCTTTGCATTGCCGGGTGTGAGCCCCCTAGAATTATTTTATTTGTAGATGTATATTTTTAAAACAGTACATTAACAATGTGATTACTTACAGAGATACTAGGGTTAACTATGTGATTACTTACAGAGATGCTGCAGATGCAAGGATGGCTTAACATATACAAGTCAATCAACATAATATGTCACATCAAAGAAAGAAGCAAGCCCTAACTTCTTCAGTTTGGGAAAGCGTTGTTTATTGTAAAAGAATAAAGAGGTGCCTTTTACATTAGCCAGACAATAAAAACTTGATTCATTTTACTACAGGATTATACAGAAGCTGAGAACAAATTTCTGGTGATGAAGATGGTGATCCAAGAAAATGAAATTTGTGAAAACTTTATGTCTTTAGTTTATTTTGGGCGTGGCTTGCTTCGATGTGCTCAGAAGAGGTAAGGATTCTAACTAATGGGTAGCTTTTTTCTGTCAACTTCACATTTTGCTTTGCATTGTGAAGCAAATTAATTAGAAGCAAATTTGCTAGTATGCCAGGTATTTTGACATTTTTTCTGCACTGCTTTCTTTACCTATTTCTGTAGTCAGTAATTTCTTTAATGCAATTGAATATTAAGTATCCAATTTAGCAGGCATGAATACCCAGTTTAACAGAAATCAGAATGGAAAATCATGAGGGGTTCTGAGCATACACAGTCCTTTAGTTCCTGGTTCTTGTGCTCTTCAAGGGTACTTTTGTGAGGAGCGTAAGCGTTTGTTGTTACTGTTGTTGTTTATTGTGGGAGAGGCACACCCAGTAGTAGTCAGTGTCAGAGGCCTCACCCAGAGGGGCTGGGGATCTGTGCTGTGCCCTGATTCATACCAGGGTTGTTGTTGAAATTTAGTGCTAGGCAAGAGCTTTAACTTTTGCACTGATATTTCTGGCCCCACAAAAAATATTTTAGTTAGGAAAGAAGAGGAGCAAAACATCCAGTGAGAGTTAAAATAAATTTATTTAAGAAAGAGGGAAGAACAGACACCTCATAGCAAGTGGGGTATTGGAAAGTTGAATACTGTGACAGTTTTTGTCCTCCCCCTTTTTTTTTGGTGTTGGTGGGGTGGGCACATCTGGTAATACTCAGGCTTACTTCTAGCTCTGCACTCAGGAATTACTCATGGCAGACACAGGGGCCATTTACAGTGCGGGGGCTTGAACCCCAACCTGCCCCAAGTTCTGCTGTTCTTCACTTGATCACTTGACATCCCGTTACTCATCAGTTTGCTCTGGTGGGCGCCAGTAACGTCTCCATTATCCCTGTCACGTGCTAGTGTAGCCCAATGGCATCTGCTCACTCCAGGAACATAAAGAGACTCAAACCGATCATTCAGGGTCTGGACGAAGAAGGCTGGCCATCTTATAGGTGGGTGGCCATGCGTTCTTTTGATGTCCTGTGGAATCCAGTCGGTAATGGCTCTAGTCCAGCAATCATCTCCAAATCTCATTATGTGTCCAGCCCATCTGATTTTCGATGCCTTGGCAAACGAGACAGCGTCCCTGATTCTTGATCATCAACGGAGGTCGGAATTTGGACTCTCTCTCTCTCACTTGAGTGAAGCTTGATACTCCAAGCATAGCTCTTTTGATTCCTCTTTGGGAGAACCGAGTAGCGTTCTCATCCTGTTTTCATAGGTCTCAGGTCTCTGAGGCATATGTTAATGCAGGAAGAACAGTGGAATCGAAGAGATATGCCCAGAGCTGGAGGTTCTTCATCCTCTTAGCTATTTCTTCGACGCTCTTGAAGGCATTCCAAGCTGCACTCTTCCTCCTGTGCAACTCAGGTGCCAGGTCATTCGTCATGTTGACTTCTTCACCTAGGTACACATAACTGTTGCATTCAGAGATGTTTGTTCTGATGAGAGCGAATGGAACATCAGGAATGAGACTGTTTCTCATAAACATTGTCTTTGTGAGATTCAGATGTAGTCCAACCTTTCCACACTCACAGTCGAAGTCGGCCAGCATTTGTCCTGCTTGGCTAATGTTTGGTGTTATTAGAACGATGTCATCAGCGAAGCGGAGGTGGTGTAGTTGCCAACCGTCTATCTTTACTCCCATTCCTTCCCATTCCAGTGTCACATTACGGTCTCGAGGGTGGCAATGAAGAGTTTTGGTGAAATGGTATCACCCTGCCGAACCCCTCTCTTAACATCGATGATCACTTCCTTGAAGAATGGTGAGATCCTGGTAGTGAATCCGTAATACAGCTCACGGAGGATCTTGATGTATTGAGTTTGAACGCTCTGTTTGGCTAGGGCCTTGATGACCGCTTCAGTCTTAACAGAATCAAAGGCCTTCTTTAAATCAATGAACGTTAGACGGAGTGGTATCTTGAACTCCCGAGAAACCTCAGTGAGCTTAGTTACCATGTGGATATGGTCTATTGTGCTGAATCCTTTTCGGAACTCAGCTTGCTTGCATGGATGGCCTTCATCTAGTGTTCTGCCAATCCTATTCAGGATGACTCAAATGAACAGCTTGTCGAAGACAGACAACAGGCATATTGGGCGATAGTTGCCAGTGTCGTGGATGTCTCCCTTCATGTATAGTCCTGCTGGTTGACCATTGGGATGGAACCTTGCATTCAGACATGTAGTGTGTGAAGAGCCGAGCCAGTGTATTGATGAGAACTGACGGCAGATTCTTCAAGTGTTCAGGTCTGACCTTATTTGATCCGGGTGCTGTTCGCTTCTTTACCTATGAAATGGCGTGCCAGATTTCGGAAGGGAGAATGTTGGAAATGACATATCCATCCTGCGGAATTTGGTACATGGGCAGTTGGATGTGGCTATTGAAGAGATCCGAATAGAAGTCATGGATAGTCTTCTCCATTGCCCTTCTGGAAGATGTGATAGATCCATCAGGATGTTGGAGGACATTCATCTTGGTCTTGGAGTTGGCGAAGGACAGGCGGGCATTGTGACTGCTTTTCCTGGCTTCTGCTGCATCTGCCAGAACTTCTGTTCTCTTCTCTTTGAGGTCTTCCTTTATAACTTCTCTGCACTGCTTTGCAAGCTCGGACATTCGCATGCACTTGCGTGAGGATTGCGCCAAGCCACGTTAGTGAATGAGCTCAAGAGTTTTTGAAGATAGGCATTTTTTGTGTGGCTATCTCTCTCTCGCCATTCTTTGCACAATCATTGAGGTATTGAACCAGTTGATCTTATTTCTTGTCAATGTTTTCAAAGACGGCATCTTCCCATATTGCAGCAATAGTGCCAAAGAACTTCCATTTGCTGGTGTTTCTGGGAGTTCTCTTCTTAAACTTTCAAGCCCTTCTTCCCGCTCCATGAAGTAGAATTTTGCACAAAGGAGACGGTGATCTGATCCTGTTTGGAATTTTGGGACAGCAGCGACATGGGTCAGGAAAAACCATCGATAGAATATATTGTGGTCAGTTTCATTGTGGAACCATCCACCGGGAGACTCCCATGTCCAACGTCTAAACTCGGCCTTCTGGAACTGAGTTACCATGGATGATGTTGGTGGACATGATGAACTCAGATAGCCTCTTACCCTGTTTGTTCCATTCTAGGCCATGGATCCCAATGTGGAGCTCTTCAGCTGATCTTCTTGGTCCTATCTTGGCATTAAAATCACCGAGAATGATCTTGTAGAAGGAGTGGTCTTCTTTATAGAATTTCTCTAGCTCCATGTAGAAATCCTCAATTTCTCCTTCAACATAATTGGATGTTGGTGCATAGACAATGAAAATAGAAACTGCCGGCACTGAGCCATGACTATTCAAGTATAATCGTCTGATTCTGGTTGTTAGGCATTTGAATGAATCAATACTCATGGCCAAGTTCATGTTGACAAGGACACCAATACCACTGACATCACTTTTGTTGCATGTTCTGAGGAACAGTTCTTCAGTGTCTATAAAGGCGTGATGTGATTGATGCTGTCTCATCTCGTTCAGACCAATGATGTCATACTTGATCTTTGCGCTTGCACCATCAGGTCCTCAATGGCGCATATGATGCCATTGTACCTGTATTAAAAGTATAGACAGTCATTTCTATCCTTTTTCATTTTGCCAGCCTAGTTCAGCCTTGAGAATTTATCAGCCTCTCCTTCCTCATCCTTCTTAACCCTGCTGTATTGGTGGCTCTTTCACAGTTAGGGAAATGAGACCCATTGTATTTACTGGTTTTGCTATATCGAATATGCCATGGATAGTTTGCCAGATTCTTCCATGAGGGCGGGATATTCTCGGTAGCTTGCCAGACTCTCCAAGAGGGATAGAGGCTTTTAGGGTGGCCTCTGATTGCCCTTTCAGGTGTTCCCATGGTTCAAACCATATTTGAAACCCATCAAATATGGTGTGGTACTCTTGGAAGATGGGTATTAAGTGTCTCATGATGCAAAGTGGCCGCGCAGTCCAGAAAGTGTCCTGGATAGTGGAGTTAGTGGAGGAACAAGACTCTCAACAGAACAAACATCTCCGAATGCGACAGTTATGTGTACCTAGGTAGAGAAGTCAACATGACAAATGACCTGGCACCTGAGTTGTGCAGGAGGAAGAGAGGGGCTTGGAACGCCTTCAAGAGCATCGAAGAAATAGCTAAGAGAACAAAGAACCTCTGGGTCCGGGCACATCTCTTCAATTCCACTGTTCTTCATGCATTAACATACTCTTCAGGGACATGGGCCCTATGAGAACAGAATAAGAATGCTATTCGGATCTCCCAAAGAGGCATCACAAGAGCTATGCGTGGAGTATCACCCTTCACTCAAGTGAGAGAAAGAATCCGGAGTTCTGAACTCCATCGACAATCAAGAATCAGGGACGCTGTCTCATTTACCAAGGCATCAAAAATCAGATGGGCTGGACGCGTAATGAGATTTGGAGATGATTGCTGGACTAGAGCCATTACCGACTGGATTCCATGGGACATCAATAGATCGCGTGGCTGCCCGCCACAAAATGGTCAGACTTCTTCGTTAAGACCCTGAACATTCAGTTGGAGGCTCTTTGTGTTCCTAGAACGAACAGACGCCATTGGGCTACACTAGCACCTGACAGGGACGAATGGATACATTACTGTCACCTGCGTGAGGAAATTGATTAGTAAGGGGATGTCAAGTGATCAAGTGATTATTTATTTATTTATTTATTTTTTAATTTATTAAATCTCCGTGAGAACAGTTGCAAAGCTTTCCAATTTAAGTTTCGGTCACACAATGGTCAAACACCCATCCCTTCACCAGTGCACATTTTCCACCACCAAAAGCCCCAGTATATCCCCATCTCATCCCTCCCCCTGCTTGTGTGGCAGAAGATTTTCACGTTACTCTCTCTCTACTTTGATCACATTTGATATTTCAACAAAACACCCACCATTATTATTTGGAATTTTTCCTAACAATCAGACCTGCTGAAAAGGCATCATTAGATAATTTGTTTTCTGTTGCTGATTATGAAGAGCAAATTATGTCGCACGACCATTTTTGGATTTCTGATATTTTAGTAATAAATCTGTAGTGATTTCTGCCAGAAGCTGTGGGCTTGCAATATTGATTTGTGTGCCTCTGGGGTCATGGCCATTCAGGAGCCAGAGTAGCTGTTTGTGGGCGGCAATTTGGAGCCTCATCAGTGCCGGGAGAAGGGCCGGTTCCAACCCTCCCCCCCTCCCCCATCCCATGAGGCCCCATGCCACACATCACTGCAGTTTCATACTGGCTGCCCAATAGGCTCAGAAAGATGGTGACTGCCTCTACTTGCTAGAAAAATAAATGGATTACTTATTGATAAATTATTATATAAAGTTCTCTTGAAACTAACCTTATTTTAAAATGCCTTGCAGATATAATGGTGGACTGCTAGAATTTCATAAAAGCCTACAGGAAATTGGAGATACAGACGATCAGTGGTTTGACATAGATTCTACAGAAGATGAAGATTTACTTAACACATTTAAAGTAAGAGATTATTTAAGAATAGTATTTGTGTGACTAATTATAGTCACCTTTGATAAGTTACAGTTTATGATGCCATATTCTAATGTAGCAAGTACATTCCTTTATTTAGAAATTAACTTTTTATGTAAGACACAATTTCAATTACATTAGTTACATTACTTAGTAAATTCATTTTTCAAAATAAAAAGGGTGTTTCCCTAAATAAATATTAGTATGGAATGTATGATTCAATAGAGAGAAATCAGTGAATATATTAACAATTCAAAGTAAACTAAAAGCTTTATTAGCTTAGTATTTTACATGATTAGTGACAAATATAATAACCTATTTTTCCTATTATATTTGCAACTTTTGTTAAATTTTGAAAGTATGTAGTACTTTTATTATAGTACTTAGTATATTATATAATATGATACATTATAATATATTAATAATAAATTATATTCATTATTTTATATAGAGAAACCATTGTTCATATCACCATTATGCTTTTTTTGAGATACATGTATAAATACTTACACAAAATTTTTTGTTGCTATCTTGAGATTACTGGAGGTCATGCAGCATTGCAATGTCCGTATATTTTGTTGTGCTAATACTCTTTATTTTTTGTAAATTGGTATACTATTAAACAAGTTGATCTGTAGTGTGGAAATATATATTGTAAATTTCTTAGCAATTGGACAAGTAAGTACTATTTTTTCATAGTGTATCATATGAAACTTAATTTGATGATGCAGTTTCTGTTGAATATTTTATCTCAGACGTTTCATTTTTCACTATTATGTAAAGTATATTCAGGTATTTTGTAGCTATTAGGATAAATTTCTGAAGGTGAAATTATGAAGTATTTAAAGATACAGTTTGTTGTTAAATATGTCCTCTCAGTAAACTGGTACCAATTTTTATTCTTCATGTAGAGTTTGAGAATTTCTATTTTCCCCATATCTGTTGGATGTTCTTTACTTGGAGAATATTTTTTATGCATCTGATTAGCCTTCTAATCTCTTTTTTAAATTAAAAATTTTCATATGACCACAGACACTTTGATTTCTCTTGGTTAGTGTTTCAATGACATATCACTTTTAAGACGTGTACTTTAAGCCTTTTTAAAAAATTTTTGTTAACTAAGTTAAAATTCATTTTTCAAAATAAAAAGGGTGTTTCCCTAAATAAAAATTCAGTTTTCTAGATATCTTAACTCAGAATTTGTTTATAGTTCGTAATGACTAAGATACATGGCATTAAAACCTCTTGAGATGAAAGAATAGAAAACTCAAATTGCAATTGTTGTAATAATTTTTTTCCTACAATTAGAATAAGCAAACAGTTTCTGACATTGCAGGGTAATCATGACTTTAAACTTTTGAGAAATAATTTCAGATTTTTTAAAAATAATTTTATGATCTAAGAGATCTTGTTTTTTTAAAAAAAATATTCTTATTTTATAATTTCTTAAAAATCTAATTAAAAATTTTATTCAAGTAATAAATGTTTTCCTCAAATCTTAAAAGACTTAACAGTATATAGTCTACCAGTTTTACTGTAGTTCTAACTTTTTCTGTAGTTTTACTGTAGTTCTAATTTTTTCCTAGTTGGATTTTTTTTTTCAGTTTGATGCTACTTTTGTTATTTTTCTTAAAGATGTTAAGAAATTTTACTTTTTTCTTTCTTAAAATTTTTTTTCCAACACTTGGATGTATTCAGGAAATACTCCTAGCTCACTGCTTGGGGGTCTCTCCTGGTGGTGCTTGGGAGACCGTATAGTGCTATGATTGGACCTGAGCTTCCTGCATCAAAGAATGCATATGCTCCAACTAAATGAGTTATCTCTCTGACCTCCAAATTTTCACTTTAGATTTTGACTTTCATACTAAAGTGAACATTTAGTAGCTGTTTTCTATATCCCCTTTATATATACTTCCCTTTCCCTATCCTGCCAATAGTTATAGTTTTTATTAAGATGCCCTTAGTGTTTATCTTTATTCCTGGGAGTATTCTTCACCTCTTCTGTGTGGAAATCTCTTTCTTGGATCTCAAATTTTCTTTCTAGATTTATCTGCCTTCTTTGGTCTTTGAAAATCATCCAGCAGCTTCTTTGGAAAGGGTACTTGGTTATTGGGTAAATATTTTGAAACTTTAAGCATTAAAATAATTTATCTTTTTATACTTGATATCTTACCTTGAAATAAAATTGTATTTTCTGATGTTTTTCATATTTTATTTCATATCTTTATTGTTTTTGAATATGTGTCTCTGATTTTCAAGCTTCCATTTAGTACTTTAAAGAAATTTAATTTTCAGTCTTTTATTTACAACTTTTTTTTTCTTCTTGAAGGTAGGGAAGCCTGTGCATCCCATAGTGTTTTGAACTTAAATTTGGTTCTAGAATATTTTCTTTATTTGATGATACTTTCTTAAATTTCTTTTCGTTCTTTATTCTACTTTGTAGAAAATTTTCTCACATTATCTTTATACATAGGATGATATTCCACCAGTACACATTGTTAAGAAAGTTATATTAGCTTTTTGTTGAAAATATTTCTATACTGATATGAGAATAATTTCTACCACAAGTTTCTTGAGTGCCCAACCATCATTCAACTAGACTCATTGCTAGCCCTCTCTCCCCATATTTCTCTAAAACTTCTGGTAGTTCCAATACTTCCTTAAGCTTAACTTTTCCTCTAGACAAGCATGTTCTTTGTTATGATTGGTGCCTATCAGTTTATCAAAAGTCCTTCTTTCCAGACATTGTGGTTATCGTTTTTTTAGAGAACCTGGTTTTGTTGACCTGTGCCCCTATAACTAGCACTGAGGAATCCTAGGTGAGTACCACCAGAATACTGTTACCTCACATAATTACTCCTATCATCATATATTCTCTTGAACTTACCCTGGTTGGGAAGATAATTCTACTAGAGATGCTTTGATCTATCAGGTTCAAATAAAATATCCTTTAATGTAGTAGCTATTTTCTAATTTTATTTTATATCTATCCTTCTATTGATTTTTTTTAGAATAAATGATTGTTGCTTTTTGCTTGCTTGTTTGTTTTGGGCCACATCCAGTGATTCTCTGGTTTTACTTCTAAAGGGTGATTTCTGGATTGTTTTATGCTGGGCATTGAACCTGAGTTAGCTACATGCAAGGCATCCACTTTAAACCCTTTACTTTATCTGATTCAGTTCTGTTTTTGTTCCCATACTTGCTTCATATTTTTATTTACTTTTTATTATAAAAAAAGATAAAATTTTCTGAATTTTCATGTTATCTCTGTGCAGCTTAATTTTTATATCATTCTAGTTTTAGTATATACCACCAAAGCTAGCATTCATTGCTTTTTTAATATTTAGATACTTACTTTTTTTTAGTTGTCATCTTCTAAGAGTCAGTCTTGTCCTGGATATTATTTTTATTAAAAAACTATCATTTGCAGTGAACAGTTATGTTTGCTTTCATGATCTCCCCAATTTTAGGTATGCAAGTACCATTGGAAAGCCCCAGGGTACCATGACCAGGGTTCATCATGCCTATCTACTCCACATTGTAGAACAATGAGCATGTGATTGAGGTTCTGTACAAGTGCTAGACCAAGTTCAGGTTTCCTGGTGGCCAAAAGAACCATCTACATCTCTAAGATGTAGAGCTTGACAAAGTTTAATGTAAATTTGACCAAGTTTAATGTTTAATGTGAGTTTGAACACATGGAGTCTTAAAAGCAGCTCATCCCAGGTGGCTGTGAGTCAGATATATTCTTAGTTGTGTGCTTCTAAACAAATGATGGACACTACATTCCTGAGACCTTTAGTGCCTGCCCCATTAAAGTTCCTTGTCTCACACACATGCACACACACACATATACACACACACACACACACGACGTGTGTTCACATGCACGCATATATATATATATATAGTGTGTATTTATGTATTTTTTTGTGATCTCCATAGGATTTTCATGTCATCTCCAAATAGTTTTACTATGTTTCCAATCTGAATCATTTTTATTTCTTTTTTTATATCTAGTTATCGTTATAATTTTCTTTTCAACTTTTTGCAATAGCTTGAGAAGTAGAAGATAGGTCCATCTTTAATGGTTTAGTAGAACTCATTAGAAAACCATTTAGAACCTGGGCTTAGTGATAAAACTTTTGATTACTGTGTCAGTTTCCTTTCTAGTATTTGCACTGTTAAGATTTTGTTTCCTTCTGGTTCAATTTTGAGAGATTGTAAGACACTAAAGATGTGTGAATTTCTTCTGAATTTCCCAACTTTAGCAGCATAAAGTTGTTCATAGTAGTCTTCTATGACATTTTGTATTTCTGTAGTATCTATTGTAACTTACCTGTTTTGTTTTTCATCCTATTTATTGGTTTTCTCTCTTTAACCTTTGTGAATTTAGCTGTGTTAGTAATTCTTGTTAATTCTTTCAAAGAAGTATCTCTTGCTGCATTGGTTTTTGTTTGTTTTGCTTTTTGGCAACACTTGGCAGTACTTGGGGCTTACTTGTGACTCTGGGCTCATGGGACCATATCAGGTACCATGGATCAAACCTTGGTCCAAAGTATGCAAGGCAAACACCCTACCAGCTGTACTATTGCTCCACCCATTAAATGATCTTTTGTATTGTCTTTACATTTTGCTTATTTCCACTGGTTTTTTTTTTTATGATTTCTTTTCTTTTGCTTGCTTTGGATTTCTTTTGTTGTCATTTACTTTATTTTTTTAATTCTCTAAGATATAAGGTTAGATTGTTTGGGGGGCCTTTATTTCTTGATATGTGCCTGTATAATTATGTGCCTATAGGTGACTCCCTAAGAGAGGTGGTCTTACTCTTTTCCCACCTGGTCACTTGGAAAGAACCTGGGGGTGGGGGTGGGTGGGAAGAGTTAGGACTGATAAAATGTGCTGTGAGCTCCTTTCGCATATAGATGTGATTGTGTCTCATCAGCTCCACCAGCAATCGTCAGATTATGCCTGAGACCCACATGATCTTCATGGTACAGGAATTAAATCCAGTACCTGATTTCTTGGGGTCTGTGGCTTCAGTCTGGAGTGAGGAATATCTTCTTTGGAGGAAAAGAAAAAGAAAAATACTGCCCTATAGTATTTATATACTGTGAATTTATCTTTTATCATACTTTTGCTCTGACCCTTATGTTGTAATAAGTTTTGTGTTTATTCTTATTTATTATAACTTACCTGTTTTGTTTTCCCAGAACTCTTAAAGTTCTTCTTAGATGTCCTCATTGACTTGATAGTTTTATAGTAGTATGTTATTTATTCTCCATGTGTTTTAATTTTTTTCCAGTAGGCTTCTTACAGCTAGTTTCTACCTTTCTAACAATGTGATCAAAACAGATACTTCTTGTGGCTTCAGTCTTTATAACTTTATCAGACATTTGTTTTGTTTCCCATCCCAGCATAAATTCTATCCTAGGGACTGCTGCGTACATGTACGCTGAAGATGAATGTGTATTCAGATAGAAAGTAGTATGGAAACTTCAAAACATTAAACTTTTTTTCATAAAAAATTAAAGTACCTTGGGGCTGGAATTATCATACAATGGGTAAGTCATTTACCTCACATGTAGCTGACGCAGATTTGATCCCTGGTTCAAATGGTTCCTGAGCACTGCCATGAGTAAATCCTGAGAGGAGAACCAGAAGTAAGCACTGAGCATCACCAGGTATGGCCTCCAAACAAACAAAAATTTGAACTACCATATTGATGGCCAGTGCCATTCCCGGGTGATTTACGTGAAACAGATAGGTGAGAGACAGCAGCCTTGAGAAAAGGTTCTGCTGCTTTCTTCCGATCTACCTCTGCCACCCCAGGAATCACTGGGAAATCGAGGACTGATAAAGTCTTCAACAAGCCCCTATATAGCATGGACCGCATGTCCTGACAGCCCCACTAGGCATCTGTCAAGCCACACCTGGTGTCCACTTCTCTGTGCATCCTGGAAGTTAATCCCCACCATCTTATTTCTCAGGGAGCCTTGGACTCAGGCTGGTGCGAAGAATTGACCTTCATAGGAAGGAAAGTCAAATCAGTCCTAGACCTCACTGAGGCCTTTGGGTACTTTGTCTTTCTTTCAGAAAAGAATTTCAGTGGAGATGAGCAGTGAAGTAGAAAGCAGATATTATTTGGAAGTTTTAGAGGAAGGGCAGGAAGTGAGAAAGAAAGAGAGTAGGTACACTCAAGGGAAAATGTGGACTTCTCCAAAGGTAGAGAGAGCCCCAGAGACATCCCAGCATTAGATATGAAAGTATGAAAATACACACCTCAAGATACCACCTCAAAAAAGAGAGATGGAGGGAACACATTGCTCAGGCACCACATGTGCTTGGCAGTAATACATGGACACAAGCAACACCTGGACTCGGGTAGCATGTGTATGTGCTTTTTTTGTCCAGATTTGCTTATAAACGGTTTCAAACTCTCAAGCTGCACCACAGGGAGCTTTCTACCTAGGTAAGAGTTCTTTCCTAGGGTGGTTGCCTTACAGAGGGGTAGAGTAGGGAGTACTTAATGATCTTCTTTGGAATTCCTTTCCTGGTTTTTTTCCCTGCCGAACCATCTCTCTAAGGGGGAGTAGGTAGGGACTTGGGGGAGAAGTGGCGGGGGGGGGGGGGGTCCTTCTCTAGGTCTGTGCTGGTGCCTGGTAAAATTCTTATCAGACCTTAGTTTCTATGTCTACCAGGTGGGTTTTTACACCTGTAATTTATCACCTCCCAGCAATTCATTGCCTTAGGCCCTTCCTTATCTACCTGCCTTCCTACTTTAAACTCACAGATGTTTACTGAAATTATTGAAATAAAGAAATTTATTGCCATTTTTCTATATAATTTCTGGATGTTTGAGAAGTTTGGTTTTTTGACCTTTCATTTTCTCCTCATTTAATTTGATATTTGACTCTTGTACAATGATCATTTTCCACGCCTCTACTTTGTTGCATCTAAATATTTTTTGTATTGAGGTTGCCACAAAGTTTACTTTTAGATTTCTAGGATTATATCATCCATTCCATTTAAATCTAGTAAGTCTAAAGTTCATTCTCCAAGATTCCTATTATTACTCTTTGAAGAATGTCATGGGTATTGTTATAGGGATCGCATTGAATTTGTACAGTGCTTTGGGGAGTATTGCCATTTTGACAGTGTTAATTCTTCCGATATATGAGCAGGAGATAATCTTTCCATTTTCTCCTGTCCTCTTTTTATTTCTTGAAGTAGCGTTTTGTAGTTTTCTTTGTACAGGTATTTTATGTCCTTAGTTAAGCTGATTCCTAAGTACTTGATTTTGGGGGGCACAATTGTGAAGGGGATTATTTTTTTTTTATGTCACTTTCTTCTCTCTCATTATTTGTATGTAGGAAGGCCATGGACTTTTGGGTATTGATTTTATAGCCTGCAACTTTACTATACAAGTTTGTTGTTTCTAGGAGTTTCTTGGTAGAGGTTTTAGGGTTCTCTAAGTATAGTATCATATCATCTGAACATAGCGAGGGCTTGATTTCTTCCTCTCCTACCTGAATGTCTTTAATATCTTTTTCTTCCCTAACCGCTATTGCAAATACTTCCAGTACTATGTTGAACAGCAGTGGAGAGAGTGAGCATCCTTGTCTTGTCCCTGATCCTAGAGGGAGGGCTCTCAGTTTTTCCCCATTGAGGATGATGCTTGCTCTAGGCTTGTAGTAGATGGCTTTAACTATATTGAGGAAAGTCCCTTCTATACCCATTTTGGTGAGGGTTTTCATCATAAACGGGTGCTGGATCTTGTCAAATGCTTTCTCTGCATCTATTGATATGATCATATGGTTTTTATCTTTTAAGCTTAAAAGTTCTTAGAACTTAAAACAGACTCTTCCTTTTTTCCATGTTTATGTGCATTACAAAAGTCAGTGTTTGTTATTTGGGACCTTCCTCTATATTTTTAATTTTGAATAAGGGAACTATTTTCTATTATCATTAATACACACAATGTCTTCAAAAGGTTTATGTTATAATTCTATTATTGAAGATAAGATATTGGAAGTATTAATTTCCTAAATAGTTGTCTTATTGCTAATTCATGATATGTGTTTTTCTTTATAAAATATAGGATCTTCTTCACAGTTTTATTAAGACAACTGAAAGTAATATAATGAAGCAAAGCATTTGTAGTTATCTAGATTGTGAACGATCTTGTGAAGCAGACATTTTAAAGACCAACAATTATAAGGTACTATAATTTTCCAATTACTATTTCTTAAAATGTGTTTCAAGATTAGTATTAGGTAAAAATTATTTCATGAAACAAAGTGTTTTTATAGTGCACTTTTTTACAGATTTAATGCAGTTGAGAAATTGAGTATCTCTGAAAATGTAGATTTGTGGTGAATTATTTAAATCCTGTGAATCAATAAAATATGGATTGGTTTTGCTAAGTTTTTTTTGTGATATTCATGTGTATCTCAAGTTATAATTAACATCTCTGTAATCGTGCAGTGAAATTATATAAAATATTCTTGATAAGCATCATAGCCAACAACATTAGTTATACTTTTATTATGCTAATATTCATAGCTATAATATTCATAAACTATGGAGGAGGAAGATTGTATTCTAAGAATTATTGCTGTACAAGTGGTCATTATCTCTGCTGTGAGACTTGGTGGGTAGGAAACTTAACCAGACTTGACTGGAGGAATTTCTATAATGTAAATACTTCAAGTCTAATTCTTTTTGGATCTCTCAGAATAAAACTGGGGGAATGGGGGTATAAAATATGACTGACTGTACAAGCCCAGCAAGCTACCAAGAGTATCTCGCCCACATGGCAGAGCCTGGCAAGCTCCCTGTGACGTATTCGATATGCCAAACACAGTAACAACAAGTCTCATGATGGAGATGTTACTGGGCCCGCGTGAGCAAATCGATGAACAACGGGAGGACCGTGACCGTGACTGTACATATGATATGCTTCATATGAAAATGAAGTCTCACATGTAAATCATGGTATATCCAGTAAATGGGATAGTTAAAAAGGAAAATGCCAGCACATATTCATTAAAGGACTACAAGTATGAGAAGTAGGTCTGTTAAAATTCAGTGCTCAGGCAGGGTATTTTCAGTCTAGTTTTATCAGACTATAGTAACAGTTTTTTTTTCAGACAGCATATAATAGCAAATAATCCTGGCCTTAGAATTTAGATTTTTGGTGTGTGTGTGTGTGTGTGTGTGTGTGTGTGTGTGTGTGTGTTTGCTTTACCTAGAGATGCATAAAAAATATTCCCTGTTTAATACTCAGGTTACTACTGGTGGTGCTTACCGTGCAGTTCCAGGTATCAACTGCATATAGGACCTGCATTCAATCTATTTCCCCATCCCAAAATTTAGACTTGACATTAAAACATATACCATATTTAAAGAAAGCAAGGCTGTACTTCTTGGACGACACACTGAATGGGATGAATAATCTGTACCTAGACAGGAATTCAGAAATCAACACAGTTTTGTTGAATAATATTATGGAACTTTTTACCTTAATTTTATTTAGATTTTGTAAAATTTGAGATGAAGACGCATAAAGAACTTGTTTCTTAAGTTATTGACTAAATTTCTAATATTTAGGCACATATAGCCCATGAAAAAGAATCATTGTTTAAATTATTATTTTTAATTTTTCTCTCTTTGATGATTGTAAAGTTCCTAGATTGCCAATAATTTTTTTCAGTGTATTTTGAGTACAATGTAAAACTTAGAGAGTAACAATGTATTATGTATACATATATGTATATAATTTATGTATATCACTGTCACTGTCACTGTCTTCCCGTTGTTCATCGATTTGTTCAAGCGGACCCAGTAACATTGTGAGACTTGTTACTGTGTTTGGCATATTGAATACATCACAGGTAGCTTGCCAGGCTTTGCCGTGCAGGCGAGATACTCTTGGTAGCTTGCCAGGCTCTCCGAGAGGGGCGGAGGAATCGAACTCAGGTTGGCCGTGTTGGCTGCATGCAAGGCAAATGCCCTACCTGTTGTGCTATTGCTCCAGCCCTATTACATGTATATATTATATATAATATATGTTGTATATATGTTATATTTCTATTACTGGATGAGTTCATATATTTAGATACCATGTATATGTGTGTGTGTGTGTATGTGTGTGTGTATATGTGTGTGTGTATTTTTTTTAGAGGGGGCAGTTCTAAAGGGACTTCAGTAGCTATTCCTGGTGTGGTCATTGGGGGTTACTCCCTGCGGTGCTCTGAGGACCATTTGTGCTAGGGATTGAACCTAGTGTTCCAGAATACAAAGCATGCACTCCAATGCTTCCTTGGCCCAATAAATGTTTTTTAAGTGACATAAATTTGTTTTATTTGTATTTACATGAATTGCTATTACTATTTCTATGTCAATATCTTTATTTATTCTATTTCAGGGTTTTTTTCAGTTAATGTGCAGTAAAAGCTGCTGTGTTTATTTCCATAAAATTTGTTGGAAAAAATTCAAGAATTTAAAATTCCCAGGTGAAAATGATCAGGTATTATATTTGTTTTATACATAGTTTTGAAACTTTACTACAGCATTTTATCTATGCTTTCTATTTATTACTTTTATCCTTTTTCTTTTACTTGTTTCATTTTTCTTTTGCTATATTTTCTATGGTTTGTCTCCACTGTTTCTTCTTAATCATTATATATTTTTAGGAAATATTCTGCTACTGGCTTTGTTTAGTGATGTCTATTAATTTGTTTCTTTTCCTTTGTAAGTTTATATTTTTCAGAAAATAAAATAGATCAGTTACTAGACTTGCTTAATAAAAGTTGGAGGACGATTTTAAGGATAGTTTCTATTTTAAATACAGAAGATCTATGATAAATTATTGTTTAAAATAATGTATTTATACTTACTTACATTTTCCTAAGGTCATGCAATGAAATTGAATACTTTGCCACTAAAAGTAAAATAAAGGTAAAGGCCCTCCCGTTGATCGTCGATTTGCTCGAGCAGGCCCAGTAACGTCTCCATTGGAGACTTTGTTGTTACTGTGTTTGGCATATCGAATACTCTCGGTAGCTTGCCGGGCTTTCCGAAAAATGTAAAGCTCAATTCTGTGTTAATTTGCTCATTAGTCTGATAATAATCATAGTTTGGCTATCTAGATTTGGTTCAGGGTGCTTGTATTTTGGAAACAGAAAAACCTTACAAAGCAGTTGGGCAGTAATTGAAAGAACATTGTATGTGACGTTGGGTGATCTGGGTTCAAGTTCAGATGTGTGTTAGGCTGATAAGTTAATTGTTCTGATACTCCTCACTTTTCTTTTTTATTGATTTTGTGTTAATTTTTAAGACTATAGAGACTTTTTTCAGTCTTAAAAGAATAGAAGTCCTTGCTTCATAAGATTATTGTGATGATTAACAGATAAGAAAGACAAACTTGCATTGTATGCTGCATTATTGATTTCTTTTTAAGCAGTGTATAAGTAGTTTGACTTTGTTAAAGCAACAATTATTAACTTTAGAAAATATAGGAAAACTAAGTAGTTATCCCAAGGAATTAGCAAGTTAAATGCTAAAGTACTGAACATTTTTATTCTTCACTTTTCACTGAAATCTTCATATATCTGACTGAAATTCAGCACTTCTTAATTAGTATATTTCACTTGAGCTTGCTTTAGCTGTGGGGAAAGAATACATTTTAGGCTGTAATTTAGCTATTAGAAGATTTGGTAAGAGAAATGATAAGACAAAAGCTATTGTGCATTTTATTTTATATTTTTATATTTTTATTTATTTATTTGGGGGAAGGGTTGGGCCACACCCAGTGATGCTCAGGGATTGTTTCTGGCACTGTGCTCAGGAATTACTTCTGGAGGTGCTTAGGGGATGCTGGGGAATCAAACCCAGTTCATCTGTGTGTAAAGCAAACATTTACCCACTATACTATCAGTCCGATTCCAGTTGTATATTTTAAATGGAAAGTAAGTTTATATATGATCTAAACTGTCTTTGAACAATTCTTAAGATGCTCAAAAGCATCTTTTGTTTTTCCGTCTATACTACTTTTATTTAAATATGATCTGATATGCACAGTTTTTTTGTACTGTTTTCATTTGTTTTTTTCCTCTGTTGGCAAATTTAGAGTTTTAGTGGGAAGAAATGTTTGAAGGAAGGATGTACAGGTGACATGGTAAGGATGCTACAATGTGATGTACCTGGAATTGTTAAAATTTTGGTGAGTATCTTTTTTTTTTTTACTTTTTTTCACTTTTGGTAGTTACATATATATATATATGAATGTGTACAACATATATATAAACTTTAAACATATTTAGAGAAAATAATGGTACTTTTATTGTTCCTACTTTCTAATTTATCTGGTTTCTAATGCTTTGACTTCTATAGAGTTGTATTTAAGTGGCCCTAAAGAATATTTTAAAAATAGAGAAAATGAAAGCCAGAACATGACTATACCACTGAGAAAAGTCTGTAACATACCTAGGATGATAACCTAATTTTGTTCTACCTAAGGTTAAAAGTAATTTTAGACTATTCTGATTTTTTTTTAGATTATAGCCATCTTTCTGTGAAAATATAAAACATTAGATATAGAACCTGTTAAATAAATACACTCAGATGGTACCCAGTTTTTGAACTAATAAAAATATCTTGTTAAATAAGTTTTAACAACTAGTAGTGCAGAATTAGAATAGAAATATTATTATATTTTTATTTATCTTTAGATATGCCCCTTTTGTATTTTAGATATGGTATTTAAAATATGTAGTTACATAATGTAGAACTGTTTTTTAAAATTAACTCAGTTTATTTTTGGTTAGGGTTATATATGAATCACCTTGTTATTTCTCTTTTATTTCCTTTATTGCTATAGCTTTATTCTTAATTTCTCTTTTCAAATGTTAAGCTATATGTAACATTAAAGAATTTTGAAAACTTAAACTATTTTTGGGCTTCCCCCCATCACTTGCAGTTTGAAGTTGTGAGAAAGGATGAATATATAACCATTGAAAATTTAGGAGCAAGGTAAGCTTGAAATAAAATATTCTGCTTTTCTCTGAGCATATTTATATTTTTCAGTTGCTTTTTCTTTTGTTTCTCTCATTTGCTGGAGCTCCATTAAATAAAGGTAGTACTACGTGTGTATAACTTGCATTTACTCACTTTGTAGATATTAAAATTCTAAAAACAGAAAAGGAGTAATTAATGTGAATATTATTATCTTTAGAGAGGAGAAATTGTCTTTTCTAAAAATGATACATGTTTGTCTAAAATTTTATAAGTTATTATAAAAGTCTTTTGGCTTTCAATACTCATCTAGACCTCGCAGCTTGCCTTACCAAAGGATTCTATTTCTTAGGTTAGAAATATATATCATGTGGAATATTTAGAATAAAGTGGGTATCTCGGTATTGATCTTACATTAGAACTATCAGTTAAAGATCTCATAATTTTTTGATTCTCTTTTTTTTTATTACTAAGTTCAGATTCCTAGGATTGGCTCCTCAATTTCTGAGGTCTCTGGAAAGTCACTACTATTAATCTCCTATCATTCTTTTCTTTTACCAACAATATTGTTTATCATCAACATTACTGACTGAGCTATGAAATTTTTGAGTCTCTTTTACATCCAGGTCTTGCCTAAAATACTGCAGTAGCTTTGCTGATTTAAATTTCAGGATGGGACAGAGACAAAGCTTAAGAGCTAAGCACCTGATTTGCATGCAGAAGTCTAGATTTGAGTGTGAGTGTGACTCCACATGATCCCTGAGCGTAGAGCCAAGAGTAGCCGAAGACCTAAATACAGAACTCTGGGAGAGAGTTTAGATTAGGCATGTTTCTACCCTTTATTCCTTCTTTTGATTTCAGAACGTTTAATAAGTTTTGTTATAGTTCATTTGCTTGTCACCCTACAAGGTCAAGTACTTTCTGTTACTAGTTTATCCCCGGAATTTAGCATACAAATAAATGTACAACAGATTTAGGGATTCTAAATTTTCATTATTTTGCTAGATTAAGATTACTTTCGATAGGCAATTAACTTTGATATGAATTAAAACCCTCAGATCCAATCTTTTACTTTCAACTTAAATTTCATACATTTGTGGTTTAGTCAGTCACATGTGACTAGTCAATCACAGATGGACTGCAAAGAATTTGGAATTTTCTTTTATGTTCCCATCTTCAGCAGCCATAGCTCCCTATCTTTGATTTTTTATTTTCTTTGTGCAAGGAAAGATTTTACTAGGATATTCTTAGCATCAGCCTAAAAGCTCTCAGATTGTTGAATTTACTAATGTATTTCATAGGTCTTTTCCTCCTCTTTGAACAATCCTTTTGCCCACTATGATTTTTTTCTGTCCTCCTTCCTTCCCTCTGTCCATCCATCCATCCGTCTGTCCCTCCCTCCCTCCCTCTCTTGTTTTTGGGCTACACCCAAAGCTCAGGGCGTACTCCTGGTTCTAAGTTCAGGGACCACTGAGATGCATGAGTTTGAACCTGGGCCAGCTTGTGCAAGCATCTTACTTACTGTGCTATCATTTAGTCCCCATCTATTCATTTTCTAATGCCTTCAGGAAGTTTGTGTTTTTGTTTTTACTGTTTGCCCAAGTTTTATGATTGCTTTCTGTGGGAAAATCTTCTTTTGATTATATCTTATTAGCAAAAATAACAGGAAGAGATTTTTTTATGGGGTCTTTTAAGTTAAATATTTTGTTATTTTTCACTTTAAATTGCTGCATTGTTATTAAAATTACATAAATAAAAGTAAGAATACAAAATTAGAAATTACAAATATAAAACATAATCATTCCTCTCAGCAATTGAATTTTGCCATCACAACAGAAACACTTAATGTATCTTTTGCCAGAACTCCTCTCCTGTTGGTGACTGCCATCCTGATGTTCACCTTGCTATTATGTATTTTTATTTTAATAGTATATCAAATATAATCACTTCTGTACACAAAAAATAAATTCATGTATGTCAGATTTCAAACTTTAAATTATATGCAATTAAAAGCTTAATAGGAGCCAGAGAATTAGTACACAGGAGTTATGACATTTGCATTGCCTATAACCTCTTCTGCTGACCTTGCTTTAGTTCGTCCCTCAGTTTAGGTATTGTTGTTTTTATATTGAGGAAAATTCCTGAGTTTCTTGTCTTTTTAGTTTTACTCTTTTCATCTTCTCTTTTATTTATAGTTTATTCAGTGAATTGGGATATTTTGGGAATAGTTGTTGGTAAGAGGATATTGTAGTGGAGTAGGATATAAAAGAGTTCTAGATTTTTGAACAAGACAAAATTTCTTATTTGGGGAGGGGTTAGCCCCCCTGACTTCTTGTAAATAAATTAGTCTTGTGATTCTTTTTATATGCAGTGTAGCAGTTCTATTTACTTTCTTAGTTCTAATGAAAGGGATATTGGGGTTTGTCATGTTTATCCTTTGCTCCTGAATAATTTTCAGGAATAGGAGGAATGAAGACAAAACTGCTCACTTACAAAACCATGTTAGTACTAAAAATCTTGACTGATTTTTGTAGTGATTGCAACATTTTTTTCCATTTACAGTTATAAAAACTTGATGTCTCTGAAAATAACTGATACTGATATAAGACCGAAGATCAGTTTAAAATTTAGTGCAAAAGGTATTATTTTCTTTTTGTATGTCTTCTATTAAAAATTGTGCTAAAATTTTAACTTGCTTTGTAAAGTATTATTACCTTAACAACAGTATGTTTATTTGTTTGTCTTTCACGAGCTTGGGTTTATACTATCATTATCACTTGGCATGGGCTGGAATTCATGAAGAGAAAATTCAGCAGTGTATGGTTCTCATATACATTGGCATCCCATAGACAGGATTGCTAGGTATGCTTCATAGCTGTGATTACACACGGATGTTGGGCTCCAACAAACCTTTCCTACCATCTATTCCCTTGTTACATTTCCTAGTAATGGAATGAAATGTAAGAAATAAATAAACATTTTGTCTAAAGTAGTAGTCTAACCTTTGATGCTAGCTCTTCAGGAATGTGCTAGGAAATGCTAGCTGCTTTACACTTAAAAATCTTAAGGATTTATGGAATTATACTTTGAAGGCATACTTCTTGCTTAAAGCAATGGGTGATCCTTATTTGAGTCAGCGTATTAATTTAAAGAAAGCTGCCTGTACCATTTGTTTTATAAACTTGCTTGCCTATAAAATGTATATTAGGCATATTAAGCAAGAATAGTAATTTTAAGTCTCTTGAAACACAGATATAAAGAATATATGAATAACTCATTATTTGATAAACATGTATTTTGATATTTATATAAAGTTACTGTTATATACCAAATGCTGACTATGTACTAATTTATCTGCTTGTACCTTCTTTTAAAGAAGTGCAAAAAAATACCAATAATTCAGATTTACTCAATTTTAGTGGTCTAATACTTAGTTATATTTTGAGAAAATAAGAATATAAAGTTCATTAGATCAGTTTGTCTCAAACTTTAATATATATTTTAATCATCTGTAGCTAATTTAATAGGTCTGGGTGGGGTCTGAGATTCTGCATTTCTAATTGACTTCCATCTGGATGTTGCTGCTCCTCTGGTTTGTAGACTATGAATAGCAAGGCATTATGACACTGTATTTTTAATTATTGTTCTTTGTTGCCAAATATGATACCCACTAGCCATAAGCAACTAGTTTTAATTAATTAAAATTAAATTAAATTTCAAACTTTGTTCCTTTATCAAAGAAGCAACAGTTTCAGTGTTAAGTGGTTATTGAACATTTATGAAATACTTCATGTATAAGATATTTTTATTACGTAAAACTCTATTAAAGTGTTAAGATAAAATATAATTTCTTAAGCAAAGTTTAATTTAACACTGACAGTTAACAATCTTGACAGCTTTCTCAATTTTCAAAGGCCATATTTTTATGCCATTATTTGCCAATGCTCATTTATTTGAACAAAACCCTGGATGGTTGAAAGGCTTTTATGGTTATAAGTCTTTGTGATTACTTTCACATGGGAATATATTGTTTTTGTTTGAATTTTTTTTTGACAGCTAGACAGATAGCGGCATGCTTGTTGAGCACTGACTGTGGCAAAGCACTCTACTGTACTTCATTCATTTGGAATAGTCCCTTTCCTACAGGAGCTTAGGATGTAATGCAAGAGACCACATAGAAAAAGAGCATTAATGTGGAATTTTTTGACTTCTCAAAATTCATTTTCAGATGAAATGCCTATCTTCAAACTTGATTATAATTATTTTTATCATCTGCTTCATATAATTATTATTTCTGGTACTGACACTGTCCGGCAAATATTTGATGAGGCTATACCACCCCCTCTTTTGAAAAGAGAGCTTCTTATACACAAGAATGTGCTGGAACCCTACTACAACCATCTTTGGACTAATCACCCTTTGGGTGGAGCATGGCATCTGCTTTATCCCCCAAACAAGGAACTTCCACAGTCCAAACAGTTTGACTTATACCTCTTGTTAGCTCTCATAAAACATTTGAATGTATTCCCTGCACCCAAAAAAGGCTGGAATATGGAACCACCATCTTCTGATCTCTCTAAGTCTGCAGACATCCTGAGGCTGTGCAAATACAGGGATATCCTCCTTAGTGAGATTTTGATGAATGGTCTCACTGAGTCACAATTCAATTCAATTTGGAAAAAAGTTTCAGATATTCTTCTGCGCCTTGGAATGAAGCAAGAGGATATTGACAAAGTGAAGGAGAATCCCATTGAGAATATCTCCCTTGATTACCATCAGCTGTCCATCTACCTTGGCATACCAGTACCAGAAATCATCCAGAGGATGTTATCCTGCTATCAACAAGGTACAAAATAATTGTGTTCTTCAGCCAATAAACCTTCACTAAGGGGCTGCTATCTACCAGACACTTTCTAAGAGCCCAAAATTTACTTACATTCTTGTGAGGACTGTCTTGCCAAAAAGCTAATAGAAATTATAGCGCTAGAGATGTTTCCAGAATTACCATCCTAGCACAGGAGTGTCCAGAAAATCTAATTACTTAATGAATTAATGGGAGAAGGTTAGCCTAATGAAGAGAAGGGTGTTTCAGAAGGAAACAGAAGATAGGTATAATAACATGTTATAATGCAGGAAACTAAAGTTTTAATTTTATTGAGATTAAAATATACAGAAAGAATATGCTCAAGAAGATTCCTCTTGCCATTTTCAAGAGTTTGTGTTTTCAGAAATTGTTGAAGACTTAGCAGTCAAGTTTGATTACTTCTACAGAATTAAAGATACCTAAAATTACTAAAAAGGGTTACTCTGTGTTTTATTGATGCCCTTTTAGACAATATGAGTTTACATTTCCCTTTCTTTATAGAAAAACTGTGGCATTTAGCTTAAAAGTCTCCCCTGTCCTTTATCTATGAGAAATTTTTAGAAAAACATAACACTTAGAAAATGTCTTAAGATCAATGGTCACCATTCTCAGAAGTTTTCTATTGATATGAGAAAAACTTAAGGCCTATAGTCCCATATTCTAGCGTAGTTTCTCAGCTATTATTGGAAATTGACTTCAAGGCATATTTTCATTGCTGTGCTGCTCTGTCCCAAGATATTAGTTGCAATACCTAGTAAGCTAATTATAATCACATTACTGCTGTTTGAACATATATTTTATGGGTCAGAGAGATAGGATTAGTGGCAAGGAGCTTGTCTTGCATGTAGCCGATCTGGTTTGAGTCTGTAGCCTTGCACATCATCCCGTGAACACCACTAGTAGTGAGTCTTGAGTACAGAGCCAAGGAGCATGACTGGACATTGCCCCCAAGCCAAAAATTATTTTTTAAAAAATAAAGATGCACACAACTTTTGTAGTTTATAGCAATTACTCTGGATTTTCTTCAGAGATATTTGCTAGGCTTAACACCAGTTCTTTTACTAAGGCTATGGGATATTATTATGTTTTCCTGCTTTAAGAGCTTTTTTAAATGGTAAGAGAATGTTGAATTTCATGATATTAGTCAGTAAAGGACTTATAATTGACTTCTAAGTTAGAAGATTTTTATATTCTAATAAGGGTTGAGAATAAAGGCAATATTCCGAAAACAAAGGTGATAATTAGAAAAGTGCTTTGAATACTTTAAATTTAAGGCATTTCAAACAATCCTCATTCTGATTGTCTGAAGAGTTTATTGGTCCAGTCCCTTTTATAGTCTCCCCAGCATGTTGTATTTATTTTCTAGTTATTACATTTGACTTTTTTGCATGTTATTTGATAATGCTCATTATGCCACTGAATCTCTATGAAATTTAAATGGTTAAAAAAAATTAATCCATTGGACTTAAAACAGCCTTATATATAATACATAATAAATTCTAATAAAGAATAGGAGTCCTGATCACAATAATTTGTATTACAAAAAAAGGTTCAAACTTTCAGTGGAGGTTTGCTTCATAATTTCCTATTATTACTTCATTACCTTTAGACTTTGTAAATCATAAGAATTTGTTCTTGTTTCCTAATTTTAGGCTAATATATGTTACAAACTATCAATTTTTTTTAACTTTTTACTTTTTATTAATCATAAATTGTATACATTTAAAAAATTTATAGATTGAATTTATATGTAAATTTAAATTTACATGTTTAAGGCTTAAACATGAAATAAATTTAAATGTATAAATTTAAATTTACATATAAATTCAATCTATAAATTTTTAAAAATGTATGAAATTTATGATTAATGTTTAAGCTTTAAGTAAAAATATTTTTCACTTATAAAAATGTTTTAGTTGTACAATTAATTGGTGCAATATAAAAATGTTTCATATTTCATAATAACAGAACAGTCACATTCTGTTATTTTTGGGATTGCATTTTCAGTTGTACATCTAAATTTTTTCCTTTATGTATCGTAGGAATTGCTCTACAGTCAATAACAGGCAGTCAATGTAAGTATGTTTAAAAACCAAATATCTTCATGAACTTTCAATTTAGAGCAGCAAAAGATACTTGATAGGCATTTCACTAGGTCAGATAAACTGTATGATTATCTGCAAGTTTATATTATAAACTTAGAAAATCATATGGCCATATTAATTTTTATTAGTTGAATTTAGTATGGGCCTTTTTACTCTTCTGGCTCTATGAATATGTCCCAGAATTTGTCAAATTATAATAGTATTTAAATGTTTTGACACAGGACATTTCAACATACAAAATACCCTACCTGCTTCTACACTTATTTATATTTACTACTGTTTAGCTTATTAGCTTTTATATAGGTTATATAAACATATGTAGCATTTTTGTTTTTAGGTAGTGAGTTACATATTGTTAATTTCCTTTTGTGCTTTTCTGTTTTCTGCTATTTTCCCTAAAAAGTAAATCATATTTTGAAATTAAAATTGTGCTTGAAAAGAAACATCACGGTCTTGTTAGAACTATCAGTGATCAATTAGATGAAGTCTCAAGATTTTTGAGATTGAGTCTCAGACACTAAAAAACATGAAGTCAAAAATGAGATTGTACAATAAGGGACTGATTCCCTTTTAGAGCCTTTGGCTATGGAAAAGAATGATAAAACTTTTCCTTTTCTTTCTATTTCATATTTAAATCCTAACATAGTGGTAATTGTAGTCTGGACAATGTGAGGTTACTCAAAATCAATATAGAGGCTGGGGAGGAGGCTCAAAGGATGGAAAGAGAAGCCTAGAGTTTGCTCTCCAGGGCTTCATGGCACGATGAGCGTTGCCAGTATAATCTTGGCACTCCGTTGAGCACTTCTGGAATAGCTTAATGGCCCCAAAATACACATGAACCTGAGCAGTGCTGCTCTTTTGGGACCAAGTACATAATCATCAGGCCTGAGGTGCTATTGTACATGTATTACCATTACCAGGAGTGTTCCCGAGGATTTCCAAGCACAGTACCATCCTCCGAAAGAGATCCCCTGTCCCCCCCAAAAAAGACTGGAAAAACTTTGTATTTAGAATCATTTCTTTTGAAACTCTGAAAACTATTCTTTTTTATTTCAAAATTTTTCCCATATCATATGCACAAATGCAAGAGGAAATATACAGAAATCTTTCAGCATAAACAAACCACAATGGATTGTTAATCTTATAGTCAATCCAGCCTTAGATCTAATTTAGTCTTTTTAAATATTTTATGGAAAACAGCTGTTAGGTATTCTTCAGGAAAGCCCAGGAGGGTTTCTAAAGCTGATGGCATGAAACCCTGATGGTCAGGGCACTGATCAGACTCCTCAGGAGCAGCCACAGCAGTAATGCAGCTTGTCTTCAACTCTTACAGCTTGTACACACGTCATAATATTCTTCAGAAGATGGTTTCTGTTTTCTTTGGTGACAGTGAAATTTAGAATCAGTTTAAGATTAACAATGGTATATTTTAACACTTGGATTTATACTGGTTATTCTTGTTGTGTTATTACATGAATTTTAATATTATACTATATTATTTAAACATTCATAAATAAAATTTTTACTTCTCATCTAGTAATTGAGCAAAATAAGTCTATTTCTGTTTTCAAATGATGTGTTTGATGGTAAATACATAAATGTGATGAGAGGCTAAAAGTGTGTGCATCTGGATTGTATTTATTTTGTCTATAATATTTAGGCATTGAAATAGAAGAGTTGCAGAATGAAGAAGAAGAACTAAGTCCACCACTTATGGAGTACAATATAAATGTGAAATCAAACCCTGAAATACTGTTAGCAGAAATGAATAGAGATACGGCATCGATATTCAGTGAATCTTCAACAGAGTCTCTTAAAGATCTTCAGGAAGTATAAGCTCTCATTAATTCTTGAATTAAACTGGCCTAATCGCATCTTTAAGTTTGGTATTATATGTTGGATTTATGTAGTCACACTACTTTAGTTCATATTTATAGTTTCCATACAGAACTTGAATTGAAATGGTTCTTTTCCCACTATTGAATTCTTTAATTTTTACTGCCTTGGGCTGAAGAAATAGTATAGGGGTTAAGGTGCTTGCCTTGTATGTTGCTGTCCCATGTTGACTTCTGGCACCACAGAAACACCACCGAGTCTGGTACTTAAATCTTAAAAAAAAAAAAAAAAAAGGAAAGAAAAGGCCTCCAAAGCAAAAAACATGTTTTTGGTGCATTAATTTCGGCAGAGCCTGGAAAGCTACCCGTGACGTATTCGATATGCCAAACACAGTAACAACAAGTCTCATGACGGAGACGTTACTGGGCCCGCTCGAGCAAATCGATGAACAATGGGAGGACCGTGACTGTGATCAGCTACTCATTTGTCAACATTTTTTTAATGCTTATTATGTACCAGGCACTATGCTGTATTTTGGAACATCTTTATCCTGAGTGATGGGAGTAGATATGGAAGATTAACAAAAAGTAAAAGAAAGTATGATGAGGAATAGAAGGAAAAGGAGAAAAGATTTTGGTGCCATTTTCAAAGAGATTGAATTAAAACCACTAGAGTAAAATTTATTTCTCTATAGATATGTGGTAACTTTCATGATATAGACACAATTCTTTTTTCTCCCCCACCCCCACTTTTGGCTTTCTGCCCACACCTAGCAGTGCTTAGAACTTAGTCCTGGCTCTGCATTCAGGAATCACTAAGTGGGCTGCTGGGGATTGGATCTGGGTCAGCCTCATGCAAGGCAAAGGCCTTATCCACTGTGCTATCTCTCTGACCCTTGGCTAGATTTTATATCTTATGGGCCTAAATATTTTTATTTAAAAAATGCTTTAGGCACTGTGGTTTGTAATACTAATGATAGACTTTTGTATATAATACATTCTAGTATTGCATTATCCACAAGTGTCCACTCCCTTCAGTATTGTTCCAGTGTTCCCCTCATGCCTTTCCCCCGCCTTCCCTTCCCTGTGGTAATCTTCCTGGTAGTATTTTGAATATTAAGAAGTGCCTTCTTTGTTATTCATGCATGAATGAGTGCAACTGATGATTTGTAAGTAACTTTTAATAACTACTCATTGATAGTCTGTGTTTTGTTACTTGTTTATAACTTTTATCGTTGCTATATATATTCTTAAGAATTGGAGAGTCAGATTAAAATGAAAAAATAACTTTACATAGACTCTGGAAAGAAATTATGCTTTGTAATATTGAAACAAAAGGAGGTTCAGTGATTAGAGGAAATATTTTTCAAAATAATCCATTGTACAGTTTGAGTGACATCTAAAATTCTTTATTTACTTTTCCTATCAGGTTAAGAGTAAGCCAAAGAAAAAGAAGACTAAGAATAAAAAGGTAAGATGACCTTATTAGCATTATAATTGATGGAAGTCTGATTATGAACACTTGGGTTTAATGCTTAGATTTCATTGTTACGAGTTTAAATGTTATTCAAATAGACAGACATGTACTTATATCTACAAATATCAATAGCATTGTTGATAGCATATTGATTATAGAAAAATTTATTATATCTTGAATGATTTTTTTTGTTCCTTTTGTTTTTTGGGCCACACCCAGTAGTATTTGGGGCTTAATCCTGGGTCTCTACTCAGGGATAGCTTCTTGACAGTGCTCAGGGAAATTTATGGGATGTCAGGGATTGAACCTGGGTTGGCCGCATGCAAGGCAAGCACCATAGCTGCTGTACTATAGCTCTAGTCCTATACCTAGAATGATTTCAACTTATAGTATATTTAAGTTCACTTTACTTCCCTAAGTGATAGTTTGTACACTTAAATTTATAATTAAAGAAACTAAATTAGTCACTTGGTATTTTAAAAGTAGCTTTGTTATATTTTTACTGATAGATTCAAAGCATTTTTCTAATACTTAATAAATATTGATTTTCTTTGTGTCTAAGACTACCAACAAAACAGATATTTTACACAGTTATATTATATACAAAATGGTGCAGGGGCTGGAGCAGGTTGTGTGCAGCGGGTTGGGTGTTTGCCTTGCATGAGGCCAACCCAGGTTCAATCCCTGACATCCCATAAGTTTTCCTGAGCACCATCAAGGGTAATTCCTGAGTGCAGAGTCAGGAGTAGCCCTTGTGAATCTCCAGGTGTGACCCAAAAAGCAAAAAATACAGGATGCTTCTTTCATGTTTCTTATTTTTTTTGCCAGTGGCAAAGTAAATAACGTCTGTAGCATAGAAATCTGCTGAATGCTTGAGAAGTTACAAGAGAAAGTAAATCTGTTTGTTGTGTGAGAGGGCAGGTGCTTTATATTTTTTTTAATTCAGAATTTTGAAAAAAATTGAACAGTGTCCAGAAAGATAGCACAACGGATAGAGTTCTTGCTTTGTATGTGGCCAACCTGGGTTCTATCCCTGGTACCATGTAAGATTCTCTGAGCCCATCAGAAGTGATCCCTGAGTATAGAGCCAAGAGTAAACCCTGAATACTGGCAGGAATGCCCCCAAAACCCAAACACAGAAAAATAAAGAGCAGAAAAATTGCAAAAGAGTTTTGTAAATTTTCCACCAGCTTCTGCTCCTTTATATTCATTTTATTACCCTATTATGTTGATAATAAAATTCCCCCAGAGGAATAGTAAATGCATTACAATTGGTGAATGCACATGGACATATAATCACTCAAAGGCCATACTTTTCAATATTTTTCATTCTTGATTTTGTATATTTCTATGGAAGAACAGTTGTTTTTGATCAGGCATACAGCTACCCACTATTCTATGCATACTTTATAAGGAAATAGTATTTTTCTGACCTAAAATACTCAGACTTAAAACCTACATGTATTCTCTAGATTATGTTATGAACTGAACAAGAATATTTACTCAAAAATATGTTGTTTTTTTCTTTTTTTTTTCAATAAAGAAACTGGAGGTTGGGGGCTAGGGGTACGTACTGTTTGAGCAGTAAATCTATTACTTCCTTTTGGGGGGAGGTGGACCACACAAGCAGTGCTCAGGGAGTGCTCCCAGCTCTGCATTCATGGGTCATTTCTGCTGGTGCTTGTGAGATTATATGGGTTGCCAAGTGTTGAACCTTCATCAGCTGTGCAGAAGACAGATGTCTTAACCACTGTACTTTCTCTTTGTCCTCTCAACTGTAATTTTGAAAATCCAGTTTATCAGTCATTTTAAAAGTATACAAAATCATGTATTATAAATGAGAGTTAAGACAGTGAAGGTAAATGTATAAAATACTGTTCCAGTCTACATGGATGTTAAAGTTTAAACTGCATGGAGGATGGAGTTTGAACACTGGTACCACATGGTTCTGGCTTTGGCCCTGGCACTTCCTAATACTGCTGGGCCTGAGCAGCAATAAGCCATCTGACCTGGTTGGCTGAGTTTCGTTAGAAATGGTCCCAAGGCTCCTTGAGAGTGCTTGATTTCATCATTCATTCATCATCCTGTTATTCGTCGATTGCCTCGAGCAGGCCCCAGTAACGTCTCTTTCATCCTAGCCCTGAGATTATATTCAAGGCTCTTTAGGAGAATCATTGTTACTGGTATTTGGCATATTTGGTACGCCACGGAGAGTTTGCCAGACTGCCCTGTGGGCAGGCTACATTTGATAGCCTGCAAGTTTGTCCAAAGTAGGAATGAGATAATAAGATGTCATAAAAAGATGTTCTGAAAAGGCAAATGCGGCCACGCGGTTCCGGGAACTGGATTTTATAGTCTCTGAGTCTTGGCCGCTGATGGGATTACACGGCACCAGGGGGCCAGGTGGTGGGTGTGACCCCCGCCTGCTGGAATTTGGAGGATCTGGATGGAAGATGCTCGACTCCAATTCGAGTAGGCTTGGAGGTCTCGGCCCCGGAACCCGCGTGGCTTTGTCCCTCTGCCAGTACCTTCATGTGTGCGGAGAGTGGTCTCAGCATGGTGGTGGCTGGTCCTGGAGGTCTTCGGCTCCGGCTCCCCTGGTCGGAGCGGGGAGGAAAGCTCAACCCGCTCCCCTCCAAGGGGCCCCGGCGAGGAACAGCCAGGCATGGGGGCAGGAGACTGCTTGATAATCCCCAGCAAAAGAGAAAAATTATTATACTCTGGTAATAAAATTTCTCATTTGTTATAAGCATTTATTTTAATTTTCACTTTGTTTTTGAAGTTAGATTTTTGAAAGTTAGTGATTTATGAGTGTAATGATTTATTTCTCTTAGAATTTTTTATTTTGTAAAACATAGCTTGGTTTATTAATTTAGCTGATTTATTGTTGTTGTTGTTGTTGTTGTTTTGTGTTTTTTGAGCCATGCCCAGCGGTGCTCAGGGTTTGCTTCTGACTCTACTCAGGAATCACTCCTGGTGGATCAAGGGGACCATATAGGGTACCTGGGATTGAACCAGGTTGGCCATATGCAAGGCAAATGTCCTGCTTGCTCTCTTAAGATCTGGCCCCATAGCTGATATTTTTTTTCATTTTTTTAAGAACATTATTAAATCCCAGGTCTAATGCTACAAAATTAAAACATTAACTCATCTTGTAGGGACCGAGCTATAGCACAGAGGGTAAGGTGCTTGCCTTGCACATGACACCAGGGTTTGGTCCCTGGCAGCCCATATTTCCCCCGCTCCCCCCCAAACCCCACCAGGATAATCCCTGAGCACTGTCAGATGTAGACCATAAACCTAAAATAAAAGAGATCTTGTATCTGAATTTTGAGGATTTTGAGATGTAAAACAAGTCTTTAAAATTGACACATAATTCACACTGTCACTGTCCTCCCGTTGTTCATCAATTTTCTCGAGCGGGCCCAGTAACGTCTCCATTGGAGACTTTGTTGTTACTATGTTTGGCATATGGAATACATCACGGGTAGCTTGCCAGGCTTTGTCGTGCGGGCGAGATACTCTTAGTAGCTTGCCGGGCTCTCATAATTACCTTACCTAAAATTTTCTTGGGACTGCAGTGATAGCACAGTGGATAGGGCATTTGCCTTGCATGTAGCCAAACCGGATTTGATTCCATCCATCTTAGAGAGCCTGGTAAGCTACCCAGAGTATCCTGCCCGCACAGGAGAGCCTGGCAAGCTCCCTGTGGCATATTCGATATGCCAAAAACAGTAACAAGTCTTACAATGGAGAGAGACTTGTCTCTCTGATGCCCACTCGAGCAAATCAATGAACAACGGGATGACAGTGCTACAGTTCTACAAAATTGTCTTATGTATATGCTCAATTATTCTAGGTACAAATAATTTTTTAGTATAGTAAGCTAGTAGTTATCAAAAGTTAACCAATTTTCTAATCACTAGTTCTCATAAAAATGTTTCATAGAAATTTATTTGTGTTAAAGAGTGGCAAATGGCAACAAATTATTGTAAAAAACTAATGTATTGCAACATCTTAAAATATTTGAATTTCTAAAAATACCCATCATGGTCTTTGAATGTGAGAAAAAAATGAAATTTATGTAGCCAGTAATAAGGATAGTAATGATAAATTCTCACTGTATTTATAGACTTTGTAGTTAATCCTTCTTCACCAAAGTATTTAGTATTTAACTTCATAATTCAAATTGTAAATAATTACTAGGGATTATCTGGGTCATCCTATCCACTCCTCCATTCACGTAGGGGAATTGAGGATTAGGAATAGAAGAGAGATGAGGCACATGGCAGTATAAAGCTTTATTATATATCCTTAAAGGTAAAAAAGAAATACGACCGAATATAAACCAGGTCTTTCAGGTTGCTCATCTCCACTAAAGAAAGGAAGTTATTAAGATATATGTAAGATAGGCTGTTGCATATTGTTGGCGTGACCGCATGGGAAGACCTGAAAAGGAATTTCAGAAATTAAAATTCAACTATGTAAGCTGAATGATAGATTCCTTTAGAATAACCAAAGGTGTTTTCAACTTATTTATTCAAGTAAACAATGAAATAAAGCTTCCATTATGAATTGTAAAATTAAATTGGTATTAGTGGCATTGAAACAAAACAGATTTGTAAGTGTATCATGGAATCCTTAGGGGAAGGATGCTTTGGAGTTTCATCCAATTTAAGTATGTACTAAGTATCATTGATAAAGCTTTATTTGGTAGGTTGACTTTTACATGAATGTAAGATGATCTAATGCCTTTTTATATGGAATCTCCTCTCCCATCATGCTGATTTTCCAAAACTCTTTGAGTTAGTGACAATTGCATAAGTCTTGTCCTAATATATACCAATTGTTCTAAACCTAGCTCCAGGACCAAATTTATAGTATCAAAATAAATTATTTTCAATGTTTTTTTCCCCACACAACTCCAAAGTAGATTACAAAATGTATTGGGTCACAGCTTCCATTTTATTTTATTTTATTTTTTGTTAAGTCATGATTATATTGAACAAAACTGGCTTAGAAATATGTGAGAGGATAGAAACAGAAAATATGTATTCAAGAGAGATCTTGGGCTTCTCTGTCATAGAAATAGGAAAGCAAAGAAACACAGTGACAAGAAACTAGAATTAATAGGAATAAAAAATATTAAGTGCTTTTTATATTGTTTTAATAAATTTGGGTTAATATAATAAATTACCATACGGGGTGACTTAATGACCAATTTTTATTTTTGCAGTTCTGGAGACTGGGAAGTCCATCAGGGTGCCAGCAGATCCAGTGTCTGGTGAGTATCCTCTTCCTTGTTTGCAGATGGCTGTCTTTAGCTGTATCACTATGTAGTAGATGGAAAGTAAAGAGTTAACCCTCTGGTCTCCTTTTTATATGAGCATTGATTCTATCATGAGAACATTAAGACACCTTCTAAAATTTTAATTTTTTTCCCAGGGGCCCATCCTTCATTTAGCATCACCATGAGAAACTGGGAGAGACAAAAACATGCAGTCTATAACACACGTAATGATGATAGCATTTTTTAAAAATTATTTTTTATTTTATTTGCATGTGGGTACCAGGATAATTTTTCCGTCCCGCCCCCAGGCAACCTCTGATTCGGCAACCTCTGATTCCGGAAGTCATGCCCACAGCTCTCCACCAGCGCCATCTTACAGCACCGTGAGAACAGTAACAAAGCCTTTCAGTTCAAGTCTCAGTCAGTCATACAGTGATCAAACACCTGTCCCTTCACCACTGCACATTTTATACCACCAAGAACCCCAGTATACCCCCTTCCCACTGGCCCCCCACCCGTGTGACAGATTTCCACTTTACTCTCTCTCTCTCTACGTTGATCACATTCAATATTACAACAAAAGACCCCCCATTTTTATTTGCAATTTTCCCCAACATTCAGACCTGTCACAAAGACATCATTAAAAAATTTGTTTTCTATTGTTGATTATAAAGAGCATATGATGTTGTGTGGCCACAATAGTGGCCACATGAATTTGGATTTCTAATATTTTAGTAATAAACCTAGAGGGATTACTGGCAGAAGCCCCTGGGTTCCAAGATTGGTATGTGTGCCTCTGGGTTCATGGTCGGTCAGAAGCCGGAGGAGGCGTTTGAGGGTGGCAACCCGGAGCATTGTCATGGTGGGGAACAGGGCAGATTCCATCCCTCATCCCATGAAGCCCCATGTGCCTCGTTAATGAAGTCACATACCTGGCTGTTCATTAGGCTCTAAAAGATGCAGGCCACTATGTCGTTGCCGCAGAGGGGGACAGGCGGAGGGACAGGCACCCTTTCCCTCCCAGGGCAGCAAAGCACCATAGTTAAATACACAGTCCAGATGTATTTCGGTTGGGCATTATCTTTTGCTCAGATTTTCCCACCATCATTCAAGCCTGATTTTCAGGGAGAAATGCTAGATGATTTACTTTCCATTGATCACTTTGCATATCAGGAAATCCGCACAGTTCGGGAAATAGTCCTGGTACCCGCATGCCAGAGCCATGCTTGTAGAAGCTCATGGTTACTGGGATTCCATCTGGAGAAGGCGGGGAGACAGCACCTACCCCATCCGGGACCTCCCGGTGATATCAGCTCGGTTTGGGGCCAGGAGCATTCTCCGGGAGCTGTGGGGCCCTCCAGCTGGTTTTCTTCTTTGCTGCTGTGTGCTGTAAGATGGCGCTGGGGGCGAGTTGTGGGCATGACTTCTGGAATCAGAGGTTGCCTGGGGGCCGGGTGGTCCCATTGCAGTTCGGAAAAATTGTCCTGGTACCCGCATGCAAGAGCCATGCTTGTAGAAGCTCATGGTCACTGGGATTCCATCTGGACAAGGCGGGGAGACAGCACCAACCCCATCTGGGACCTCCCGGTGATATCAGCTCGGTTTGGGGCCGGGAGCATTCTCTGAGAGCTGTGGGGCCCTCCAGCCAGTTTTCTTCTTTTCTGCTTGGTGCTGTAAGATGGCAATGGGGGCGAGTTGTGGGCATGACTTCCAGAATCAGAGGTTGCCTGGGGGCCGGGGCAGCCCCATTGCAATTTGGAAAAATTGTCTGGTACCCGCCTTCCAGATCCATTCTTGTAAAAGCTCAGGGTCACCAGGATTCCTTCTGGAGAAGGCGGATGATAGCATTTATTTTATGAAATTTATATTTTGCTTTTATTCATACATATAAGAAAATATATGCAGAGAGACACATCTCTGTATATACATGAGACATGCATCTATGCAATTTACTGCATCATATAAAATGTACTCTCTCAGTTGAGGTCGAAAACTTTTGAGAGACATGTGCATTTTAACATTGTGCTGTGATAATATAGTTGATATAAATCACTAATTCTTTTTTGTTTGTTTGTGAATGTTTGGATGTATTAAGTATACATAGAGCAAATAAGCAATCCATGGGACCTTTGAATCAACTTAATAGAAAGTTAATTTGCTAGCATTATATTAAATCTTTAACATTTAAGGTCTTCCAAAAGTTCATTTTGTTCATCTAGAATAGATTGTTAGTTAAAGCTGCCCACACAGTAGCTATTTTCCCTTAGCTAACAGGTTTTCAAACATATGTCTTAACCATCTAATACCTTTTAGAAGTATTTTCTCTAAAAGCTGTTCAGTGTTTATTTAATGTAGTATATGCCTACATCAGACTATTAATAAAGTAGATCATTGATCATATAATTCTGCATAGTCTGATTTAAAAGGCAATGGATAATTCTTGACAAAATTTGAAAAATATTTCAATAATGTAAGTCTTTCATATAATTCATAAAGTCACCAGTGTAACTTTTTATCTCATGTCTTTCTAATGTCATATGTAATTGTTAAAAGTAAGTAAAATCAGTGTATCTCTTCAAAATTGTATTTTTTCCATAATTACAAGCAATACTGACTATTGTTAGATGAAGTACAGCCCTCAAGAAAGTGATAATTATGAAAAATCTGTTTGATGTAGAATCTATAATTATTCTAAATCATGTTTCATTGGTAATAATAAAAAATATTCCTTTGTGAAAACAACTACTTAAGAAAACTACAAGAGCTTCAAAAATTCATAGTATTAATATGACAGACTTGATATAGCATTGTGGTTAAAATAAGGAATTTGGTGGAAAGTAGAAAACAAAGAGATAGATGCAATGACAATTAAAATGTGGGGTACTAGAATCACAACTCAGGAAATAGTACAGCCAACTCAGCCGTCCATTATTATCTAGTTCCCCATTTTATGCATTGGGAACCAGGATCAGCTGTGAAGTGACTTACCCAAAATATTTCCAGTTAGACTAAGTCAATTAGTATAAGAGCTAAGATTGTAAGAATTCAAGGTACCTGACTTCCAAATTATTCTCTCATCTTTTACACAAAGTAGTAAGAAATGACCCTGACTTTATAGAAAATGAACTCCCTAAATAATAATAATATATGAAATTTGTGATGCCATATTCACTCTTAACAGTAATTGGGATTCTATGGAAAAGGAATACATTAACTTTTGACTTAAATATCTAAATTCATATTCTGATAAATATATTTTTTATCATTGCTCTTTCTTTGTGATTTTATCATTTTAAAGTATTATACATATTAAGATCATTAGTAATTAAAGTGAAATCACTAATTCTTAATACTGTTTTTCAGAATAAGGAATTAGCAGAAGAACTGGTGTAAGTATCCATTTATTAAATTTTTTTAGCACTTGAATTATGCTTTGCCAGTATCACACACATTGCTTTGGGAAGTATTCTCACTAAAGAGAAAGAACAGGGTTGTTTGTCTATTTTTGTATTTTATGTTGCAGGGTGTATTTATAGATGTCACAAGAACAAGTTTTTAATAAAGATAATACAGCATCAGTAATTATTTTATAATTTTATTTCTTTATGCTTCAGTTTATGACTCTTAGTAATACGAATACTTTTCAATGGTTTCACAGTCGTCTTTATAATACTAAAATTTAGGAATATTATTTTGGAGTTTTCAAAAATATAACTTCACCAGTATTTTTACAACTTTTAGGATTCCTTGAAAAACTCACTTTTTAACCCTTCAGGTATCTTGGAAAGTCTATTATGTTTGTGAACCAGAGGTCTATCCAAGCAGTAAACATTTGAAAATATTTGAGCCATTCTAATTACTTTAGTGATATGTAATGATTACTTTTTATAAAGTTTACAAATTATTTTGTAAATATTAGATGTCCTCTTTTCCCATAGGTTTTGGTGACCTCAAAGAAGTAATGCATCCTAGAGTTACTTATTTTATATCTTTTCACTGGTTAAAAACAAGTGATTTATATCATGCTATAGGTAAAAGTACAATTTCTTTTTACCAGTTAGTGGTATTAGGAAGGAAATTCACAGCAACTAGATAGGGCAACTCAAATTATAGTATCATGCATTTTTTTTAATGTTTCTTTCTCTTTGGGTCACACCCAAATGTTCAGGAATTACTCCTAGCTCTGCACTCAGAAATTAGTCCTGGTGGTGCTCAGGCTAATGCCCTTACCACTGTGCTATCACTCAGACCCAGTAGCATGCATTTTCAGTGTTCGAAACATGTCTCTTTTTCAATGGTTCCCACTAAAACTGATGTGATTTCTACAGTTTTTTAAAAAAAAATTCTGTTAAAGAAGAACCCACCCTTTTAAAGTTTACTTTATGTTAGTATTTTCAGTCCTTTTTTTTTAAAGGTACACTGGACTTAAGTTCTAATTAAACCAACTGACCTGTCAAAACATGTTTAAATATCGGGTTGGAGAGAGAGAACTGCAGGTAGGGCACATGCCTTGCATGAGACCAAATTGAGTTCATCCCTGGCATTTCGTATGGTCCCTTGAGCATCACCAGGAGTAATTCCTGAGTGCAGAGCTAGGAGTAGCCCTGAGCATTGCCGGGTGTGGTTCCAAACCAAATAAACAAAAAAGACATGTTAAATAACATTGCAAATGTAGAACTACTTGGCATTAAATCCCAAAGTATTATTTCCCAAATTATTCTGTATTTGATGCTGTAACTTGAAATATGAATTTAATGATCTCATAATTCTTAAAACACCAAATGAACCAAATAGGTACCTGATTGAATTCTATCTAAAATATGTTATAATGTTAGATAAATACAAATCAAATATGTTATAATATTTTAGATGGCATTCAGTCAAGGTACCTATTTGTGAATCTTAAAAGGATTCATTGTGAATCTTAAAGAGGAATACATTATGTGCACATTATTCAAACTTTTAACCATTCTGCTGTTAAGTATTGAATAAGAGCCTTACAATATTAATGCAGGAAACAATAGCTTAGGTGAAAAAACAGTATACAATATGAAAGATCACATTGATTTTGTTATCATTGTAGCCCAAATATGATAGAAATTGAAGAGCAATTGACAAGAGAGCAAGCAAATCTATACCAAGATTATAGACTTATGAATGACGATGCAAGTGATATTCAAGAAGATTCTGCAACTGAAGAAAAGTCCTATAGTCTGGATGAATTGCATATTCTGGACATGATAGAGCAGGTAAGCATAACTGAAAAGAGCAATCCTAGCCTTCCTTCTCCAGAAACAGTTGTTAGCCTTTATTTTCTCTGTGACTCTGTTTTTGTTTTTGTTTTGTTTTGGTTTGTGTTTTTGTGGGGAAAAGAGCCCATATCCAATATATGTTTCTCAGGACTTATTCCTTGCTCTGTGCTTAGGGTTAACTCCTGGCAGTGCTCTATGAACCTTATGCAGTAGTAGGGATAAGGAATAGAATCCTGGTTGACTGTATGCAATGCAAGTGCCCTAACACTCCAAGACTCTTTGAACAATATGTTAGCCTGGCATTTTATACAGGTTTTTTTCTATTTTTTGTTTGTCTTTTTTTTTCTTTGTCACACCTAGCTCCGTGCTCAGGGATCACTCCTCATGAAGTCAGCGAAATGTATGTAGTATCATGGATCAAATCTGGGTCTGCCATGAGCAATGCAAGCATCCTACCTGCTACACAATTGTTCCTTAAGCAGTGTTTCTGAGAATGAGAAACTAGAAAGAAGGAATAGATGATTAAATGAACCTAGAAGTTGGAAGTTTTTATTTTAACTTTCAAACTGTACCGGCTTCCTTGATTTCAAGATGAAATTTTTTATAAAGGATTTTCACATAGTAAAGAAAAAACAATTGGCATAATCTTACTAAATTTTATGAAAAATGTAGTTTTATCATGTAAAGCTACTTTTATTTAAATAATTAAATCTGGGTATCCTAAAATTTTTATTAAAGTGACTATTATTATTTTTTTGGTTCCATTCATGGTAAGTGTCATTGCTGGGAATGACACATGTATGATGTGAATGATGCATATGAATATGATTTAAGTATCCAACAAATCACTTAAAGCATATAAAACATTCTTAAAAAAACACTTGATTTACTTCCCCATGAGAATTCTATATTGAGGTAGTTTTATAACCTATTTATAGTTAAAATATAATAATACATATATAGAAGACTTTGAAATTGTACCTTCAGTTCCCTGACTGTGAGTACTTGACCTTGTATGTGTGAAGCGCTGGGTTCAATCCCTGGTATCATACACACACATGAATGATATCACACATGTGTGTGAATGATATCATAAATATTTATGATAAATATTTATCATAAAAATGTTTAGTTTTTGTTGACCAGGTTTTCAAAAGCAGTTGAAAGCAGTGACTTACAGGTGGCAAGAAAAACCAATTTCATATGAAAACATTCATCTGATTGTATCTTTTAAAATTTTTTTATTATATTTGACTATACTTTTAATTTAGAATGAAATATTGAGGTTTAATGTAGGGCCTTTTTTAAAATTTATTTTTAATTTATTTCTGGGGGTTCCGGGCCATACCTGGAAGTGTTCAGGTCTTACTCCTGACTTTGTGCTCAGGGATCACTCCTGGAGGGTTTGAGGGACCATATGTAGTGGTGGGGATCAAACCCAGGTCAACTGTATGCTATTTAAATTCTATAACTGCTATAAAATTTTTATTTGGTGGCCATAGAAATCCCAAAGTAGAATAAAAATTAACATCTTCCAAAAATATTTTTTTATTAGTGAAATACCATGGGGTACAGTTATAGACATAAATTTTTGTGCTTGGGTTTCAGTTATACAATGATCAACTACCCATCCCTCCACCAGTTCCCATCTTCCACCACCACGGGTCCCAGCATCCCTCCCACTACCCATCCCTCTCCATCCCACCTTGCCTCTGTGGCAGGGCATTCCCCCTTGTTCTCTCTCTCTTCTTTTGGGTACTGTGTTTTGCAAGAGAGGCATTGAGTGGCAATAATGTTTGGTCTATAGACTACTTTCAGCATGCTTCTCCCACCCTGCGAGTATCCTCACAACACCCTTTATTTGGTGCTCTCTTCTCTATCTGAGCTTCCTCTTCCCCTAGCACGTGTGGCTGGCCTCCAAATCATGGAGCAAAATTCCTGGTACTAATCTCAGCCATTCCTGGGTGTTAGTCTCCCATTTTGTTGCTTTATGTTCCCCAGATGAATGCAATCTTTGTGTCTATCCCGCTCTTTCTGACTCATCTCGGTTAACATGATACTTTCCATGTAGTAACATTTGTATGTAAATTTCATAACTTCATCTTCCAAAAATATTTTTTGATTCATATTTTTAAAAGCATAGCACCTACTTTGTATTAAAGACTCTTCTAAGACAAGGTCACTGTTATCATGGTGTTTAATTCCACTGAAGAAGTTAGGTATTCAACTAAAACAATATCATGTAATAATTAAGTGCTTGGGCAGTTAAAACTGCCTAAGTTAGAGTTGACTCCTCCATTATTGAGTTACTTGGTTTTATCATCTCTGAAACAGAAATTAATGCCTTCCTTATGTGGTTTTTATTATAATAATAGCATTATATTAAAACTAGAAAAGGAGGAAACATTCAGGTAATGTTATTTTATAGTAATGGTAGTAGACAAGTAGCTGGTATTGTTTAATGAAAGCTGTAATTGGGGAGCTGGGAATATCTTACAAATAAGAGAAGTGATGTTTGTAGGGAGGCATAAAGCATGAATAGGAATTAAATGAGTAATTAATTAATTTTTAATTGAATCTCCATGAGATACAGTTACAAAGTTTTCATGTTTGAGTTTCAGTGATACAGTGATCAAACACTCATCCCTCCACCAGTGTACATTTATCACAACCAATGTCCCCAGTATCACTCCCACCACCTTTATCCCACCCTACCCCCTGCCTTTATGGCAGGCATTTTCTTTTTTACTCTCTCTGCTTTGGAGCATTGTGGTTCACAGTACAGATACTGAGAGGCCTAGGTGACAATTTTTATTTTTTTGCTTTTTTTTTGGGTCACACCCGGCGATGCTCAGGGGTTACTCCTGGCTCATGCACTCAGGAATTGCTCCTGGCGGTGCTCGGGGGACCATATGGGATGCTGGGAATCGAACCTGTGTCGGCCATGTTGGCTGCGTGCAAGGCAAACGCCCTACCCGCTGTGCTATCGCTCCAGCCCCTAGGTGACAATTTTAAATCCTCTTAAAACATTGATACTTTTGTAGCGGTCAATAAGACATGTACATTCTCTTTGCTCAATAGGGCTCAACCAGCAAGTTAACAGAATATGGAGAAACTGAGAAAGAAAAACTTGCTCGACAAAGGCAACTTTATAAATTGCACTCCCAGTGTGAAGTAAGTACTGCAGGTTCAAGGCAAGTCAGAACATAGTTAAAATGTTATATTTAAATATGTATGTAAATATATGTGTATTTGTGTGTGTTCAATTTTAATTTAATTTAATTTTTTAAAGAATCTCCTCTCTTCCTTCCTCTTTTTGATTACTGGTGACATGAACAGAATTATCTGAACTATTTTTCATTAACCAGGATTTCAAAAGACAGTTGAAAGCAGTGACACTTAGGTGGCAAGAAAACCAAATTCAGATAAAAAAGAAAGACAAAATCATTGCATCTCTTAACCAACAAGTGGCTTTTGGAATCAATAAGGTTTCCAAGTAAGTGCAAAGTGTTATAGTCAATTCGCGTGTTTTTTATACTCTTTTAAAGAGAGATTCCCTATGTCGCCACTAGGTGGCAGTGTGGCTGCATCATAGGACCTGCAACCGCAAGTCTGCAGTTGCTTAAAAAAACTACTGTATTTTTTACCTCAGAGCTGAATGAGAAAAAAGCAGCTGCTCACGATATATCCAGCTTTTCACATATTGGATGAACAAGTGTGAATATAATAGAATTACATGAGCAATATAATTAACTTTAAGGTTATGGCTCCAATTTGTAAAAATGCGAACAATGATTGGCTGTATCGCATATGAGTATATTTCTCAAAGATACCTTGGAATCACTAGAATTCATTTTTATGCTGTTTTCTTAGAGTATGTGTGTTCTGAACCCAAGAGATTGAAAGCCAACCAAATTACCAGGGACTTACTTTACCTCCCCACCCCTACCAATTTCGTTTTTTAAAATAACCTTAATTTCCAAATGCCTGAGACTTAAAATTGTGACTAAGGAGATCACTTGAAAGATTGATACCATTTTAACCATTTATTCTAATAAACAGTAATATTATTGAAGACCAGTCATCCAAATTCAAATTTCATAAGTCAAATTTGAAATTCACTACAGTGACTAGACAAATTTTAAGAGGTAGCTTAGAGCGAGGAGTGCTTGTTCAAAGTTGTGCCATTGGAGAATTATTTGGCAGAGATTTAAACTTGATTTTTTTCCCTTTATATTATGTCATCAAATTAGTTTGGAGACTACAGGAACTCTGTTATATTTCCAACATATAATATTGGTTTGAAACACTTTTAGGCTTATCCCCGCTAGAGTTTCAGAGAGCCTTCAAGTTCAGAAAGAGAAGAGAATCTAAGGAAACTAGAGCAAGCCAAGCTGGTTGCAAAACTTATAAACCTATTCTTAATTATTTAAAACTTTTGGGGGTCTGAAATAGCCAGTCCAGAAATATATAGTATCAGACATCCTACAAGTAATGCCATCCATGCAGATAAACTACCCCTTTTTAACACCATCTGAAGATATTCCTTCTCAACTCTGACAGCTGACCAAGCACCTTTGTATGGTTGAGACTGCAAACACCACTTTTGGAGATGTATTATATATTCATATGATGAACATTTAGAGTTATTCACCAGGCATTTACCAAGTTCCCACTGTGAGAAAAGAATTAGGTTTGATACTTGTGAGCTAATGGAGCACAGAGATCAGTAGGCAGGGACAAAAATTATATATAACATAGCTTCTGGTCATATATCTAGGTGTAATATCTTCATTCCTTACATGTTTTTTATAACCAAAATACCCTATCCATTTCATAGTAAACAAATAAAGGAAAACTCTTAAAAAGTGGAAGAACAAAGCAAACTTTCTAGAAACATTTGAAACTTCTCTCTAGAAAAAGTGACATTGCAGCGATTTTACTATATTGTTTTCCCTAATTAGGTACTTCAGAAATCTTCAGCTAGGAACGGCAAATTCCTAGTATTATAAGATTAAAATTCCAGAAAATATTTTTCAGAAAAAGGAAGATAAATAATACCACCAAGACCTGTTTTAGTACTACCTATCTATTCCAACTTTACACCAAACGCTCCACACTACTTGGAAATTGGTGTGATGACAAAAATAAATTTCCCATCCTGGGATACTATTTTCAGTAGTGATCAGGTAGCCTATCTTTCATTTCTAACCAGGCAGAGGCAGTTATGCTTTAGTTTCTTTACCAGGATGTGAGTGAGAATGTGATCTAGCTGTGACTTACCTCTCTGCCTCTCCCTGTAATCAGTGAGACTTAACAAGATGATTTGAAGAAGGGCTAGTCAACATTGTGTTTCATTTCCTGCTCTTGTCATTGGGAACTGAGTCTCTTCCCTTAGGACTAGTTGGTACTCCCATTTCTCCACCCCACTTCCCAACTGGTGCCAAAGGAAGTCATTAGGGGACTCCTGCCTGTCTACCCTGAGGCAACAAAGCTGTGTCAGCCATTTTCTGTCTCCTTCCCTTGTGTTAGTAGGACCTGGCAGGAAGATGATCTTACCTTTTAATCTAGAAGCAAAGTAGTGGTCTGAGTTAATGTCCCACTTTTCATGGGATAATGTCTGTCAGTCCAAGGGGTATAAAATTTCCATACTTGCACTTGCCTTGTTTATATGAAGCCCTAAGCTCAATACCTGTCACCACCTCCCTTCCCTGCCTTCCCCCCACCACCATCACACAGACACATTAAAATACTTGCATCAGGAACCAGGACATATACAACATTAGAAGGTAAAAGGTAACATGACAATATCAAAATGATTCATATTTAATAATTATCTGATAAAGGTTTTAAAGCAGTCATGCTATAAATACCTCAAGAAGAGATTATCTTGAAGCATACAAAAACCTAAAAAATCTCAGCAAAAGAAATATGTTCTAACACCAGAGAGAGACTCAATAGTCTGGCCCATACTTTGTAAGCTGGAGATCTGAGTCCTACCTCTGACTCCACATGACCTGAGCACCACCAAATTGCAGCCCCTAGACACAGAGCTGTGAGTAACCCCTGAGCATCACTGTGATTTAAAAGAACAATAGCGACAAATTTATAGTCTAACAGAGGCTGGAAACTATAAAAAATTTTAAAATGCAGTTGATAAAGGAATATTTGTTGGGTGAAATCACTTAGAAGGGAGATGATAAAGGATTGAATTAGTGAACATTATTAGGTCAGAGTAACAGGAATTAACCTATCTGAACGGAGAAAAAATATAAAATACAGTGATGTGTCAGGTTATATTTAAGATATATACATGAGTCGGTAAAATATCAAAACAATTATAGGTATGTGGGATAAAGCTAAAGTTTTCATCAGAATCTAAGAAGGTGGGAAGAGTATGGGACTGAAAAACTATTCAAAGAAATGTATAGTAACTTCCAAATTTTGTAAAATACAATTACAAATTCAGGAAGTTGAATGAATTCTGAGGGTATAAACCCAAAGAAATCTATGCTAAGATACATTATAACTAAACTTCTTAAAAATCAGGACAAAGAAAAATTTTAAGAATAAGCAGTAAGAGAAAAATATTTATAAAAGAAATGATCATAGATGCTTGGAATTTTAGAAAGGAAACAGTAGAATGAAATCAAGATAGAAGTAAATAATGAGTCTATCCTACTTCTCATTATTTTTTTAATTGAGTTAACTTTGCCTTTAAGACTATATGTGTTTTATAGTTTCAAGCTCATACCTTGAAAGATGTGTATTACCATACCAAACTACCCAGGTACCAGTGTCTCTTCACCACTATTTATTGAACTATTCCCAGTAAGACTTTTATCTCTTCTCCCACTGTTATCTCAGTTTTGTAGTGAGAGATCAATGATTTGTTTTTGTTTGACTTCGGGGTTTCCTTGCTCTTTTTCTTTATACACTTAATAAAGGTGAGATCATCCAGTACCTGTATTTCTCCAAGTATATCATATTTGATATTATAAGCAAAAATTGAAGCACCATTTCATGTAGAGTTTAATGTATTCAGAGGAAATAGAATGATTTTACTTCTTAAATATTGTGGGTAAGGGAACCTGTATGAATGTAAGGATTCTGTATTACTCTTGATGTTGGAAAAGAAAAATCAGTAGTTAATTTGGGAGAGAAAGCACAGTGTATAGGGCATATGTCTTACACCTGGGCTCAATCTCCAGCACCACCAGGAATGATCTTTACCACAAAGCTAGAAATAAATCCTGAGTACATCTGGACGTGGCCACAAACAAATAATAATAAAAAATAAACAAATAGAAGACAGACTAGTAAAGCAGATTTTCAAAATAATTAAAAAAATTTATCTAGCAATGTACTATTTACAAGAATTTCAACAATATATTTCAACAATATAAATTGAAAATGAAAGCACCATTAAAATGCTAATCAAAAAAGCAGAATGACTATATTAACATGAGATAAAGTGGGCTTCAGAACAAAGAAAATTTGAGACAAAAAGATGTTACATAATGATGAAAGAGTCCTCCAGAAAAACATAAACCTATAGGTAAGGGTAGACACCAAATAACAGCCCCAAAGTACATGAAATGATGCTTAATAGTGTTGAAAGGCGATAGCACAGTGGTAGGGCGTTTGCCTTGCACACAGCCAACATGGCCGACCCGAGTTTGATTCCTCCGCCCCTCTCAGAGAGCCCGGCAAGCTACCGAGAGTATCTCGCCCGCATGGCAGAGCCTGGCAAGCTCCCCGTGACGTATTCGATATGCCAAACACAGTAACAACGAAGTCTCCAATGGAGACATTACTGGGCCCGCTCGAGCAAATCGATGAACAACGGGAAGGCATTTACTTTTACCTTTACCTTTAGTGTTGAAAGAAGAAACTGAAAGATCTACAATTATACTCTGCAGCTGCAACACCCTATTTACAACTCTACAGAATGACTAGACAACAAAAATAGCAAGGGTCTAGTTGACATTGATGACATTATCAACCAACTAGATGTAATTGATATTTATAAACTGCTTTACCAGACAACATCAACTTACATAGACTTTCTACAGTACTAGGTGTAGTAGGTAAATATTTACTACTTGTCTATAGTAAATATTCCAAGAAAGACCATTTCTTGGGCTACAAAAGAGATCGGCTATATTAAAAGTATTGAATTCATACAAAGCATGTACTCAGATTTGAGTGGAATAAAACTAGAAATTGTTACAAAATGGTAAAAAAAGAATTTTCAAACACTTTACATTTGCACATAAAATTTATGCATAACCCATCAGTCAAAGATGAAGAAAATAAAATGTCGAACGTAGGAGCCAGAAAGCTAGTACAGTGGTTAAAGCTCTTAAGAGTCTTGCACATGGCTGATGCCAGTTCAGTTCACCAGTGCATAAGGCCCTCTGAGCTTTTCCAGGAGTGATCCTTCAGCACAGGTAGGTATCACTCCAGCCCATCTTAGTAAGTACAAATTATTATAATGATTTACTGAAGTCCCTCACCCCAGATAATGTTGAACTTAATAATAAAACATCACATTTTCTGAGTCTGCTAGAGTTTGAATAAAAGCACTAAATGTGAATATTAGAAAAGGATGAAATTTCATGTGAACAATCTTAAGCCTCTACCTCAAGAACCCAGGAAAATAAAGGCAAACTGAAACAATCAGGGACCTATCTGTAGAAATGGTTGGTTTAGATAGAGCACCTTGCAAGCATGTGGTCATGAGTTCAAATCCCTGATATCCTATAAATGCCAAATGTAGTCCTGGCAGCTCTGTTCTTAAGTGCCATCAGCTGTGCTGTTTCAATCATGGCAATGCCAGCAGTATATGGGTATACCACAGTCAAGGGTTTTAGAGAAACTATAAAGATATAACCCTCGGTTAGCACCACAACTAACATGATGTGTGAGCACCTGAGCCAGGAATTAAAACCTCTGGAGAATGTGTGTGAACACCAAAGGAGCTCTAGTGTAAGTACCATCCCCATAACTGATAGACTTCAGAGGCAAATGATCTCATCAAGCACATGTGCAAACAGTGTAACTAAAGGAGTGCAAACCTCAATAAACTGTATGGCTGAGAGTGCAAGCATTGCTTCCTGCTGTGAAATCCCCATTGAACACCACAGCTGAAAAATTATACAAGCATCACAACCAGGCATAAAGCACCTCTGGTTATTGCAACATTAGTAACAACAATGAATGGAAGAGAATGGGAGGAGGAGATGGAATAATAAAAATTTATTTTAAAGACAAGTGGAGGGAAGAGATGAAATTGGTAAAGAAAAGCAGTAGGAGCAAGCTGTGAAGCAGCTATTTCTTTAAAAAGCATAAATGGACCTCTCAAAATTGACAAAAGTATGCAAATTATTATCAGGAGTGAAATAATATTATCACCATATTTATATCAGAGAATTATGTTGAAAAGGGCCACTCTAACTTCTCTCTAAAGTTTAAATATAAAGCTTATTAAACTATAATTCCATTTCTATATCATTAAAATTACAATTTTGAAAATGATTAAAACATCTCAAAGTTTCACACAGGAGATAGTGGAAGGGAAGTAAGTGTGACTGTATAAAAGGCAAAACTTTATAAAATGGTGTAATAAACTTAGTGGCTAGAAAATGTAAGCTTGAGAATTTTTGATCTTTTAGAAAACTATGTCTAATCCCAACTTACCTTATTCATGGGAAAAATAGAATTTACAGAGTATGAGTCCCTGACCATGCAGAGCTGATTCATATCTTAGCTGAAAAAATAGAGCTTTGCCTATTTTACTTAACTCTATTTTTATTTAAGATTTAAGATTAAATTTAAGATTCCAGGTCTCGGAATTTCTCACCAGTTCGGTTAATTCTTATTATCAACTCTGAACTAGAAGTATATAAAATACTGAATTATGGGAGTACTCAAGAAAAGGAAGATGTCAGCCTGAGAAATATTACTATTTTTCAACTTAGTTACCTACTCCTTACTGTTTACTACAGTAATATAGTTGTGCTTCTCTTCTTTAAGAACGTGATCTCTTTCATATAGAAAAAAAATTGTTTTTTTTTGCATTCTCAAATACAATAGATCCTTAATTTTAAGTCTGTATAGTTTGTGGAAAGCTTGAAGTAAAAATAAGTAAGTTGTTTCTGAAATCTGTAGTGAACAATCCAGACAACATTTAAGGCCCTTGCTTTAAGACTTAATCATTATAATAATTTGTACTTACTAAGATGGGCTGGAGTGATAGCACAGCGGGTAGGGCATTTGCCTTGCACGCAGTTGACCCGAGTTTGATTACTCTGTCTGTCTCAGAGAGCCTGGCAAGCTACTGAGAGTATCCTGCCTGCATGGCAGAGCCTGACAGCTCCCCATGGCATATTCGATATGCCAAAAACTGTAACAAGTCTCACAATGCAGACGTTACTAGTGCCCACTCAAGCAAATTGATGATCAATGGGAGGACAGTGCTACAGTGCTAAGATGTGTATGTATTCCAAGTGTCTGAACATATTAGAGACTTAGAAATTTTTTTTGCTACAGATCTCTTCATATAGAAGCAAATTAACAGGTAAATGTTAAAGCTTTGTTCCAAATAGAAACATAACTGTTTAAGGTAGGAATATAAAATATATGAATGCATGCCAAACAAAAGTATTTCAGTTTCTCACAGCTTTTTGCATATTAATTATTAAATTTTAAACAAATGGCAGGTAATGTTTTCTTACTCAGAATTTTTATCCAGTCTCTCCTTGATTAGGTCACTTAACTGCGCTTATAATTTATGACTTTAGTTAAATTTTGTGTTGCTCACAGTCTCATCATTTATATATTCAATGTCTGATTTCTTTTGTACTTTAAGTCTTCAGTAGTTTACATGACTTGATATAATTTATCTTTTGAAAGTTTAAAGTTACTTATCCTGTAATGGACCTAGAAAATAGAGAGACACTTTCTGTTTTCTGGCATCCTAAAGTATAAGGAAGTAATTATATTTTTCTATGTCACTAAACTGGGAATAGAAGATAACTGTTTTTCTTGGCTTTTTAATTTGAGAGGTTAGATGTTCTTTCTTTTAAAACTCAGTGAATCAGATACCAGAAACAAGAAAGATAAATTTCAGCAGTCTTAGTGTCAGAGTCCAATTATTTTCAAGCTCAAGATTTATGGCCCAAAGTGGTCATATTTAGTCCATTTTCAACTACAAGCAGAACTCTTGACTATATAATAACAAATAACTTTTAATGTTTTATGACTTTTTATTCTTTTCAGATTGCAACGTCAGAGCCATGCTAAAGATAATGAAATCAAGAACCTTAAAGAGCAACTTTCTATGAAAAGGTACAAACAACTCTTGTGTTTATGAAATCACCCAGTCTAAAGCACATGTATCCCATGCAGCTTAATCTGGTTATAGTTTGACAGTCAAACTGGGTTACTTTGGAACACTAAATTGGCCATATATTGTTATAATTATTAATAGTTACACAGGGACATTGCTTAACAACTAGAAGTGTCTTAGGAAAACTGGGAGGGTGTGTTCATTTTAAAAAACTTCTGAGAGAGGTTAAATCAGCAAAATGATGATATCATAGCAAACTCTCAGAACTAAACTTACGAGTTTTTATTTTTTTCATCTTAACCAGTATAACTAAGTATAACTTTTTTATGTAACTAGCTAAGTTTTATCTGAAGGTATATTTTTACCTACAGATATTTTTAAATAATAGTTGTAGGTAATATTTATGCTATTTCATGTAGGATAAATACACTCTATTAAATTATGCAACTCATTATTTTTTAGTATATTTGCAGAGGTATACAACCTTTACCACTATCTAATTCAGAACATTTGTTTCACACTAGAAAGAATTCCTTGGTCTAGTAGAAGTCACTCTCATACCACACTCTCCTAGGAATTGCTAATAATTTTCCTACATGTTAAAAACTTCTTATACCTTATTCTACATGTTAGTTTTAAATATAATGATGTAGTATATTATGGTCAACTTATTTTATGGTTGTAAAGTTAACCTTTGAGTACCCATTAATTCCTTTTTTATAGAGAAATTTTAATTTTCAGTTATGGTAATATACCACATTTTCCTTTGCCTTTTCTCAGTTGATACACATTTGATTGATCACATTTTTGATATTACTAATAATGTTCTTTTAAATATGTGTGTACTTTTTTTGTGTGGACCTATGTTTTCACTTCTCTCGGGTGCATACTATGGGTGAAAGTATTGAGATATGTAATAAACTTTTTTATGTGTTTTTTGTTTTTTGGGATTTTTGCTTTTTTGGTTTTGGGGTCCCAGCTGGCAGTGGTCAGGTTTACTCCTGTCTCTGCACTCAGGAATTACTCCTGGTGGTGCTTATGGACCATATGGGATGCTGGGGGTTGAACTCGGGTCAGCTGCATATAAGGCAAACACCCTACCTCCTGTTCTGTTGCTCCAGTCCTCTGTTTAGTTTTTTGAGGAACCTTTACCCTAGTTTCCAAGTGACTACATTTCAGAAATCTGTAACAATAGATTAGGGTTTTGATTTTCCACATCATCAGCAATACTTGTTAGATTCTCTGTTTTAAAGTCACCCATTATTTGGGATATGATGTAGTTTTCATTGTGATTTTGGTTTGCATTTTTCTAATGGTTATGTTGAGTATTTTTCTTTCATATACTTTCTATTTTTACAATGAAAAAATGTCTTCAGTTATCCAGCTGATTTAAAGTTGGGTTACTCATTTATCTTTTTTATTCTTTAGTTTAGAATCTGTCTTTTATATCTAAGCCCCTTATCAAATGGATGATTTTCAAACACTTATTCCTATTCTGTAGGTTGTCTTTATTTTCTTTATTTTGAAGCACAAACATTTTTGATTTTGATGAAATACACAGATTTAGTACAATTCATTGCCTCTTTATTTTTAATATAGCTCACTGAATATTTTATGATTTTCCCCTGATAATACCCTGGCATTAACAGTTTAAGTAATATATTGTTTTGTCAAGCGTCTCATTAATGTTTTCCTGGTTTTTAAGCATCCATATTTTTAATAATAAAACATTAACTGTAACTTTTGTGAAAATCCCAATGAAAATGTTATGTTCATTATTTTTATTAAGAACATAATTTTAGTTTTACGATATGGAGTTCTGGGACTCAGAATAGGAAGTTGAAATAGGATGGGAAAAAGAAAAACCTTATCAGTAGCCATTTTCCTTAGTGTCCTTCATAAATAATGTCCTTATTATCATCTTCCTCCCTTCTTCATATACAAAGTTTGATTTCATTCCAAGGTGTTGAATGTGAGCACTGAAATAACCAGTAAAATATTTTAATTTAGTGCTTTAGCTTTATGGAATTCCAAAGAAAACCTTGGTATGGATTGGTATAAAAAGACTTGTAGGAGCTTCATTTTATGTAAAATTTTGTATTAATAATTAGAATAGCTAATGTCTCTTTAGTACTCAGAATGTACCAACCATAACATGCTTTACATATTTTATCTGAATGAATTTCCATAACAGCTCTTTGAGGTAAGTAGTACAATTATCTCCATGTTTGCATATGAAGAAATTGGGATTTAGAGAAGTTAAGTATATTGCCTAAACTTTCATAGTTTAGTGTAGAGCTCAGATTCATCCTCAGACAGCTTGGTTTTAAACCAGGTAAACCTCTATATTAACAGTCTTAAAATGCCCAAAGTGTTTTTGTTTTTGAGAAAGCTCAGAGATTACTTCTGGTTCTGCACTTGGGGATTACTCTTGGCAAGGGTAGGGGGACCCATACAGGGGTCCCAAAGATTGAACCCGGGTCAGCCATGTGCAAGGTAAGTACCCCACCCACTGTGCTATCTCTTCAGCCCCAATTCCCAAGCTTTTGATATAAAGACTTAACACTAAGGGTTAAGTAATGTCTTCTCTTTTAGTTGCTGTATACAGCAATACTAGGAAATTATTACCTACCCAATAAATAACTTCTTTCCTCCTGAATAGGTGCAAAATCCTGTTCTTGCAGCAATGTTACTGACTCTTCAATAAATATATATTTCAGATCTCAGTGGGAAATGGAGAAGCATAATCTGGAAAGCACAATTAAAACATATTTAAACAGATTGAACACAGAAACGAGCAGAGCTATAAATGCTGAGGTGAGAGAAGTGTGGAGGTAGGGGTTAGTTAGAGGGGAGGAAGTTTGGGAGAAAGATAGGGTTGGGTGGGAAGTTCTATTTGTGGATCAGTATACCAAAGAATTGAAAAAAAAACTTGATTGAATAAACAAAGATAAAACTTCTTAGGAATAACTGGAATAAAACACAGCCCAACTCTTGTGCTTTTTGATTTTTCATTTATTATTTTATATTTGATTACTTCACTGTTGATAATCTTGTGTTGTTTTCCCCAAAATGATCTTAGAAATTGTTCTAATTATTTTATGTATAGCAAATTTGGGATAATTTTCAGAAAAGAACTTAGTAACAGTTAGAGTAATATTTTATGCTGCCATAATATCTCCTTTCATTTGGTACTTATTGAAGAGCTCTTCTAAAATTTGCTAGACACTTTATTGTCAAAAATCTGCTTTCTAGACTCCCCCAAAGTTCTAAGTTTATTTGAATGAACATTATCAGGATTTTTTAAAAGATAAATGTTAATGTGTATGCCTTCATTTTTATTTAATGATAGTCAAACTTGATCCTCAGTTAGAGTAAAATCTTTTCTCTTATTTTTTGCCTCTGTGGTATGAAAGTATTATCATCTAATGTAAGATGTGGTAGAATACTGGTTTCTTGATTCTGGGGACTGACACTAAGCCAAAACTTCTGGCCACCATCAGTTTTGATGCTTTTAATTTATAGTGAGTTTGGGTGTTTATAATATGATTGCAAGTGAGGAAAAGTCTGGTTTTAAAAATTTTTTCATTAACTTAAAACAGATGGGACTTCTTTTTAGTGTTCTTACAGTTGCTTTTATTAATTAACTGTGAGCCTTGAAAAATTCCAATACCCATACAATATCAATTAAATTGGACTTTTTGAGATCATTTCTGAACTGATTTCAGTTTGTATACTTGAAAACTTATTTTAGAATCCAGTAACCATTTAATTAAAAAAATTAAAATAGTAGAATTGATCAAAAAGCTTTTATAATATATTATATATGGCAAATAAGATCAGGTACTATTCAGAGAGAAAAAGCCTGAAATTTGCTTGAAATGACTAAAAACAAAAAGGACATCTCAAGTATTTTTCTTTCTCTCAAATATCTGTAGGTTTATTTCTTACAATGTCGTAGAGATTTTGGTTTGCTTCATCTGGAGCAGACAGAAAAGGAATGCCTCAATCAACTTGCCAGAGTGACTCACATGGCAGCAAGGTAACTATCCCTCTTTTGTAAGGCATCTTGATTACAAGTGTTTCAAGGTTAAACTTAATTACTTCAGAATTTTTGGAGAGTAGAAACTCTTGTCTTTTAAACTTATTAAAGTCATGTAGTCACTTTTTTGGTTATTGTGTAGTTTGGGGACCATACCCAGTTATGCTCATGGCTTAATAGTCCTGGCTCTATGCTTAGGGATTACTCCTACCAGGGCTTGAGACAACAGGAGTGCCGGGGATCAAACTGGGTCAGCCACACAAAAGGCAAAACTACACCCACTATTCCATTTCTCATTGCTTCTATTGAGGCACTGGGAAGTCTCTTGAGTGCAATATAAGTTGCTGGTGACAGATTGTTCTTTGTTCTGCAATGAAATATATAAAAAAATCTCATATACATATATATGTGTATAAAACTTGATATTTGAAAAATAGCATAGTTCTAATTGGAAAACATTTTCTAATTATTTCTAGTGCTTGATTTATCAAGCCCCTAGTCAGGTGGTTGATAATATCTTTGTAGTATATTGAAAGAAAAATCATTATCAATATCTTATCTTGAGAGTAGTTTCCTGCTGTACAAGTGATTTTCAGCTATCTGGCAGGTTGCATAAGATTCTCCTTTAAGTGTAATTTTATAGGTTATACTTTCAAACTTAAATCATTAAATTTAAGTTTCTGGGACCAAGATACCATTATTTTTTAGTGATTATTTTTTTCCTTTCCTCCCAAGCAGTACTCAGGGCATTCAGGAGCAACTTCCAGTAATACTCAATTAATCAGGTCTCCAATTCAATGCAAGAGCCTGAGGTTATATTGCTAATGGAATTCTGTTGTCAGGAACCACTGTGGTCACCCCGATAACTTCTCAGGGGCCTTCAGGGCATATCTGGCAATGTTCAGGAGGTCATGCAGTGCCAAGAGATTGAACCTTGATCAGGTTCTTGTCTTGCTTGGTATATGCCCCAATTGCTGCATCATATGCCTGATCCGGTTATTATTTTTATGGTCATTATTCTTCACTGCTAAAAGAACACTATCTCTTATACTGGGTCTTACTTTGCATGCCACCAATCCCAGTTTATTTCCCAGCACTACCGATAGTTCCTTGAGCACTGCCGGGAGTGATTCCTGAACACAGAACCAGAAGTAAGCCCTGAGTACAGCTGAATGTAGCCTATAAACAAAACAAAATTCAAATTTTCTGATATTTATCATGTTTCCCAGATTATACATTGTGCATTTGGGTTGGAGAAATATAGATGTGTATGATCATTCTAATTTTAATAGAGAAGACACTCTACAAAAAAGAATATTATCAAGACTCCCTGTATGAGATTATCTCATTTTTAATTTGAGCTTTTCTAAAGCTGTTATCCTGGGTGATCCTAGAATAAGGATGTTAAAACATGAAATCCCTTTTCTAGAGATATAAAGACCCTAAACACCTTAGAGTAGTGCTGAAGGTATTTGGTGGGCATGGCTGACAGAGTTATATTTGTGAAGTTGATGAATTCATTTGCCAAAAAGGCAATAATCAAATTCAAACAGAAATTAAGTATATATTTTTGATTTTCAAAAGAGTTTGGTAGGTGAACTGTTACACTGTGATGTGAGAGTTAATGTGAAGGCAGTCTAAAGCTTGCTTCCAAAAGAGCCAATATTTTTAAGAATACTCCTCAAAGGTTGGATGGCTAGGACAGATTTCTCTGTTGGCTTTTTTCTGTTGCCCTACTTTAATGGAGGGATTCCTGTACAAAGGCTTTGTATTTTTGTTCACGATCACAATCACGATCATACTGTTGTTTGTCTATTGCCTCGAGCAGGCACCAGTAACGTCTCCTTCGTCCTAGCCCTGAGATTTTAAAAAGCGCCATATTCAAGGCTCTTTTAGGGTTAGGAGAATGAGACCCATCGTTGTTACTGGTATTTGGCATATTGGGTACGCCAAGGGGAGTTTGCCGTGTGGGCAGTTTACATTCGGTAGCCTGCCAGGTTGTCCAAAGAATGAAATAATAAGATGTCGCAGTGGGTTCTATAGTCTCTGGGTCTTGGCCGTTGATGGGATTACATGGCGCCAGGGGGCCAGTTGGTGGGTGTGACCCCTGCCTACTGGAAGATGGAGGATCTGGGTGGAGAAAGCTCAGCCCCGATTCAAGCAGGCTTGGAGATCTCAGCCCTGGGACCCGCATGCCTTTGTTCCTCTGCTGGTACCTTCATGTGTGTGGAGCGTGGTCTCAGCATGGTTGTGGCTGGTTCTGGAGGTCTTCGGCTGCTGGCACTCTGCTCGGGGCATGCGGGAAACTCCACCCACCCCCCTGCAAGGGGCCCCCTGTGAGGACAGCCAGGAGCATGGGCAGGAGACTCTGTGCTGTTCTCTTCCACGAGCTGGGTATTTTTGTTATATGACAAAAATATTTAGCCAAAATAGGAAAAGACTTGATGCTCTGGAAGCAGAAATTACATTTTATCATGAAAAGAATTAATCTTTCATTTTTCTAGTTTTAAGGCTTATTTTCCATAACAAGTCCATCATACAACTTTTTGTGCCCTTAACAAAAAAAATTATGATGGAAGTAATTACATTGTTTTATGCTATTTATATATCTACTAATGAACATAATGAACATTTTTGAAAACTAATTGGTACATAAAAATAATAAATGTTCCACATAAAAAAGTGAATGTTCTCTGTGTCTCCTTGTCTATATTAGCAACCTAGAATCACTTCAGTTAAAGGCTGCTGTGGACAGTTGGAATGCCATTGTGACAGATGTTAGAAACAAGATTGCATTCCTTAGGGTAAGTTGTGAAACATATAGAGAGTAAATTTGATTATTGTAGGGGACATACTCTTAAAGAGAACATCTGATCTTAAAAACGATTACTAGAGTAATTCAAAGAAAACCATTTTTCATTTCAATTACAAAACCTTATGCCTTTTTGAAGCTTGAGATTAATTGCTTCCATGTAATTAATTAGTTAGAGATACATTCTGGAGTCATGTGTGTTGTCTTTTAGTTCTTTCATATGGTAAATAAGGAACACAAAGTGTGTGTCTCTTTGTAGCCATCCAGCGGCCGTGGGAAGGCCTGGGAACCTGGAGAATATTATGCAGTCTGGGGCTGATAGCTGAGATATCCATGCAAAGATATGCATGGAAAGAATTGGCCAGGGTAACCATCCACGTGGGTCACTGACTGCTGGTCCCATGATAAAGTTTATTCAGAGAGAACAATGCTTATACAGGGGCAGAAGGAATGTAGTACATGCAGATCATGAGAGATGAGAGCCCATGAGGTAAGGAGGAAGAGGAAGGTCAGATTTATGGTATTTAGGCTACATGTGACAGAACGATATGGAGTCCCCATGGTCTATTGCAGAGGCAGAGCTGTAAGTCTTACTGATACCAAGGTCGTCAGCTTCCCATGTTTCAAGCCCCATCCACCAGTAATTGCAAGGTCATCAAGCTGTACAAATCTGCAGTAAATGCCAGGTTCCCTGGTTCCAGTTCAGCCTCATCAAGTCCAGGACTAGAGTTTTCCCGAAGACCCTGTAGCCCAAATGGTCAGGGAGTTGTGCCAGAAAGAACTCCAGCATTTCTTACTAATTTTCCTAGAATTCCAAAGCTCTGTTTCAATTAGAAATAAATGTCTTGACTTTGAGAGATTACATATTTAAATTAAAGGAACATCAAATAAATCAATATTAGTTTTCAATCATGAATTTTATGTAATTATTTACACAGTGCAAAAGAGTTAGTACTATCCCACTGAATATTTAATTTATTCATTTGGACTAAGAATATTTTTGTATTTATATTTATAATCTACTTTTCTTATTTAGAGTTGATGAATAATATTGATTATTTAGTGATTTTGCAACACTGACCATAAAACAATGACATTTGATTATAAAAGTTGCTTCAAGGCACTATCTACTTGTCTATCTTTAATAGTTTTGACATTTATTTTCCTGAACTCTTATACTCAGTTTCTATCAATACTTAGAATTTCTGTTTGAATTAATCTGAGTTGTAAGCTCAAAATAGCTGTCCTTTATTCTTGTCCTTTATTCTTGTTTTCCTCCAAGCACATGTTTTCTGTGTTAAAGTTTCTTCTGGTTATTTTAGATAGTCTACCAAATAAATAATATGGTAAAGTGAGAACAATACAAAAATGTTTTAAACTGAAAACATTATTGTTAAGCTTCAATTATTAGAGTCTTAATCTTGTAAAGTCCAATATAAAACAAAAGAGACATACAGAATTAAAGAAAGGTAGAGATGTAACTTTTGAGATCAAAGGTAGATATTTAATACGTATTAACTAAATCTTCCCTTATTTTAGAAATGAACATTGGCAAGTAGTTTAACACTTTTCCTACAAACCTATTTTCTTCCCATATTTTTAATATATTATTTATAGCCTATTGAATCTTTATTTATTATTCACTTTATGTCAGTAGCTCCAGTTTTTGTGCTAAAAGTATATGAACAGTGAATAATTATCATGAGGGCCAGTGAATTTTGTGCTTACCTTGTCAGTCCACAAGTGTCCCTAAATTTCTAAACAGCTGTCACATTTTGATATACAGGTCTGTAGAATTATTCTTATGTCTAAAATTTTCTGATATAATACATTGGTAATTACTATTCTTTTATATTTTCCAAAACTGCAAAACTATGCTATTTTTGATGAAAATGTTTTTTCTGTGAAACATTATTTCTGTTCCACTAGACACAGTACAATGAACAGATCAACAAGGTGAAACAAGGGTTTCCTTTGAGTACCTTGCCTCCAATCCAACTTCCTCCCCCACCACCCAGTCCTGATATACTGGTAAGAAATGAGATTTTTAAAAATTGGAAACTTCTTCTTGATAAATTTTAAGAATTCTCTAACACTGCATACATTTAGTATGTGTTCAAAATTGAATAGACGTGTGTGTATATTTCTTGTAAATATGTCCATTCCTTCTGTATCATCTTTATATGATATAAACTAGTTGACTGACTCAGTCGGGATCAGGTTTGACTTAGCATTTTCTGTCTAATCAGCATTCTGAGTAATCATAATATCACCTATATTATATCACCTATATTGTAAGTGGATCAACATGGAGAGTATCATGTTAAGTGAATCAGAAAGAAAGGGACAAACATAGAAAGATTGCACTCATTTGTGGAATAAGAGAATGGGAGACTTACACCCAAGAATAGTAGAGATGAATACCAGGAGAATTGCTTCATGGTTTGGAAGCCATCTTCACATGCTGGGGGAAAAGGCAGCTCAAATAGAGAATGGACCACCAAATAAAGGGTGATGGCCACTTAGTACCTCTATTGCAAACCACAACACACAAGGAGGGAGAGAGCAAAAGGGAATGCACTGCCACAGAGGCCGGGAGAGGTGGGGGAGGTGAGGTAGAGGTGGTGAGAGGGATACTGGGATCATTGGTGGTGAAGAATGGGCACTGGTGGAGGGATAGGTTATTGTATGACTGAAACGCAAACATGAAAGTTTGTAAGTCTATAACTGTACCTCACAGTGATTCATGAAAAAAAATAAAGACATCTGGGGTGTTACAAATATATATATATATATATATATATTACCTATATTATCAGAGAAAATATCTGAATGCTCAGAACTCCCACAGCTCTCAATTATCCTAAATGACTGCAGCATTTCAGATAATATTCCAGCAAGTTGGACTTCACCACTTCACTTCTACTTTAAACTTTCCTTACTTTAAATTTTAATCTTCTATTCCCTAGCTTCTTAAACTGTATGTAGGTCACAAGTCTATGTGCAGTTATGCAACTGAATTGTAGAGGTTGTGGGGGAAAATTAATTTATGATTTATTATCAATGAATGTTTGGTTTTTTCTATTTTATATACCCATTGTCATAAAAAAAATGGGCGGCCAAACAGGCTGCAATGTAAAAAAAAAATTAATAAAACCTGTTCTGTTCTATCTTTTCCACTAAGAATAACTTCCCTTTGTGCCTTTTCCCTGCTGTTAGAATTAGTAAGTCTTAGACAAATTCATCTCTACTCTCTACTATTTATGTAACCTTCTGGGAATCAGCATCTTAATTCAGTAAACTCATACAACCTTTTAAAGTAGTTTAGTCGGGGGGGGGGGGGCGGAGCAATAGTCATTGGCAAGGTCACTTGCTTTACACTTGACTAACCCTGGTTCGATCCCTGACAACCCATATGGTCCCTCACACCTGACCAGGAATGATCCCTGAACTCAGAGTCAGGAATCAACCCTGAGCACTCCTGGGTGTAGTCCAAAAAAAAAAAAAAACAAAAGTTTTAGAATAGAACAATTTAGTTACATTTTTATGTCTACATTTCTTCAGATTTTCTGATGTGGCTTATTGTCAGCTTTAGTTTGAGTAAAAAGCCACTGGTAATTAGACTTTAGAGGATAAATGAGATTGCTAACAACATTCTTTGACTTAACCTGAAAGTATATGTGTATCTTATGGACTTCCTAACCATAATCATTATTGTGTTTGGCTTAGCTAACTGTTGCACTTAGTGTAGCAGTGACCACTGAGCATTAGTGGAACCATATGGTACACCTTTTTTGATATAAATTGAGGCGATAATTTGCGATAGAAATTCACTAGAAATCTGACTTAAGTTCTAACTACGAAGAACTGTTTTGGTCTTGAAAAAGTTAACTGTTTTGAATTTTAGTTTTCTCACCTAACAATAAGTAAATTGTACTTAAGAGCTAATGACTAAAGTCAATGTAGCTCTGTGATTCTAATATTATTTTAAATTTGTGTTCATTTCTTTTTATATTTGAGGGCCACACCCATCAGTGATCAGCAGCTACTCCCAGATCCTTGCATTGCTCCAGTGCTCAGAAGACCATTAAGTTCTGGGAGTTAACAGCCCACTTCCCCTTCCCCCTAGCCATCTGCATCATGGTCACGGTCCTCCCATTGTTCATCAATTTGCTCGAGCGAGCCCAGTAACGTCTCCATCATGAGACTTGTTGTTACTGTGTTTGGCATATCAAATCCGTCACGGGTAGCTTGCCAGGCTCTGCTGTGTGGGTGAGATACTTCTCGGTAGCTTGCCGGGCTTTCCGAGAGTGGTGGAGGAATCGAACTTGGGTCGGCCGCTTGTAAGGCAAACGCCCTACCGCTGTGCTATTAGGATGGCCGAGAGGTCTAAGGCACCAGACTCAAGCCATCTGCATATAAAACATGTATGCAACCCTTTGAGCCTGTCTCTTATCCTGGGGCCCCTAAGATTCTAGTATTCTAAGGAATAGTCACTATGCTTTAATTACGTAGTAGTCTAATGTAATATGCCTGGCATAATGAATACATTTTCCAGTTTAACTCAATATTTTAATTTGTTTTATTCAATCTTGATTTTTTAATGATGGTGTATTTTTATTTCTTAAATTCTTAATTGGTGACTGGAGAAATAGTATTGAGGGCAAGTACTGGTTACAAAGCAATTGGGTTCTGTCCATGGATCCCCATATGTGTTTTGTTTTGTATTGTTTTTGAGGAGGGAAACATGATTTATAGCATTTTTCATGATAGGACTTTATGCATACAATGTTCCATTGATTATTGTACATTAGCTATCTAATTTTAAAAGAAATTTTAGGTAATGGTTATCCTCAAATAGGGTAGGACTATTAATAAATACCACTTTTCATTTACTTTTTTAAAACTTTGCATTATGAAGAATTTGAAACATATCTAAAAATAGAGCAGTATAGGGAACTTCTGCAAACCCAAGAATAAGCTTCAGCATTGGTCTTGTTTTATGTTATTCCCCTTCTTCTTCCCCACTGAAATGTTTTCAGGTGAACCCTAGATGCTATAATACTACCATCCATTTATACTGTAGTATATATTTATCAAAAAGGAGAACAATATTGAACATAAGCACAATATCATTTTATTACCTTAGAAAAAATTAGTATCTAATAATATTGTCAAGACATGTAGCACTGTAACACTGTCCTCCCATTGTTCATCAATTTGCTCAAGCGGGCCCAATAACGTCTCCATCATGAGACTTGTTTTTACTGTTTGGCATATCAAATACATCACAGGTTGCTTGCCAGGCTTTGCCGTGCGGGCGAGATACTCTTGGTAGCTTGCCAGGCTCTCCAAGAGGGGTAGAGGAAGACATGTATTGTTCCAGTTATTTCAAATATTTATTTTTGTTATCTAACCCAGATAAGTATACGCATACACATACTTGAGTTTTTGGATCACACTCAAAGATTCTCAGGGCTTACTCCTGACTTTGACTCAGTGATACTCCTGGTGGCTCGGGGTACCATATGGTGTACCAGGGATCAAATCTGGGTCGGGCAAGTGAAAGTCAAGTGCCCTACCCACTGTATTGTCTTTCTAGCCCTAATTCAAATATATTTTCAGTTTAGTTAAGGTCTCCTTACCTTACAAGCGATTAATTAAAAAAAAAAAAAGAAAAAACAATTTAAATAAAGTTAACTCTTGACATTTGGCTAATTATTCTTTAGATCTCTAACAGCTACCCAGCGTCTTTCTTTTATTCATATATATTTTTTTTTTCAATTACTTATTTGGTCCATTGTTGATTTAACTTGTGTTCCACTTAAGTTCTACTTTTTCTTAAAAATTTTTCATTAGATTTGGAGGGTTGGTTAGAAATAGGGTTTTTTTTTTTTTTTTGGTAAGAGTGTATGAGAGCGATAGGAGAGATAGTACAGCAAATAGGACTCTTTTCTTTTCCTTTTTTTTTTTTTTTGCTTTTTGGGTCACACAGGCAATGCACAGGGCTCTGCACTCAGGAATCACTCCTGCCAGTGCTCAGAGGACCATATGGGATGCTGGGAATCAAACCTGGGTCGGCTGCATGCAAGACAAACACCTTACCTGCTGTGCTGTCACTCCAGCCCCACAGGTAGAACTCATCTTGCACCTGCTTTGGTCCCTGGGACATCATTTGGTTTACAAATCCCTGTCAGGAGTAGTCCCTGATCCTTGAACACTGCTGGGTATGGCTTCCAGCAAAAAAAAAAAATAGTATGTTAAAGATAATGATATAAATGCACAGCAGAAGACTTTTAAGTGTCTCTCTAGTGATGGTGTAAATCAAATGTCTCAATGGGCATTTTGTTCAGTTGGTAGAACACTTGCCTTGCATGTGTGATACCCTGTGTTCAAACAAACAAAATACTGAATGTTGATCGGGTCTTTCCATCATAAAGTTCCTCATTAAGCTTTTATCTGCTGGTTCTAAGGTCACTGCTTAAGATACATGTTGTGATACATTTTTAAAAATTCAATAAATATTTAAACACCTGCTTTATGTTCATTCCAAATCTGGCATATGGTGGGTACTTGGTAAATACATCCTCTTCTTATGTAGCCCAACCAATAAGTTACTTCTTCCGTTGGCAGAGGATTAGAAGAGCCAGCTTTTTCTATAACTCAGAAAAGTTCAGGTGTACCCACAAAAATGCTTCCAAGTTACTGTAGAATTTCTCTCCCAGAGACATTGCATCTTAATTTTTACTTTGATTTTAAATATGAAGGCACTGTTCTACAGGCGGTACAGCTCTCTAATAGTGAAAGTGATATTTCTGTAGCTAACTTTGATTCTTTAGTGGATTTTCTGAGTATTGGTATTGCTCATCATGGACACTTGTTAATGAGTAGCTCCATTGCATAATCCTGTATTACTACAGTTGGGAAGGAACTCTAAAAATCACCTACCCAATCTTTATAGTTTGTGGATTAGCAATTTAGCATGTCTGGTTACTCAGTTATGCGGAAAGTGAGACTAGAGCCTAATTAGACCAGAACCTCTTCTTTCTTGTGTTCATAAGCTTATTTCACCACCCTTTGCTCTTTCAAATATTTATGTACTTAATGGTATGGCAGCATTTCTTTGTGCTTTTTACCTATTATTTGAAATCACCGTTTCACCCCAAACATTCCTATTTGAGTTTAGGTCTTTACCTATATACCCATTATCCAGAAGCTTGGCAGTCACACCCACAAACTGCCCCCAGTGCCATGAAATCCTATCAATGGCCAACATCCAGAGACTATAAAACAAAGCTCCCAGAAGCGACCTCTTATAGTCTAGCCCACCGAGGTACCTAAAGCAGCACACATGTGTTTGGTTTTAACATACTTGCTTGTATTCTCTTATATACATTCTCCGTCCCTCTCAGAGAGCCCAGCAAGCTACCAAGAGTATCCCGCCTACATAGCAGAGCCTTGCACGCTCCCCAGGACATATTTGATATACCAAAAACAGTAACAGTAATGGGTCTCATTCCCCTGACCCTGAAAGAGCCTCCAGTAAGTCACCATTGAGAAAGACAAGTAAGGAGGGATTGCAAAAATATCAGGGCTGGGACAAATGTAGACATTAATGGAATCTGCTCGAGCAAATTGATGAACAAAGGGGTGACAGTGATACAGTGATACCTATATGTACATTTTTTGTGGAGTTTGTTTTTACTTTTTCTCTTAGATGCAGCAGTTCTTGGGAAGACCTGTTTTGAAACAGCCTTTCTTTAGACCCGTACTTACTGTTAATCAGATGCCTGCAATTTGTCCTGGAATCATCTCTACCCCTGGCCAACCTCGAGCACCCATGGTATAGATCTCTTCTTAATAGACTGAGTTTTATTATCAATAAGTTTTGATTATAACTAAATGTTAAGTTCTATGTAAGGGTATTATGAATTTTTTTTAAATAATTAGGTAGTTTGGGAACATAAAGATAAATACATTTTTAGGCAAAAAAAAAAACAATTCAGAGTAGAAAACCCATTACAACTACAGATTTGCTTTTATAACAAGCAGCATTGCAGAATAGATGGGTATTTTTAATAGGTCATTTCAATTTAGTAAGATTGTTGGGTAAGTTGAATGATAAAGAAATCACTAAATTAGTCATTAAATTAGTTACTAGCAGAGTAAGTTGTACCACAAAGTTAAAGTTTTTATTTACATATACACCTAATTGTACATGCATATGAGTATTTTTCTAAGAGGACACTGTTTTAGTTTTATCTATCAGCAGACAATATAAATAACATTATCTTGGCACATATTATAAGGTAATACAAGCCTTTTTCTATCTCTATGGTATAATTGTCATTTTCCTGGATTGCCTTGGATACATTAATATACTACACTATGTGGATGTATTATAAAATTTACTGAAAACTTTGAAGATCCTTAACACTTCTGTTACAATTACTTTTGATTCCTGGGAAAAAGCTGGATAGTGAAGCAAAACTGGATACCAAATTTCATTGCAAAATTATCACAGATTTTATGCCGAAATTTTTATGTTACAAAAAGTGAAATGTGATCATTATGTGAAGTTCTTTTGTAATTCTAGTTAAGTATTATTATAGTTTGCATCACATGTTTATAGTAGTGTGTTCTCTGAGGGACTGGGGAAGCCCTGCCTCCCCCCGACCCCTCTCTCTCTCTCTCTCTCTCTCTCTCTCTCTCTCTCCCCCTCTCTTTCTCTCCCTCTCTCTCTCTCTCCCTCTCCCTCTCCTCCTGCATTTGATGGTCTCACTCCGCCCCCCCACCCAGATGGCCAGTGCCATGGGCAGACAAAGGAGGGAATTAGGCCGCCAGGCTGGTTGGTGATCTGTTACTGTTTATTCCATTCTCCCCACGTGCCTGTTTCAATCTCCCTAAGCTCCCCATTCTAGTCTCACACTGTTCCTCATTCCCGTTTTCTCCTGTCTCTCCCTCTCATCTCTCTATGTTCCCACTCACCACCCTGGTTTCTCTCTAGTCTCTCTCCATCTAGCATTGGGGGTAGCCACCACACCCCATTCCCCATCCATAGCACAATCAACGTATGAAAGTCCTTCTTCTTCTCAAGGGCAAAATACCACATAGGGGTATTTCTTCTCTCCTTAGTCCAATAACTTAATTAACATCTTAATTAACATCTTAATTCTACTTCTTCATATTAGTTATTTTGTATGGACACAGTAAGAGATACATTAAGCTTGTTGGGTGGCTCTCCTGGGGATATCTCTCTATCGATGATCTCAGACTACAGTATTCAAGCCAGATTAATATTTCCTAACCCTAGCAGGGTCCTAATCCAGCTGTTACTTTTTGGATCATGACAGAATTTGTCCACATCATGCCCTGAACTTATAGTTAAGTAACATGGCACTTTGGCCTGCCCCATTCCTATGCCAGGGTAGCTCACAGCTTGCCCCTGGGTCCATCCATTCCCTCATGGAGATCTTGTTTTTGGGGTGCTAGAAAGTAAGGGCAACTGAGGCTTAAACTGAGGGAACAGATGCCCCAGAGTGACTACCATTCGGAGTCAATTAACTCCCAAGTTACAAAAGCATAGCATTTGAATAGCTCACAATCTAAGTCTTCTTGAATCTATACAAAAAGTACTTTACTCTGAGTTAACTATGCAAAGGACTTAAGGAGAAGAGAAAAGCGATATTTACAAGTTAACAGACTCTGATCAGGAGATAAAGGTGATTGACTTGTTGAGGAGCAGAACACTAAATAAAAGTTTACAAATAAACACAGAGAAATTGAAGCACTGCGATGGGAGTAACCCAAAGGACCGTAGCTCCCTGTGCCAAGACAAGAAGGACAAACCAATATTATCCTACAGTAGTGTTAATATTTATGCCTTTGATTGCACAGTTTTTTAAAATTGTACTCTTAAAAACATGGTTCGGGGGCTGGAGAAATAGCACAGTGGGTAGGGCATTTGCCTTGCATGCAGCCGACCCAGGTTCGATTCCCAGTATCCCATATGGTCCCCTGAGCACCTCCAGGAGTAATTCCTGAGTGCAGAGCCAGGAGTAACCCCTGTGCATCGCCAGGTGTGATCCAGAAAGAAAAAAAAAAAAACATGGTTTGACAATTAGGCAGTGGGTAATTATGTGGTTGTACAGTTACCTGGGATATTTGGTTTCTGCTCTTTGTAGATTTTGTGAGCTATTCAAATGATTGCTAGTAGTAGCTATACACTACTTATACAAGTAAGTCTTCAGAAAAAGATGGCATGCTTTTAATTATCTAAAGTAATCAGACTAGAACTCCAAATTTACTGATATTGTTTAAGTCAAATATTGGGGAGTCACACCCAATATTATAAAAGGGACCTTGTATTACTGGGACTGAAACCATATTCCCCTGCATTCAAAGCATGCCCTGTAGCCCTTTGAGCCTGATTAATGGTTCAGTTTATTTATTTATTCATTTATTTGTTTGTTTTTGATTAATGGTTCTATCTAAGAACCACCATAAAATACTGAACTCCAGTGATTTCATAGAATAGAACTTTCTCTAGAAAAGCATCCCCATCATCTTTGAAACACTCATGAGATATTAGGCAGACATTATACTCATTATGATAGTAGACTTTTATTTAGTCATTTGAAAATACAACTTTTTACTTTTCTAGAATATACTAAAGGTATATTCTAGTCATTAAAAATTATAAAATAGAAACAAAATAGCATATCTGGCAGTGCTTGAGTTAATGTAAGACAAAATTTGAACTGGGGTCAGCACATGCAAGATAAGTACCTTTACCCTGTCTTCAGCCCTCATTCCTTTACAATTTACAGACCTTTTACTGTGCATACAAATTTTTAAAAATTTTAGCATAACAACTCATGCCATAAATACTGTGCCACACTTTTAAAAAATGAAACATGTTCAGTGACCTCCACTCTGCTCGGATAGATGGATCTATTTATACCGTAGCTTATTTACTCATTAACAAACTAAGTTGTTTTTAGTTTTTCATTGTTGTAAAATTTATAGAAATAAGCACATAAGGGACTGGAGTAACAGCACAGTGGGTAGGGCATTTGCCTTGCACGCGGCTGACCCGGGTTCCATTCCCAGCATCTCATATGGTCTCCTGAGTGCCACCAGAGGTAATTCCTGAGTGCAGAGCCAGGAGTAGCCCCTGTGCATTTCTGAGTGTGACCCCCCCCCCCAAAAAGAAGAAAAACAAGCACATAAAAAGCACTACTTATGTTTGCAACTATTGAGATTAACATTTAGTTTTGAAATAGGGACTACTATTAAAAGTACTGTGCTAATTAAGAAAAAACATTTTAAAGGAATATGTACTTTCATCTTTCTCTTTATTCTTTCCATTTTCTTTTAATTATCTTAAGTAATCAGACTAATTGGTGATGGTGGTGTGGGATGGTATCACTGTACCCCTAAGACTAATTAATCTTAAGTAACCAAGCTTGTCACCATAAAATGTTAATACAAATTACTTGAAGCTGATAGATTATTACTGTTTTCTTACAGATGACTGGTATAGCCTGGACTGTGCCAGCACCTGTTGCAGAAGCTGTGCCTCCCAGTGCTGTTTTGGGAAGTGATTCCACCTTGGTGAATTGGGAAAGGATTATAGATAGGCTGAAAACTACCTTTCCTCAGCAAAGCAGGTAAGTTAGTTTCTATTTATATGAAGTTTCTATAGTCATAATTGAATGGTGGAACATGTCAGAGAAATTTTCACACACAAACACAAAAAAATTAGATATTTTCTTAACATGGACTTGGCAAAAAAAATGAAATTCATCAATTAAGGGTATGTTCAGTATAAATGCTAAACCACTTCTCCAAAGTTAAGTCATGATAGAGTAAACATTTTAAACTTTGATTTGCTCATTTATTGTGAAAGTAAAACTAGTTGTAAACTTATCCAATTGTAATGCCACCAACTGCAATAATTATATCTTTCCAAAGTCAATTTTAAGTTGACTGTGTTCTATATATGCCCAGATATCATCAGGTTTTACTTTTCTGTTCCTTAATTTAGGCTGGAGCATTAGCACATCAGGTAGGGCAGTTTGCCTTGCACGAGGCCCACCCAGCCTACCCAAGTTCAATTCCTCTCCCGTCTATTCTTTCGCCCCTTTTGGAGAGCCCGGCAAGCTACCAAGAATATCTCGTCCGCAAGGCAAAGCCTGGCAAGCTACCTGTGACGTATTTGATAATGCCAGACACAGTAACAAGAAGTCTCACAATGTTATTGGACCCGCTTGAGCAAATTGATGAACAATGGGAGGATAGTGACAGTGACCATGACAGTTCCTTAATTTATTTTTTTTTAAGTATCTTTGTCATGAAATAGTGAAATGTCCTAAACCATGATTATACTGTTTTTTCACAAGTCTGAGTTTAACATAATGATTTTTAATTCGAGGTATAACAGTTTACAATAGTGCGTTCATATATCTTAGGGGTACAGTGTTACCATACCACACCACCACCACCATATTGATGCCAATATTTTTCTATCAAAGTATATAGAACACTGAGGCCAGAAAGCTAGTATAATAGGGCATTTGCCTTGCATGTGGCTGACCTGGGTTCAATCTTTGGCACCTTATATTGTCCCCCAAACCCACCAGGAGTGATCTCTGAGCAGAGCCTGGAGTAAGCCCTGAGCACTGCCAAATGTTCCCAAAAACAATTAAGAAATAATAACAGAGAACACTTTCAGACCACTCCTTACACCTAGTTGGCAAGTTCATCTGGTGTTTACTTCCCCTTTTTGTCTTATATTGCATGGCATGATATCCTCCTTTTCTATCCATGTTGTAGCAAAAGGCGAGATTTCATCTTTTCTTGTATCTGAGTAGCACTGCACTGTAGCACTGTCCTCCCGTTGTTCATCAATTTGCTCAAGTAGGCACCAGTAACATCTCCATTGTGAGACTTGTTACTGTTTTTAGCATATAGAATACATATATATTCCACTGTGTATATATACCACATCATCTTTACCCACTCATCTGTCACTGATCACTTGGGTTGTTTCCAGTCTTGGCTATTGGAAATAGTGATGTTTTCAACATAGGTGTGCATGTATCTTTTCTTGTCCTTTGAGTATATGCCTAGAAGGGAACGTTCTGGATTGTTTGTTATGTTGGCTATTTCTATGTATTCTTTGGGAAAGGATTTGATAAGTTCTCATTGTTTTAATGGTGTTCTTACTTGTTTTGGGCTGTTGTCAATTTTTTGAGTATTATGCATATTTCAAACATAAGATGTGAGAATATTTTCTCCCTTTCAGTCAGGTATCTTTTTGTTTTAATATCAGGTTCTTTAGCAGTGCAGAAGACCTTCTAGTAATATCATTTGTTTGTTTTTTCTTTGTTTTCCTTGATAGTGGAATCAAATCATAGACGACACTACTGAAGTTAGTACTATGTTGTATTTTGCCTATGTTTTCACTCCTATCTTCTCTTCTCCCTATAGGGAACTTTGTAGTTATATGAATTTTAATGGTGTATACAGGAAACAAACAAAAATTTTGCTTTTCAAATAAAAATGCTGATAGATACTAGGATTTTTTTGTTGGATGAAATTTGTCATTTCTAGCTTAAAATTATTTATCTTTGTTGTAAGTTTCAAAGACTATCAAATTCCCACAGCATTATTTATGGATACAGAACCAATTTTACTAAAATTCATACATCATTAATGCTTCAGAATTAGACTATGGTTATTTAAATATAATAATGAAGAAAATACTAAAATGAATATTTATTTTAGTTACATGAATAACTAAATCTGTTTTATGACATTGATTACATACTTTTTTATGTCCTTTGAGAATGAACAATATTTCATCTGCCCTGTCATCTCAAAAATGTATGCAGGTCATGGCTATTGAAAACAAATATCACTTGATCACTTGACTTCCCATTAATCATCGATTTGCTCAAGCGGGCGCCAGTAACCTCTCCATTTGTCCCTGTCACGTGCTAGTGTAGCCCAATGGCATCTGTTCACTCTAGGAACACGAAAAGCCTCAAACCAATCATTCATGATCTTGATGAAGAAGTCTGATCATCTGGTAGGTGGGCAGGCATGCGGTCTTTTGACATCCCGTGGAATCCAGTCAGTAAAAGCTCTCGTCCAGCGGTCGTCTTTAAATCTCATTACGTGACCAGCCCATCTGATTTTTGACACCTTGGCAAACGAGACAGCGTCCCTGATTCTTGATCGCCGATGGATGTTGGAACTCCGGATTCTTTCTCTCATTTGAGTGAAACGTGATATTCCAAGCATAGTTCTTTCAATTCCTCTTTGGGAGACCCGAATAGCGTTCTCATCCTGTTTTCATAGGGCCCAGGTCTCTGAGGCGTATGTTAATGCAGGAAGAAAAGTGGAATCAAAGAGATGTGCCCGGAACCGGAGGTTCTCCACTACCTCCACTACCCAGCCGCCACCACACTCCAGGATGCTTTCCAGACCCGTGCGGCTGCTCTGGCCAAGACTCACACACGACTGAAGCCCCACAGAACAAGATAAGCAGAACTCTGAGACCTTGAACCCCAGGCCCAACGGACCCAAGGAAAGAGATTCTCTGCTTGCTCCCACCAACCACAGGTGACAAAGGGATTAAAATCAGGAGCCCCACCCTACCCTGCCCTGTCTGCTTCCACCAACCACCAGAGACCCAGGGATTGGATTGCGCACAGAAGACCCACCCTAGCCCTACCGGGACCAGATAAATACCTCACTGGCAGACCTCCACTATGGACACTACCTCCACTACCCAGCTGCCACACTCCAGGATGCTTTTTGGACGCGGCCGTGCGACACATTATAAGACAGTAAATACCCATTTTCCGGAATTTGAACCTATTTGATAGGTTCAAATATGGTAACACCTACAAGGGCGATTAGAGGTTGACCCAAAAGCCTCTATCCCTCTGGAAAGCCTGGCAAGCTACCAAGAGTATTCCGCCTGTACGGCAGAGCCTTGCAAGCTATCCGTTGTGTATTTGATATGCCAAAACCAGTAATTACAATGGGTCTCATTCCCCTGACCCTGAAGACTTCACCAATATGGCAGCATTGAGAAGGATGACAAAGGAGAGGCCGATAAAATATCAAGACCGAACTAGGCTGCAACAACGAAGGAATACAAAAATGATCGTCTGTACTTTCAATGTACGTATGCTAGCATCAGATGCATCCATCGAGGACCCGATGGTACAAGCACAAAAGATCAAGTATGACATCATTGGTCTGACCGAGACAAGAAGGCACCAATCTCATCATGACGTTTTCGACACCGGAGAAGAATTATTCCTCGGAACATGTGATATAAGAGGTGTCGGAGGCGTCGGTGTCCTTGTCAACACAAACTTGGCCATGAGCATTGATTCATTCAAATGCCTAACAACCTGAATCGGACGTTTACATATGAATAGATGTGGCTCACTGCCTGCAGTTTCTATCTTCGTTGTCTACGCACCAACATCTTATTATGATGAAGGAGAAATTGAGAAGTTCTACATGGAGCTGGAGAAGTTCTATAAAGAAGACCACACCTTCTACAAGATCATTGTGGGTGCTTTTAATGCTAAGATAGGACCTAGAAGATCAGCTGAAGAACTTCACATCGGGACCCATGGCCTAGAATGGAACGAACAGGGTAAGAGACTGTCTGAGTTCATCATGTCGACCAAGACCATTCATGGTAACTCACAGTTCCAGAAGGCAGAACCTAAACGTTGGACATGGGAGTCTCCCGGTGGACGATTCCACAACGAAATAGACCACATCATATTCAATCGACGGTTTTGCCTGACCGATGTCGCTATTGTCCCAAAATTCCAAACGGGATCGGACCACCATCTCCTTCGTACAAAATTCTACTTCACAGAACGGGGAGAAAGGGCTGCAGAGTTTAAAAAGAGAACTCCCAGAATGACCACCAACTGGGAGCTCTTTGGCACTATTTCAGCAACATGGCAAGATGCCGTTGTTGACAACATTGACGAGGAATACGATCGACTGGTTCAGTACCTCCATGATTGTGCGAGGAACACCAAGAGAGAGATAGCCACAAAAATCGCCTGTCTTCGAAAACTCTTGAGCTTATTCGCCAACATGGTTTGGCGCATGCCTCAGGAAACCGCAATTGAACCATGCTAGTAAGCCGGGTTCTGCAAAGGATTCAGCACCATCGACCATATCCACATGATAACCAAGCTCATTGAGGTTTCTCGGGAGTTCAAGATGCCGCTCTGTCTAACGTTCATTGATTTAAAGAAGGCCTTTGATTCTTTTGAGATGGAAGCAGTCATAGAAGCCCTAGCCATTCAGGGTGTACAAACTCAGTACATCAAAATCCTCCTGAGCTATATTACGGATTCACTACCAGGATCTCACCATTCTACAAAGAAGTAATCATTGATGTCAAGAGAGGGTTCGGCAGGGTGATACCATTTCACCAAAACTCTTCAGTGCCACCCTTGAGAACATCATGCGACGACTGGAATGGGAAGGAATGGGAGTGAAGATAAATGGTCGGCAACTACACCACCTCCGCTTTGCTGATGACATTGTTTTAATAACACCAAACATTAGCCAAGCAGCACAAATGCTGGCCGACTTCGACCGTGAGTGTGGAATGGTTGAACTACAGCTGAATCTCACGAAGACAGTGTTTATGAGAAACGGTCTCATTCCTGATGTTCCATTCTCTCTCAGTGGAATGAAAATCTCCGAATACAAGTTATGTGTACCTAGGTCGAGAACTCAACATGACGAATGACCTGGCACCTGAGTTGGGCAGGAAGAAAGAGCGGCTTGGAACGCCTTCAAGAGCGTCAAAGAAATAGCTAAGAGGACGAAAAGAAATATAATTACTGACATTTTAGGTTTTTTCATTACATGATTAATTAGTCTTTTAAATATTTAATATCTTTATTTTAAAAATTCTTAAATTTTTGTTCCTGAATTTTACCAGAGTAAGACTTTTAAATCATACAGAGGAGAAATGAAAGCAACATTCACAATTTAAAAGGAGTAATCTGATTTAAAAGAGCATTGAGAAGTATGATATTAAGGTCTGAGGACATAATTATGTAGATAACAAAGTTACTTTTTACACTGAAAGTTAGCTTTTGAAAACAAAGGCTTTTTTCAAGAGTTAAGTCTTTGGACTGGAGAGATAATACAAGGATTACTGGGTCTATCCCTGAAACAGCATACATAGCCTTGAGCACTGTCAGGACGATGCCTGAGCACAGCCTTGAGTAAACCCTCAGCAATTTTGGGTGTGACCCAGACATGCCCTCCTACACACACACACCTGTTTTTCTTTTCCTTTTCTCTTTTATTTTTAGTGAAGTAAGGTAGTTTTTATTGAAATTTATTTAGAGAGAGTTGAGAGGAAGAGACAAGTGTGTGTTTAAGAGAGAACACAGGCTTCTCCAGAGTAGAAGTAAGCAAGGAAACATAGAGACAGGCCAGTGAGATATGTGTTCAAGGGAGGATCAGCTTGAAAATCAAGCCACGGTTGTTTCTTTCTGTAGAGAACGCAGATGCTAAAATATATTAACAAACACATTAAGAGTTTTTACTTTGGTTTAAAGTGAATGTAGGTTGTCCTGTGAACTATTTTCAGATCAGACAGCCTAAGAATCATGTCTCTATGCAACAGTTCTGTCGTACAAAAGAATTTTATACCTTCTTTGTTCACCATATCGTAAAGGATGTAGGAAAAATCACCACTTTTTCCTTGATCTGTTCCAGAAAAGAGCTTACAGATTTGTTACGGAAATTGAAGGATTCTCATGAGAAGTCCTTATCTGGAATGACATTTGATGAAATTGTTTATAAGATTGCCCAATTTATTGATCCCAAGAGATCTCAGGTAAAAGCAAAAAAAGTGAAAATTTTATCTTTAATCTTATATCTAGTCATCAGATATTTTTAATTATCTGTATAGCATGTAATCAATAAAAATCAGTAATCTAAAATGAGTAATTTATAATTAGTTATACTTATTAGCTATATATTAACCTATACTTAAATAATTTGACTGGTCTTTTTGAAGTGACTTTAGATTACTTTGAATAATTCATTTAATGAAGAGAATAATACATATTTATATTTAGTCCAGGAGATGTAATGATGGTTAGGGTGCATGCCTACAATGCATCTGATCTGGTTTGGTTCCTGACACTACATGGTCCTCTGAGCATCAGTGAGTGCAGCCCTGGAGGGTGGCTTAGGTATCCAAACTGCAATATTGAACATCACCACATCCTCTGGCCCTTGCACTGAATCAATAGTCTGGTTGCCCAAGAATCATCAGTGAGGTCCTTGGACCTCCTGAGTACTTCTTGGAGGATCTTCTGTTTCTACTCCCAAGATGCAGAGCATATTGTTCAAATGGATGGTACAAAAGCCTTCAGACCACAAGTCTGATCCTTAGCGGTCCCTCAAGCACTGAGGATGTAGCCCTGGTGACCCCCAAGGACCACCAGGCCCCACAGAATCAGAAAAGTAGTGAAGCATTAGGTCTGCACTAACTGAGTATTGCTAGAAGTATCTCCTCATCTCCAGCACCCGTCAGTAGAGGATGTAGCCGCTATTAAAAAGCAAACAAATGTGGTCTTGATCTGGCTCTAAACGTATGGTATAAAATATTACCAGTTTTTTGTTACAGCATTTATTTTATAAATCTCTGTATCTTTTTACCCATTTACTAATTCTGACTATAGCCATTGTGTGCTACTCTATCATTTCTTCCTGTTTTAAACCCATTTACTAATTCTGACTATAGCCATTGTGTGCTACTCTATCATTTCTTCCTGTTTTAAAATAATTCTAAAAATACTTAATATTCTCATTTTCAGAGTAAGGGACAATCAGTTCCAAATGGTAATTGTGTTTCACCCAGCCATACTCCACCACAGTCTAATGCTTCCCAGACCCCTAAATCATCCTGGAGATCCCTCAGTTCACAAGATTCTGACACGTGGGAAGAAGCCAATAATGTGGTGAGACTTAAGCTGTTGGTGATCAATGCATTTAAGTATAGGAAAAAGAAGTAAACCGAATTTAACTTTATGTGTATTTCTTTCCAGGAGGAAGATGAGGATGAAGAGGAGCCTTGTGTAATCTGTCATGAGAACCTCTCTCCAGAAAACCTCTCAGTGTTGCCTTGTGCTCATAAATTCCATTCTCAGGTATTCCTTTAAACTTGCATCTTAGTATTTTAACATATTTTACCATATTGTAATGAAGTATATATGACCTACTTGAAATCATGTACATGTATCATTTTTCATGTCACTCATTGCTCTGTTAATGATTTCCAATGATTTCTGTGCTTTGACGTACCACATAGAAAAAGTCTATACCGGTTTCACCAACCTAACTATGATTACACTATGATTTCTGAGTTTTCCATATGCCTTTCAAAAAGAAGGAAATAATAATGAGATTAAAATAATACAGAGTAGACAGTTTCCATGACTGGTTTTGTGGTAATAATTATTTTAGTATGAAATGCTCACGTATAGTATCCTTTTTTCTATATATAATGTAGCCCTCTCCCAATATAAGGTATAATACTTATATTCATTTCCTTTTGAAGGTCAGACTTGATGTTAATCTGGCATATGTTTTGTTGATTTTTGGCATTTTATTAAGATTAACTCCTATTTGCTGCCTGTCTGGAGTTTTTGGTATACGGTTTGTGATCTCAGTTTTCTGGTGCAGAATTGTAATTTGACACAGGAAAAGATAGTTTTCTAGGTGATGTAAACAATAGCCACAAAGGAAAACTCTCACTTCAAGCCTTAACTGTAAGAACTTGTTTTATTCTTTAACATTGGCTATTGAGTATAAAACAGGTTAGGATTGGTAGACTTTATTTAGAGTAGCACTGTAGCACTGTCCTCCCATTGTTCATCGATTTGCTCTAGCAGACCCAGTAATGTCTCCATTGTGAGACTTGTTGTTAATGTGTTTGGCATATTGAATACATCACGGGTAGCTTGCCAGGCTTTGCCGGGCAGGCGAGATACTCTCGGTAGCTTGCTGGGCTCTCCAGGAGGGGTAGAGGAATTGAACCCGGCTCAGCTGGGCCAGCTGCACGCAAGGCTAATGCCCTACTGCTGTGCTGTCTATCACTCCAGCCCTACAGTACCTATGCTTATTCCTCTCCCATCTGACTTGAATTTTTATTATTTATAGCAGTAAAAATTATTTGGGTGGAGGAATTGAGAGTACAGAGGATAAGGTACTTGCGTTGTACATGGCTCACCCTGATTTGATCCCTGGCACCATGGATGGCTCTCCAAGCACCACTAGGAATGATTCCTGAGTACAGAGCCAGCAATAATCCCTGATTATTGGATATATGATATGACCACTATAGGATATGACCCACTCCAAATCCCCCCAATTATATATATATGTACACACATATATATGTTACATATATTATAAATATATATGTATATATATGTTTTGCAGTCAGTATTGAGGCAAATGAATTGGCATAGTTTATTTGCAAAGAGTACTATCATCTTCAGAGAATGCTGTTTAAGAAGTATATTCATTATTCTAACTCAATTCTCTAAGTACTTAATATGATGTATTGTAAACTTTATATGTTTTCTTATGAATTTTCTTGGGTTATGAATAAAAACAATGTATAGTAAAATAGAAAAAACTATGGATTCCCTCAGTCTCTCTGTTAGAATTCATGGTCAGATGAAAATTGAACTTGGGAAAAGGATTTTAATATAATTAACTAGCCAAAAAATGTTCTGCAATAACCCACTGTATTGTTCAGCAAACTGCAGAAAAGTTTCCATGATTATAGCAATTGGCTTGAGATAAGGTCCTCAGATACCTGAGAAAGCACACTGGTTGGTAACCCTGTTATAGACAGTAATGATGCCCTCTATTAGACTAAATCTAGGAGACTGATTTGAATCTTTTTGTTCCTCAGTGTATTAGACCTTGGTTGATGCAGCAGGGGACATGTCCAACTTGCAGACTCCACGTTTTGCTACCAGAAGAGTTTCCTGGTCATGCCAGCCAGCATTTGCCCAAGATCTGATACATGGGGGTGATTATGCAGCAGTTGTTCAGTTTTCATACTCCAGAATTTAGTTTTGCCTTTTTTACTATAAGCTCATAGTGTGAAGAATGTGTAGCTATGTTTTTTTTCAGTATTATTCAAAAGACGCTTGATAATCTCATCAAAGCTGTGGCCAAAGAAGACAGGACACATCTTCAGGATTTGTGATGGAATTTTAAAAGTTATAACTCAGTAGGTTTTCTTTTCCAACATCAATATGATAACTTACTATATATATCAATATGTCTTTCTTATTTCTCCTTATTCCACTTTCTTTTCCTTTAGTTTTTCCCAGATATATATTTTAATTTCTTGAATTTTAATGAATGAGGAAGAATTTACTTAAAATTCATTTCAAGTAGGAGTATTTTAGATTTTAGTGGTCTCTCTAGCTTTTAGCACCGCTTATAAAAATATAATTTCACATTTTATCTCTATTCTGTCATCTAAAATATGTACTCACTAGAGGGTACTAAATGGTGGTGACTGTATAAAAGTTGTTAGAAATGGCTTATTAGTAAAGTTTCAGGAATATTGTGATCCATTTGTCAAAGTGTTGGTGGGTTGAAATCTGTCAAAGTGAGAATATTTCTATGCCATAAATTAGTATATATTTAAGTAAAAGATTTTTCTTTCAAGAGCTGAACATTTATTAACATACTGCTGGACCATTTCTGATCCTTTGTTTTCCCAACTTTTATGGATGCAGTATAAACATTCCCAGAATCAGAAATCAGAAACTAGTCAGAAAAGGACTTATGGTACAAATGAAGTTACAGAATAGTTGGGATTTTATTTTGATTTATGAGTTTATCCTTTGGATTTCAATCATTTGTAGTTGGAGGGTTTTTTTCCCCTGCCTTAAAATTTTCTTATCTCATATTTTAATTCTGAGATGTATTGAGGACTGTTCATGTATAATTGACTTTTATGACGATGTTATTATACATTGGGCTAAATTTCATATCTCAAGTTTGTCACTTAGAAATTTCACTCGAGGCAAAAAACTATTTTGGAAATAGTCTCATGTAAATGTTGTAAGTGTTGTACATGTCTCTAGTAACAAAATTAAGTACCTTGTAGACAAATAATGGTCCATATTCTTTTCAAAAAATTAATGAAATTGAGACTGTGAATAAATGTTTCCTGCTTCAGCAACTATTTTGTGTATTTCAATGTAAATGTATTTTGAAGTTATTTTAAATCTTTTTAATACTGCCATTTCTCTAAGTTAGTGCTAAATGTCATCTTCTATAATAAGAATAAACTGGAAATTTCCAAAAATGAAGGATGTCATCTCAACTTGTATAAAGACAGGTATTACAGAATTCAGAATGTAGGGCCTTTAATAATTATCAACCTCAATGCCATAGTCATATAGCAGATTATCTTATGAGATGACTGTTTCTAAGTTTTTGTTTACAAAAGCAGTTTCACTTTCATGTGGAAAAGAATAAATGTTTAATTAAAAAATCTGTTTTATCTGTGTATTTTGGTTTAAATGCTTAAACTACTTTAAATCTTTCATGTGTTGCTGTTTAATTTGGCTTTGACTTCTTTTTTTATGTTATGAAAAAGGATAGGAAAGTATCTAAGGAACCTGTTATCTTGACCAGCTTTTCTCAGTTAGGAGCCATATGAGACTGTCTGTGAGCCTTCAGTATATTACAAGGGGAGCACAAGTGAAAATCATAAATAGAGAGCCACAGCAAGACTAAGGGCACAACAGATAAGATGGGAGCCCCTAGGAGGGAACAAAGTTGGAATGGTTCCAAGGTCAGAGAATGTTTGAGAAACACTGGTCTACACCAGTAGTTTTCTTTACTCTTTATATATTTTTTAAAGAACTGTGCTTTATAAAGTTATTGATAGTTAAGTTTTAGCCAAATAATATTTTATTAATCCTACCATCAGTATCAGCTTTCCTCTACCAATGTTCCCATATTCCCTTTCACCCCAAGTCACAACCCATCCTTGCCTGTCAACTTGACAGACACAAAGTTTCAGAGATTGCAGCTTAGATCTCATGTTTTGAGTTTTGTTGGGCCCGTGTTTTGTATATATGACTACAACCACTCACTCATATCACCCATATAACTGAAGCCCTAATGACCAGTTGATTTCAACCATTTTTCCACATGCACCAGTTCCATGATTAGGAAATTTCTGCAGAAAATTGGAAACCACTGGTTTAGACTTATAAAATGCAAGGAATTATTTTTTTTAATTTTTTACTCCCATATTATTTGCCTGGAGCTGGAGCCTGGGCTGGAGCGATAGCACAGTGGTAGGGCGTTTGCCTTGCACGCAGCCAACATGGCCGACCTGAGTTCGATTCCTCTGCCCCTCTTGGAGAGCCCGGCAAGCTACCGAGAGTATCTCGCCCGCACAGCAGAGCCTGGCAAGCTCCCCATGACATATTCGATATGCCAAACACAGTAACAACAAAGTCTCCAATGGAGATGTTACTGGGCCCGCTCGAGCAAATCGACGAACAACGGGAGGGCCTTTACCTTTACCTTACCTTAGATTATTTGCCAATTTTTTATGTTGCTTTATATCAGTGTTTTGCTTCAGTTATTCATAATCTACTGAGCAAAACTATGAAATAATAGTCTTTTATTTCCTTATATCATTTAGCAAAATTGCAAGTTTTCATCCTTTTTTGAACCAAAAGGTACACACCATTTTTATTTTTTATTTTTCTCAATCTAATAAGTTTCTTTTTAAAGAACGTTTACAGTTATTCATAGTTGAGTTTTATACAGTAGTGTTCCGACCAATCACACACACAACCAGTGTCAACTTTTATCCACCATTGTTCCCAGGTTCCTTCCCATATCCCACCCCACTCTCTTTACCCCCTACTCACAGCCTGCCTTCTTGACAGGCACCTTTCTGAATTTGGATGTTAAAGTTTGGGTCTTTTCATTTGTGTTGACTGTGGTTTGGATATTTGGTTCTATCATTCCTTAACAGGCTGGAGCGATAGCACAGCGGGTAGGGCGTTCGCCTTACACGCAGCCAACATGGCCGACCCGAGTTCGATTCCTCCGCCCCTCTCGGAGAGCCCGGCAAGCTACCGAGAGTATTCGATATGCCAGACACAGTAACAGCAAAGTCTCCAATGGAGACGTTACTGGGCCCGCTCGAGCAAATCGACGACCAACGGGAGGGCCTTTACCTTTTTTTACCCTTTTATCATTCCTTAACACCACCTTTTTGACTTAATATGCTGACCTGGCTCCCATTGCTTCTCATCTGTCTCTTCTCCCCCTGCACTCCACTTTTTATTTCCTTCCCCTTCTACTCTGGGGCCAACTTTAAAACATTGTATAACCTCATCCATTTATTCTAAATCCTACATAAAAGTGATATCCTGTGCTTATCTTCTTTTTCTGACTTAATTTAATAGTCTTATGCTTCTACCCATGTTGCATCAAATTGCATTACTTTGTCATTCCTTACAGTTGTGTAGTACTCAGTTGTGCTTCAGAAAATCAAGTGCCTCACAATCAGCTTAACTAAGGAGGTTAAGGACTTGTACAAAAAAAAACTACAAAATGCTACTTCAAGAAGTAAAAGAGGTCATGTGGAAATTGAAACATATCCCCTACTCATGGATTGGGAGAATTAACATTGTCAAAATGGCAATACCCCACAAAGCATTATACAAATTCAATGCAGTCCCTATAAAGACTCCCATGACACTTTTCAAAGAAATAGATCAAACACTCCTGAAATTCATATGGAACAATAACCCCAAGAACAGTTAAAGCAAACCTTAAGAGAAGAAAATGGGAGACATCACGTTCCCAACTTCAAACTACTACAAAGTGGTAATAATTAAAATAGCATGGTATAGGAATAAAGACAGACCTGCAGACCAATGGAATAGAATTGAATATCCTGACACAGTCCCTCAAATATATTATCACTTAATCATCACTTAATCCTAAATATGGGAGCAAAACATATGAAGTGGGGCAAGGAAATCTTTAACAGGTGGTGCTGGGAAAACTGGACAGATACATGTGAAAATGATGAACTTAGATCTCTAACACCATGCACAAAAGTCAGATCAAAATAAATTAAAAACCGCAATATCAGATAAGGTAGCACTGTAGCACTGTACTCCCATTGTTCATAGATTTGCTCAAACGGGCCCAGTAATGTCTCCATTGTGAGACTTGTTACTGTGTTTGGCCTGGCAAATGCATCTTAGGGAGCTTGCCAGGCTTTGCCATGTGGGTGAGATACACTCGGTAGCTAGATAAGGTACATAGAAAAATAAAGGTAAGCAAAACCTTCCATGACATTGAAGCTTAAGGTATCTTCAAAGTTGAAACACAACCGACCAAGCCAGTGGAAGCAAATATAAACAAATGGTACTGTATTCAACTAAGAAGCTTCTGCGTCTCAAAAGAAACAGTGACCAAGGTACAAAGACAGTCCATGATTCTTCACCAAGTACCCATCTGATAAAGGGCTAATATCAGATATACAAGCCTCTGGTAGAACTTTGCAAGAAAAAAATAGTTTCAAAGAAACAAATTCCCTAAACTGTTACCTGTCCTGGGCTGGAGCGATAGCACAGCAGGTAGGGCATTTGCCTTACAAGCGGCCAACAAGGCCGACCCGAGTTCGATTCCTCCACCCCTCTTGGAGAGACAAGCAAGCTACCGAGAGTATCTCGCCTGCACGGCAAAGCCTGGCAAGCTACCCGTGACATATTCATTATGCCAAACACAGTAACAATGGTCACAATGGAGACGTTACTGGGCCTGCTCAAGCAAATCGATGAACAATGGGAGGACAGTGACAATGACAGTGACAGTGTTACCTGTCCATGAAGCTCCTTATATTTCTTGCAGCCGTTATGAGAGATGAAGTCATGAAATTTGCATATAAGTGTATAGACATGGAGAGTATCATGCTAAGGGAAGTGAGTCAGAAAGAGAGGGACAGACATAGAAAGACTGCACTCATTTGTGGAGTATAGAATAACATAACATGAGTTCCTTTTTTAGATATTTCTGTGTTCAGTATTTTTTCTATCTTTGGATTTTGTCATTTTGAGCATAATGTGACTTGGAGTTTTCCTAGTTGATTTTTTTTTTTTACTGGGACCCTTCGGGCATCTTGAATCTCATTGCCTATAATCCTCAATGCTGGGATCAAATCCAGGTGGCAGGAATAAAACCTGGGTTGGCCACCTGCAAGAAGAGTACTGTGCTGCAGTCCTACATTTTCAGGCCCGGTTTCTTTTTCATTTTTGTTTTAATCTTGTTTCTTTCTTCCATTGAGTCACTGTTGTGATTTTATCTTCAATTTCTCATCTTATTCTACATGTTTGCATCTGTCTGTTCTACTTTTCATATTAGACTGAGTTTCATTCAGTATTTTCTTCATATCCATTATCTCGTTTGAAATTTAATTTGTTCAGTTCTTTGGTGACGAACTCCTGTGCTCTTTGGCTCTTTTTTGACTTCTTGAAATTGCTTCTATGTTTAGTTGAGAATCCATAACTTCATTACATTTTGTTTTGATGGATTTTCTATATTTTTTCTCTTCTCAATTATATGCCTTTATGTATGCATGCTGGAGATTTATTACCATTTTCTTTAAAGAATTTCATCATTTTTTTAAACAGCTGCCTTGCAGAATTTTTTGCTTGCTAATCTGAGTTAGTGTCCCCCTCTAGTCCCCCTTTAACGTGGCTCTAAGACTTAGTTTGAGAATTATTCTTTGTTTCCATGACCAGGAGAAGATGGGGGAGGAAATTAGGAGATGGAAAACTAAAATAAATTGAAGTGTTGTTAATGGCATGGGAGATGGAAACTGCCCAGAGTGAGAGGTTCATAATATTCTACCTCCTCTGTGATCATCCTGATTTCTGGTTGTATTTTTGTGGAGAGCTTTGCTTTCCAGTACCTGTTCTGTTTGGAGATTTGAGGATTTCTGAACAGACATTTCTTATTTTGTTGTTTGTTGGGTTACATGCGGCAGTGCTTGGAGGTCGCTCCTGGAAGTTCTTTGGACACCATGTGGTGACAGGATTGAACCTGGCCTGTAGAACCAAAAATTTCTCAATTGCATAAAATGTTAGATAACAAATACTTACAGGGTATTTGTTATATCACTTGCTTAGAGTCATGTTGTTAGTAGTGACTAAGCTAGTGTTATCTCCTGATAGTTCTAATATTCAGATTTATGTCTCCACAAAAGTTATGTTAGATGACTCTTAAGAGGACTACATCCATCATTGCTTAGGGGACGCTAGGGTTGCCCAGTAACTTGGCATGATGATGTGGACCTGACTATTTGGTGTTCAGACCCAGAAGTGTTGGAGTGAGGGACAGGCTCCTGAACTAAACTGGGCAATGCTTAGAAGGCCATTCACTCTATAGAGTGAGAATGTAGTAGGATTCTTTATAGAATCGGAGACCACTGTGCAGTGACTATCTCCTGAGCACCCCT